GTATAAAAAAGATTGATTGATTAATTAAAGATGAAAAAGAGAGATCGAATTGAAGAGGTACAATAGAAGTGATGCTCGCTGATGCTGATGCAGTATTATATTTGCGGTGGACGTTCCGGTCGAGAAACACCTACATGCAGATAGCTATAGCTAGTGGTCAAAATTCTCATCGACCAAAAGTCGAAAGGAAGTAAAATTAAGTTCGGAACAGATCGAGGCCCATCTCAAGTCAAGATATCGAATGCAAAGGTATATTATCAATCGATCGATCGATACATGTATATGTATGTGATAATATCATCCTACGTACGTAGTAGTACTATATATGTATACATATACATATACATACACATATACATATACATATACATATACATATACATATACATATACATATATATATATATATATATATATATATATATATATATATATATATATCGATGGGCGGGCGGCGTGAAGCTAAGGTTGAATAATGCTGTTGTGTGTGCTGTGGCCTGTGGTCAATTATATTGGTCATGCTTTAATCAACGGACGCACGCACGCACGCACGCAGACACGTGCCCAAGTCGCAAATTCTTCCAAAACGAACGAAACGTCACGTCACGTGTCACTCCAGATATATACAGTATACTCCTATGTACAGTACCTACCAAATACTATACGTACTGCTCCGTATATGCCTACATGCTTAGGGCCTCTTTGAATCGCAGGATTCAGAAAACAGGGGAATAGGAAAAACGTAGGAATTGAATGCTATACTTATTTGATTTCTATGGGATTTTGAAACACAGGAAAGTCTTCAAACTGTCGTTTTATTAGCACACAGGAAAAATGCAGGAACCTTAGAAACATGAAGGCCCCCTTTGATTCAAAGGAAATTCATAGGAATTTTAAAGGATTTAATTCCTATAGGAATTTTTCCTATATAGCCCTTTGAATCAAAGGAATGAATCCTATGGAATCCTATAAAATTCCTATGGAATGCCTCTTCCCATGCAAATTTTGAAGGAAATTTAACATGAGGTTCTACCTCATGTTAAGAATCCTTTGAGTCTTTCTCTCTCCTCAAATTCCTGTGTTTTTCCTGCGGCTCAATCAAACGGTCATTCCTATGTTTTTCCTGTGTTTTGCAATCCTCTGTTTTACACTTGTATTCCTATCAGAATCCTATGTTTTTCCTATTCCCCCGTTTTTTCATTCCTGTGATTCAAAGGGGGCCGAAGAGGAAAACATGAGGTGAGACCTCATGTTTATTTTCCTTCAAAATTGCTCTAGTAAGGTTTATTCCATAGGAATTTCAAAGTAATTGTTAGGAAACAATCCTTTGTTTCAAAGGGCTCTATAGGATTATTTTCCATAGGATAAAATCCTCTAGAATTCCTATGGTTTTTCCATTGAATCAAAGGGGGCCTTAGTTTGGCAGTAGGTCTTGCATTTTGTCTTTCTTGCATGCTGTGTGTGTTTGGGAGGTGGAGTTTGGCACTAGGAAAACATGATGGTTTATTAATGTATAATTAATTAAGTATTAGCTAAAAATATTTAGAAAATTGGATTAACTTTCATATAAAAATTTTTGCAAAAAATACACCCCCTTTATAGTTTAAAAAAGTGTGCTCGCAAAAAAGGAGAGAGGTTAGTTAGAAAAGTGAAGTAAACAACTCAGCCTAGGTATGTGCTCAATTGGAAGTGCTTGCTATATATTATAGATGTGTTCATCTTCTTTTTATTGCGACACATGACTTCTTGTGCTATCTGTATGCTAAGCTCTTAAATATAAATAAACATAATTTCTATGCTTGATGAAATCATTGTCAAAAGGGGGAGAAGAGAAGACATTGTGCATGTTTTTAGGTCAAGGGAGAATTTCTTTCTTTTCAAAAGTGAGAGAAGTTTTCTTTTGGATTTTGAGCACGATATGTGTTTTTGCACGAAGTGTGCTTTTTACCACTTTTGTTTTTAATTTTCCAAACAACAAAAGTTCATCAAGGGGGATTGTAAAATCAAAGTGTTTTGATTCTTATTCTGTGATGAACAACTAGCATATGTGATGTTTAGTTTTGATATTTGGAGATTATCGGCGAAGTGGTTTTGGAGATGATTGGTTTTTCAAGTGATGAACAGGTCCTGCTGACAGGTGAGAACCGGTTAGACCGGGTAGTGGTTGCCGGTCAGACCGGAGGTATGCACGCAGTCAGACCGGCCTAGCACGCGGTCTGACCAGCCAACTCTGTGTCGGTTTCGGTTTCAGGTTGTTTGTTTGGATATCCGTGATTAATACGTTTTTTTGGCTTCTAGATGGATACTATGCGTATGTAATACTGTTGTTTGCTAAAAATGGGTCAAGTTGAAGATAGCTTGATTTCGGAATATGGTTTCTTTGTTTGATTCATGTGTAGGTGACTTGATGCCTTGGGAGAGTATTGCCGGTGATGGATCGGGAGTCGACTTGGAGATAAGGCGACGTCCGGATGGTCAGATATCATGCGGGATACTTAGGCTAGAGTTCAGTGCACGTGGTTGGTGAAGATTCCATATGGCATATGATAGAGATATTGTGTGCGTATGGGATGTAGAGTTGAATTTGGGAGGAGTCCAAAATTGGTATGATTGGAGTTTGTAAAGTTTGTTTCTTGTACGGGAAGGTTTCCTAGGTAGATTAGGACTTCATGTATGAGTTTGGTTCGTGGCTTCAGGCTGCCTACCTCATGTATAAATAGAGAAGGAGCGTGAGGCTTCCTGGTATCGCTTTTGACAGCATTGAATTGAGAGTTGAGTTAGGGTTTCGAGTTTAGTCAAGATATTCGTGAGGATTGCTGTTGTTTCACTTTGTAAACACAGAGAGAAGTAATAAAGTTGTCATCTACCTTGAGAAATCTTCAATTTGTGTTTGCTCGGGTTTGGCGGTCTAACCGGCGAGACACCAGCGGTCAAACCGACGGCATTGTGGCGGTCAGACCAGTGGATCAATTGGTGTCAGACCGGCGGCGACTTCAGGCGCGGCAGCTAATCTCGGCGGTCCGACCAGATAATCAATCTCGGTCAGACCGATGGCTTCCAGGCGGTCAGACCGGTGCATCTACTTCGGTCAGACCGCGATCCATCGAAATTGTGGGTAACTTTTATTTCCGCTAAAAGTTTTGGTTTTTGGTACATCAACCATTCACCCCTCTCTGGTTGGCTTAGTTATTTATATTCGATCCTACAATGGGAGTTTGGATGAACAAATTATGTAATTCGACAAGAATGCTGGTGGCGAGTGGTGCTACTGCAGTTTTATGGGTAATTTTGGGAACTTAGTAATAACGCTTGCTCCGAAAGCATTTTACCCAAAAACCCTATTGAAGTAATTTTTCAGGTAGCTCATTACATCTTCAATTGGGGCATCTTGTAGACCTAGGAGGCAGAGACAAGAAATCTTTAGGAGAGGGCCAAGCTTTTGTAGAAGAAAAAATTGTCAATCACAAACTCTTACAGTATGTCAAAAGAGTGAAGTGTACCAGCGGTCCCTAAACTTGTTTAGGTGTGCCACTTAGGTCCCTGAACTCTCAAAATTCATTTTTGTGTCCCTCAACTTGTCTCGGGTGTCATATAGATCCAAACGAGCTATAACCCGCTTCATGAGATGACGTAGCATGCCGCGGTGATGCTTACGTATTATTGGGATCCACATGTTAGTCACTAAAAAAATAAAATTTAAAAAGAGAGGAGGGAGAGAGAGGAGAAAAGGAAGTTTTTAATTTTGAAAAATAAATAAAAAAATATAGGAGAAAAAACATGTTCTTATTTTTTTCTATATGTAACTGACATATAGGTTCAATTGACACGTATGCGCCACCATAGCATGCCACGTCAGCACACAGAGCATGTTGGAGCCCGTTTGGAACTATATGACACCCAAGACAAGTTGAGGGATCCAAAAATGTATTTTGAGAGTTCAGGGACCTAGGTGACACACTAGCACAAGTTTATGAACCACCCGTACACTTTACTCTTGTCAAAATATCACTCACGTATGTTTTCACTCAAGCTCTCCTGCTAAGGATGCTTTGGAGTCGTCTCCTTATATGGAGAATGCATTGTTGGTTTATGTACTCTGTTTCTAAAGTTAAATAAAACTGTTTCAAAAAAAAAGGGGCCAAGCTTTTAAAGCAGGTGGCAGATGAAATCTACTATGCTCATCATGGATGGAGTTCCAAAGACAATGAAATTACAGGACGGGTTAAGGATAAAGTTGCTGGAGGTTTTGCTCGATGACTCTGATCTAGGTGGGATTGTTGTATCAATTGGCTTCATTTTGCAGCTATTGATCAGTACGATGTAAGATAGCTTTGTTTCTGCCTGAAGGAAAAATCCTTACTGTAAACTTCTTCCCTAACCATGGTGGGACGTCGCTTGGTTAGGGGGAGGGCTTTTAAGCTCCAGTTAGAAAAAACATTTTTGTAAAAAAAAACATTGGAGCAAACAATAAATAAAAAATAAAAAAACAATCATTAAATAAGTACTAAATGGCAGGAAAAAAGTAGCAAGTTACGCGGAGGCGGAGGCGCAAGGTCGGCTTATACGTATGTATAAATTATATATGCGTATAAACTTTATATATATACCTATAATTTTTTTCAATATGTATACACTTTATATGTATAAAAAGTTTTGTACAACACATAAAGTTTTTTTACGTATATATAGAGAGAATAAAATGCTGTGTGGGTCCAGAACCGACCGGTGGTGCGGCTGATCGTTAATAAGCGATTGCAGATAGATAGATAGATTATGGCGGGAGAAAAAGGGAAGAAGTGCAGTGTAGGTGTATTAGTATAGTAATGAAGGGGAGGAAATAAAAGTGTAGGGGGGGGAAGATTCGGCACGCGCTGGGTCCACAAATGCGATGCGTTTCCCACCTCCCACCTCCCGGCTCTGCTTCTGTCTCTCTCCCTCTGCTTCCTTTTAAACAACCCCCGCCCCCGCCGACTCCCATTCATTCTCCCGCCGAGCGGAGCTCATATATCGATCGTCGGGTCTCCCCAACACAGACAGAGCGATGCGATCATCTTCTTCTTCCTTCCTTCCATAGATTTCCCCATCTATCTATATATCAACAACACATTCATTCAGCTCCACGTACGCGCTAGCTGATCGATCGATCATCTGCTACGACTAGCTAGTCGATTCAACTATATATATATACTCCATCTTAGGAGCTGCTTGATCGATCGACATATATATAACTAATGGATCATCATCATCAGCAGCAGCAGCAGGAGGGTGAGCTGGTGGCCAAGTACAGGGGCGTGCGGCGGCGGCCGTGGGGCAAATTCGCGGCAGAGATCCGCGACTCGAGCCGGCACGGCGTCCGCGTGTGGCTGGGCACCTTCGACACAGCCGAGGAGGCCGCTCGCGCCTACGACCGCTCCGCCTACTCCATGCGCGGCGCCAACGCCGTCCTCAACTTCCCCGCCGACGCCCACATCTACGCCCGTCAACTACACAATAATAACGCCGCTGCTGGCTCTTCATCTTCCTCTTCCGCCGCCGCCGCAGCAGCCAGGCCGCCGCCGATCGAGTTCGAGTACCTCGATGACCACGTCCTGCAGGAGATGCTCCGAGACCACACCACCAACAAGTAGCTTACTACTCCACTATATATGCTGCCTGCTGCTGTGCTATATATATCTATCTATCTCCTCTGCTTCATGTATCCGGCCTCCCACCGGCCGCCGCCTATTGCGTTGCACCAATTAATCCATAAACGAATGGACCAACCAAGTACATGTACCAACGATCGATCAATCGATCAGCCAACATACTCCCTCCGTTTCGAAATGGTTGACGCCGTTGACTTTTTAGCACATGTTTAACCGTTCATCTTATTCAAAAAATTTAAGTAATTATTAATTCTTTTCCTATCATTTAATTCATTGTTAAATATATTTTTATATAGGCATATAATTTTACATATTTCATAAAAGTTTTTGAATAAGACGAACGGTCAAACATATGCTAAAAAGTCAACGGCATCAACCATTTCAAAACGGAGGGAGTATTACGCATGCATTAATTCATCTTCAGTTCCTCATGATGAATTAATGCAAATGGCTATCTATCTCCATCGATCGTTTCTAGCCGGACATTAATTAATTACATTGCATATATTTAATACATTTGCATTGCACCACGTACTCACATTCCAAATTAATCCTACTAGCTAGCTACTCCAGATACTAGTGGTATACAGTAGGAAGCTGGAGAGTAGTACGTACGTACGATCGAGTGGCCAGTAGCTATAGGATCAGGAAGTCCGTCGATCGATCGCCGCCGGCCGCCCGCCCGGATGCTTCAGCTGACGATGGATCGAAGGAATCTAAGTGGACTAGAAGGTAGCTAGAACAATCCAGAGAGTAGAGTGTACCTCATGCATGCATGAATGCTAGCTACCTGCATGCTTCTCTGCTTCTTGCTCTGATCGCTGCAAGAAAGTTCCTGGAACCAACGTACATGACATATTACTAGCTTAATTTAGATCAATCGACCACACTCTGCCTCTCTAGCTTATACACATACAAGTACTCTCCATCGCCCCCAAATTTAATTTCCTACCGTTACTTATTATACTGTACTACTATTAACCACCAAGCTAGGAGGGATATGTACATATATCCAACAGTCTTAAGTTGCACCGGTCCAAAATTTCAATAATGGGTATTTCTGCCCCCCGGCCCGGTGGGAGTGCTAGGACTTACTGAAGGGACTGTGCCAAAATAAATTTTATCAAAGTTTTGGCAATGCTAAAATTTTGGCGAGATAAAATTTTGGCAAGATAGTAATATTGCCAAAATTTTAGCAGGATTTCTTATATATTAACTAAATTTGGTAACAAACTAAACATAGATATTTTTTGGCAACTTTACCAGAAAATGGTATGGTTGAAAATGGCAACAAAGTGAACATGCCTGAAATCTTGGAATTTCAAACGAAATTTGTGTTAAATTTGAACAAGTTTTGACTAATTCAAAAAAAATCTATGAATTTTGGCCGACATATTTCGTGCTGGGGAGGAGGGGGTTCCAAAATTTCAAACACGAGCCATCATGCATTATCATGTCGTACTTCCTCCTCCCCCAAAATAGGTTACTACTATCATTTAGCATTTACAAGCCAAATCATAAGGGATAAGAACTGACCTCAATTCCCCTTATTAAATGAAGCTAGCTGGTACCGTTGGAAGTGGGAGGGTAATTCAGGTAAGATAGAAAAAATGAATAAAAAGTTATAAATGGGGCAAATAATACTCTAAAATAATTATTTATTTTGAGATAAATTTTAAATGCAAAGTGCTCACTTATTTTGAGATAGAGGGAATAGTAATTAATTTATAGTGGGCCCATTAATTAATACACACCATCACCATTTTATATATATATATATATATATATATATATATATATATATATATATATATATATATATGCAGGGTTGAGGGCGGCAGCAAAGGGGACGACGGCGTTCCGCTGCTTTTCCCAACGCAGGGGTGAGGGCGGTAATGGAGGGGAGGCAAAGGCGGTGGTGGGGGGGACGACAACGTAACAACAACCTCCTATCTCATCACTGCCGCCATCCTCATCTCGTGCTTCCTCCTCCCCCACGGCGGCAAGCGAAAGAGGGAAGAGGAGCGGCGCGACGATAGCCTCCCCTCGTCACCGTTGCTTCTACCGGAGAGGAAAGTGAAGGAAGAGAAGAAAGAGTATGTGACACTGACATGCTGACCCCACACAGTGACTACAGGGGTATGTATATATATGAAAAGACTTGTGTATATAGGATATACGTTCCCTCATATGTACTGCCTAACTAATAATTAATCACACAAGACAAATATATACGTTAAGTAGGTTAATTTCATTTATGTTATATGAAAGGAAAGGGAAGGGAAAACATAGTTGAGTTTAGTTTACTGATCGATGGACGTACATAAAGTAAGTACTTACGTAGGGTGTGATCCGTTACCCATGTCAATAAACAATTAATAGAGGAACGACATTTATTATTTATTTATTTTTATAAAGAGAGGAACGGCATGTACATGCATAGATAGTACATAAAAGCGTTGATTGGTTAATAATAACCAGAGGGACAGCAGCAGCAGACAATTTAATTAGTCGCGCGATGGGGTCGTTTGGGAGAAGAAAAATGGAACCGAACAGTTGATCGATCGACCACATATTTTTATAATTAGTATTAAGACAGATCGAGTTAGAATTATTTGATGTAGACCTTTTAGTTAATTTGGAGTTCACCTGGTGTTTGGGTGGGTGTATCGTATTATACGTAGGCATGGACGTCATGGAAGGAGGAGCGAGATGGCCAAACTCCAGTGATCATCGATTCCATTCCAAGTCAACGGTAAAACAGAGACCAACTGCAGGACAGGGTCATGCTGACCTCACTCCTCTACTCAAACCAAACTCACTCAGAGTATAGTAATTGGGCCTCAAAGAGAAGACTGAAGGACAGCAGCCCAGGAGGCCGTGCGGAGTACAGTAATTGGGCTTTCTTGCGTTGTTAATGGAATAAAGTTTATTCCTTCCTCCCTCATCTCTTGCTCCTGATCGAATCGTCTCCCTGAACCATAAAACCGTGTATAGCGTCTCCCACATCTTCAAAAACCAGTGCAAAATGACTCCTTCAGTAGTTTGGGAAGCGGTTTATACTAACATGGCAGGACCGCGGTTGACTCGTCGGTAGGTGGGACCCACATGTCAGTGAAACATGTAATCCTCCTCCTCTATCCTCCCTCTCTCTTTTTCCTCTTTTCTCCATTTCTGACTTCTCTTGTTGTTCCTATGAGGAAGACCTTCGGTTGTTGAGCAAGGCTGCAACAGTGGTGCTGGTTGACGACGAACGCGATAACAGCAACTGTGGAGCAAGGTGAACTTGAGCTTGCAATCTCGTCCACCGTAAGACAGCGGTGGCACCCGATGAGGAAGGCGGTCCATGGCAGTGAAGGAGGGAGGCGAGGGAGCCAGCGAGCTCGAGATCATCATCTCATCTATTGTCTTTCTCCCCCGATGCGCCATATTGTCCCTCGATGCGTCGTGGTCCACGGTAGCAGCGACAATGGCGGCCATATCACTGCGTTGGTGGGAATCCTCGTGTCTAGCTCTCACATGCTCTTGCTCCATTGCAGCTTCCCCAAGCTTGTGCCTTTGCCTCGGGAACCTAGTCTGCCTTCCCCTATCGTCTTGCTGCCGTCGAGTTTCTTGTGGCGAGACGATGATATGGGAAGTGGCCGACCCTCACTTTGTAGGATTTGAAACACCAAGCAGCCAATGAAGTGGATCAACAACATGCAAACCAACATAGCACACCTTTTATCTCGCCATCGCAAAACCATTGAATGTGGAATATAACAATTGAACCATCAATCCCAACGGAAAGCAAGCACGATCTTGATGGGATCACCCTATTCCCATCTATGTGGTTGTGCCAAATCATAAGAAGAACAGGGCAAGACCCTCATATGGTTGTAACTATATATAAGCTAGTTTTTATTTATAATGTTTGAGTCTCCCTTACAATAGATGCACATCCTTGCTTTCTATAGTAATCTTAAGACCTCTAAAATAAGAAACAAACTCGTTACATGACTTGGATACAAAAAAAGAAACTTCAGCTATAGCAACTGTCGATTGGTTTGGTAGATTGCGGATAAACCACGAGGAATATGAGGCCCCCTTTGATTCAAAGGAAATTCATATGAATTTTAGAGGATTTTATTCCTATAGGAATTTTTCCTACAAAGCCCTTTAAATCAAAGGAATGAACCCTATGGAATCCTATGAAATTCCTATGGAATGCCTCTTCCCATACAAGTTTTGGAGGAATTTTAACAAGAGGTAGAACCTTATGGAAGAAATCATTTGAGTCTTTATCTCTCCTCACATTCATGTGTTTTTCCTGTGGTCAAATCAAACGGTCATTCCTATGTTTTTCCTGTGTTTTGCAATCCTCTGTTTTACACTTAGGGCCTATTCGGTTCACAGGATTTTCAAATCACAGGAATAGGAAAAACGTAGGAATAACATAGGAATGCATATGCAAAACTAAGGATAGGAAAAGCATAGGAATGACTCTTGCAGATAGTTGGTAGGAAAAATATCGGAATCTTTGTATTAAGTTACCACAATCAAGATTTGAATACTCAAATTTGTGTAACTTAGGTTCAAATACATAATAAAACGAGTGATTTGCCTCGATCCTACGCGTAGGAATAGAAAAATGAGGTCCAAGTGGATGTTAATTTTCCTACAAAAATCCATAGGAATCACATACAAAGGAATTGTTCCTATGCTTTTCCTTTGCCATAATCCTATAAAACGAATGGATGAATAGTGATTATTCCTATAGGAATGGTTTTTCCTCCATATTTCCTATGAAACGAACGAGCCCTTACATTCTTGTCAGAATCCTATGTTTTTTCTATTCCTCCGTTTTTTTCATTCCTGTGATTAAAAGGGGCCCTGAAGGTGGGAACAAAACCTTGGCGTGTGCCATCTAATTAGCTTTCCAATAAGAACTCAAACATTCAAAACATAGTTTGGATGCGAAATCCACGACCATTTTACCGTAGGACTATCCAAACCGAATCCAATGAGATGAATCAAAACCTTTACATATTCAAAATTTTCCTTTGGAAACAATTCAATCCATGTAGATGAGTTACTTGCCGACTTAGGGAGAGTCTTGGAATAGTAGGAACCATATAATCATGGTGTAAAAAGCACAAATTCTTGAAACTTAGCAATTCTTGCGTGTCACTTTTCCAGCCTTCGCAACATCCAAATCATGTGTTTCTTGATAAGTTGGAAAGTAGACTTGATAACCTTTCTTATATGACTTTTTGATACTTGAATCCCTCTAATTTGATGCACAACTCTTCAGAGAATTGACGGCTAGTACTGCACCACATCCTCATTAGACGGAGTTTAGGTCAATGCATGGGCAGGCGAACCATGTGTAGGGACAGGGCTACGAACCCAACCCACCCGGTTCCCCTTCGTTCCCCTTCTCCTCTACAGTAACTTCCCCAAATCTTCTTTCCTCCGACTCCTCTTCCCCTTCGATTCCGGCGGTTCGCTGCCGACCAGGGTTGGAGGACGGGTCTAGCTACCTTCCCCTTTTAGTACTTAGCCAGGTCTGTCCTGGTTTTCTAGCTAGTCTTGTGTCCTAGGGTTTGGCCGGTGTTCCTCCCGTGGTGGCGGTCGGAATTTGGGTCCTCGTCGGTGGCGGTGGTGGGAGCAGGTGCCCTCGTATCTCCTTGATGGCAAATCGAAGCTTGGGTGGTAGCATCTTCCTCGAGCAACGGTCCCGAAGAGAGGTGAAGTCTTCAGATCTGGGCTACCTTGGTGGTGGTGGTGGAGGCGGTTCTGGCGACGGCCGCCGGTGCTCTACTTGCGTGCGGGCTGGCGTTTGTGGCGGCGGCGGGGTTAGAGCAGTGTTTGGTGTTTTGGCGGCTGCTGTCGAGGTGGCATCAGCCTCTGCGCCGTGCTCGGCGTTTCAGTGCTAGTCGTCATCTCCCTACGCCGTTCTCGTGCTAGCGGTGGTGTCGGCGGGTGCGCCGTGTCCGAAGTCGCGATGGGCGTTGTCTCCCTCCGTTAAGCTGGTGCTAGTGGTGGTACTGGTTGGTGTCGGTGAGTACTCTGCGCTCGGTGGTGTGGCTCCCGTCGCCTGCTGCGCGCTTGCCAGCGCTCGCCCGGGTGCAGCCTCTACCTTAGCTGGCGACAGTGGCCGGCTCGACGTCATCACCCTCCTCCAAGCCGGTGACCATGGGATTCTTGTTATTGGGGTTTTGTTCTGCTCAGAGTCTTGTGGTTCCATGTTGCGGGTTGCTCCCTTCTCAGCCATCTCCGTCCTAATAGCAAGACAGAAGTCAATTGGCAGTCTCTCGAAAGCTCCTTTGTTGATGGTTGGCTGGTCTACATTTTGGCCATTTCATTTGTTCCCTTGCAGCAGATCGCATTTGGTTTGTCATTCGGATTGAGCTCAGACCCCCTGCGCAATTTCGATTGTCAGGGTTGTTGTTAGAGTTCCTCAGATTCAATGACGAATCCCGTGGGGATGCTTCGCTAAGTCCAGTGATGCTCACACCAAAATCTACAGCTCAGCCACCAACCTCGATCTTGTGCTGTTTTCCGTAGAGGCAACCGAAGGGGATCAATGGTTTGTCAAGCCGTGTGCACTTCAACTGATGCCCAAGGTAGCAGTCGTCGCGGTTTTAAGACGTCGTGGCTCTACAGTCATCACGGCAGCACCGTAGTTCCCTACCGACTTGCTCCTTTTTCTGCTGTCTGGTCACATCTGGAAGACTTCCGTAGTTCGGTTAACCCTCTTTCTTCAGGGTTGTCTCTTATGCTTTCAGCTACTATCCTCTGTTGTTCGGTTAACCCTCTTTCTTCAGGGTTGTCTCTTATGCTTTCAGCTACTATCCTCTGTTGTGTATTGGGGTTTATCCCCTAATTTCTATTTTTGCTTAATAAAGTTGATTGTGTTTTAAAAAAATGCATTGGCAGGCGAAAGGGGATCACTGGTTATAGTGAGACCAAGCTGCGGCGTGGGAAGCCGTAAATCTTGTACATTACTCCCTTCCCCTGGCCACCACCGTTGTCGCCCCCACATCATTGTCTCCATGCCCAACTTCGACACCTCCACGAGGGACCTCTTCAAGCATGAGGTCAAGCCAGCACGTGCGACAGCAGTGGCCATAGTTTTTGTTGGTTCTATGTGTCATCGTCGTCGATATCCATTATTTCTAATTCCTTTGATGACTTGGCTATCACGTCAGTATAAACCGCTTCCTGAATCACTATCCAAGGAGCTGATTTGCACAGGTTTTGAAGTTGGGGAAGGTATTATACCCGATGTGATGTTACGGTTGAGAGATGCGATTCAACCAGGGTAAGAGACGAGGAAGGGAAAAAATAGACTTATACCTGTTGGTTGTTAATGGCTTCTTCTCGCAGTAATTTAATATAACTGGGCCTTTTAGTTGTTGTTGTTGTTATTTGTTAATTGGGCCTTGTTCACTGGTCGGCCCAAAATGTGGTGCTCCTCCTCCTTGGAAGAGAGGAGAGGAGAGGGAAAGGAGAACGGAACCCTCGACGGAACCGCCGCCTCCACTGTCCGGGGGGCGGTAGAGATGGCGGCGAAGAGGCTCCTCCTCCTCTCCCGCTGCCGCCTCATTGCCCACCGCCCTTCCTGCCACATCCCCTTCCTGCCGCCCGCGCTCGCCCGCTACCTCGGCTCCCCATCCAGCCCCAACCCCAACCCCAAGAATACTAGTAGCATGGGGACGGCATCGTCGGGGGAGGAGGAGGAAGACGACGAGGGCAAAGCTTTCCCGTGGAGGAGATGGAGGCCTGACGTGGCCTGGCTCCCCAAGGCCCTGGAGCCCGCACTGCAACTCTACAACCAATACAAGCCTTTCCTCACTAGTGCGCCTACTGGTATGCTATCCTTCCTGAATTCCTTGTCTGTCTCTGCCTCTCTGGAGAGACCATTTGCTACTTCTATTACTAGTAGTAATTGATTGATGAAGCAAAATCTTCAGACAATATCCCCGCAAGCACCCGCACCTTCAGCGAGATCCTAAGCGACCTCCAGCGGAGCAAGGTCAGCATTAAGGACTGGAGTCTCACTGATCTCACCATCGGCCTCTACCTCATCTACCTCAGCCAAGCTTCTGCAAAGGATGCTCAAGCCTTCAAGGGTCTTCATATCTCCTGCAACAACAAGGCTAGCCCCCCTTCTCTTCTCTTCCCTATCACAATTTCACAATTTATAATCTTGCTAGACTTCTGTAACTCTCATTTCTCTTAATGAAATGGGAGAGCTTTGCTCTCCTAGTTCAAAAAAAAACAATCTATAATCTTGCTTCTTTCTCAACCCATTTATACTATACAATACAATTAAATGTTCCTTTCTTTCCACTGTTTATCATACACTCTTCTAAGTTCCAACTAACACTTTCTAGGTTCAACAACTAATTTATCACCTTGAGCTTGCAAGAGGTTGCTATAAGGGCAATGCCACTGGCCTTGCACGCCATTCTATGCTTCGCAAGAGGAACGTTCTCAAATTCGTCAAGGACTCCAGTATTCTCAGACCTGGCTATTACATTGCCATTGATCCACGCACTAAATTGGTCATCCTTGGGATTCGTGGGACTCACACTGTTTATGACCTAGTTACCGATTTGATTGCTCTAAGCGATAAGAAGGTATCACCTAAAGGTTTCTCGACACACTTTGGAACATATGAGGCCGCCCGTTGGTACCTTCGCCATGAGTTGGGACTTATCAGAAAGTGTTTGGAAAAGCATAAGGTGGGAAACTGACTGTCTTCAAATTTGCTCCGCATCTTTTCTTGGGTGATATATATGCCTGAGTTTTACCCTTTTCAAAGCAGGATTACAAGTTGCGCCTGGTAGGGCACTCCCTTGGAGGTGCTTCAGCCGCGTTGCTTGCTATAATGCTAAGGAAGAAGTCAAAGGAAGAGCTTGGATTTAGTCCTGACGTTATATCAGCTGTTGGATATGGAACCCCGCCTTGTGTCTCAAGAGAAATTGCTCAAAGTTGTGCAAGCTATGTTTCAACTGTTGTACTGCAGGTTATGCTTGACCCTTTCTCGGAGTGACATCCTATTTATGATATCTTTGCTGCATACTAGAATTTTTAAGTGAGCTGACATTTTCTGCCCTTTTTTTTCTAGGATGATATCATCCCTAGATTAAGTGCAGCTTCACTGGCAAGATTGCGAGCCGAAATACTCAAAACAGATTGGTAAGCAATGGCTTTTGTTGAGGTTGCATTTATAGAAAGAAGCTTGTGATTGTTCTCCTTATTGGGATAATTTGACTTCTTGTTGAACAATTCTTTTTACCCACTCTGAATGGCTTAATCCTGACATGTAACATAGCTTTCAGCCGCACATTTGTGACTTGCACTCGTAGTTGTGAAACATGAGCAACATCATGACACAGTGATAATAAAACACTAAATGGGGAACTATGTATACAATTGTTTAAATCATGTTCTTTTGTAGGGTAAGTGTTTTGGAAAAAGAAGACTGGAAGCATATAGTGGACATTGTGACTAATGCTAAGCTTGTAGTTTCGTCAATTCAAGATGTGGCGCGCAAGCTTGCTGATTATGCTAAAATTGTCACAGTATCAACTAGTTCTGGTAAGCCCCTTGCCTTTTTAATAATTTTGTAAGTTACTATTATTTATTTATTTCAATCGTCAGTTTCTGCAAAAGTGGAAAATTGAGAGGGTTTGGGGGGTTAGTATTGTATTGAATCGCATTGGTCTTTCTTGTGTTGTTAGATGCCATCAAAGATCAAGATCGCCCCCTGAGCACCAGTGAAGTATTGTCACCGGATAGTAAAGAGGATGTATTTGTGCCAGAAGATCTGTTCCTTCCTGGGACTCTGTATTACCTCAAGAGGGACATTGAGGATATAAACGGTGTAGAAGATGAGTCGTATACACTCTGGAGAGGTGATGCCGGGGAGAATTTTCAGAGGATACTGTTATCTGGCAATCTGATATCCGATCACAAATGTGAAAGCATATATTACGCCCTGAGGGATGTGCTCAAGACTCTGCCGCCCCAGGAATCAGGATGACAAGTAGAAGTTCCTTTTCAAGCTTTTTGCAGGATAATCTCCATCTATTCTGTAGTTTGTCATCTCGATACAATAGAGGAAAGCATATTTTTGTTGCTCCTTAGTTCTCCCATGGGTAAAGGCGAAAGTCTGCCGGCTTTGGGGGAAATAGAAGAATAGAGCTTGTTGTACAGTTTTGTGTGTGTGTGTGTGTGTGTGTGTGTTTGTAAGGGAAAAAACAAGAATAATAGAGAAGAAATGCTTAACACTATCTTGTTGCATGCAGTGAAAGACATTGCAGCTGGTGTAGTTACTTTGACTAATTCTCCCCAAGTTTTGGAAGAAATTATTACTGTGTGAAAGTAGGGACTAATTCTCCCTAAGTTTTGGAAGAATTATTACTGTGTGAAAGTAGGAACACATAAGTAGGAATCTGCTCGTTGTGCTAGTCAGGTAGTAGCTACTGCGTTCTTCTTAGGGTAACACACAAGGAACACAAATTGTGAGTGTGTAATGTGTTGTTGTTCGGCTAGAATCAGTCAGTTTCAGAGCAAGGCAATAGCTATATAACATTGAGGGCTAAGAGCATAGTTATAAATAAATGTTTTCTAACATTGGATTGTTATTGATACAAGAAGAAGAACGGAACAATGTCACAAAATTCCTTGTAAAAGGAAGAAAATATACTCTAGTAAGTAAGTAATCTAATATAATCAGTTGGCGTGGTCGTCGGCGAGCTGGCCGCAGTCCTCGATGAGGACGCGCTCGGCCGTGCCGCCAGAGCCGGAGCCGACTTGCTCCATCTTCTCGACGACGGTGTATCCGTCGACGACCTTGCCGAAAACGACGTGCTTGCCGTCGAGCCAGGTGGTACGCGTGGTGCAGATGAAGAATTGGGAGCCGTTGGTGTTTGGCCCTGCGTTGGCCATGGAGAGCACGCCTGGGCCGGTGTGGCGCAGCTTGAAGTTCTCGTCGGCAAACCTGTCGCCGTAGATGGACTCGCCGCCGGTGCCGTTGCCGCGGGTGAAGTCGCCGCCCTGGCACATGAAGTTGGGTATGATACGGTGGAAGGCAGAACCCTTGTAATGCAGCGGCTTGCCGGAGGCGCCGAGGCCCTTCTCGCCGGTGCAGAGGCAGCGAAAGTTCTCGGCCGTCTTGGGGACGGTGTCGGCGAAGAGCTCCATGACGACGCGGCCGGCCCTGGCCTTGCCGATGAGGATGTCGAAGAACACCTTGGGGTTCTTGCTCGCCATGGCTTAGCCTGGAGGCTAGTTCAGTTCAGTTAATCAAATCGAACGAATACTCCTACTACTCCATTACATATATACAATCTCCATAACATGCTATTACTAGTGAAGTAGAAGCAAACAAAGATTGATAAAGAAGAACAAGTGAAGTGTGGACAACATCCATCCATCCCAGATGCCTAATGGAGGCGGCAAAGGTGTGGATGGAGAATTGACAAAATCGATCGATCTTGCACAAGCTTTGAGCTCATTAGGCCTTTTGATTACTCGACGCCTAAAAGCCTTCGATATGTGCGCACCAAATTAAAGCAGCAGCACGCAAAGGAGGAAGAACCCACCTGGAACTGGAAGGAGGAGATCGGCGCGTCGGCGGCGGAAACAATCTGATGAGGAGGAAGAGGAAGGGGACGGCTCGGCGGCATAAAAAGACCTCAGGAAAGAGTTTAGGGTTTCGTCCAATGGGCTTAATGGGCTAGGCCCTTTTGAGGGACTTTGTTGGGCTGTGCAAGTAACAAGCCCAGCCCATTTCCCCCAACTAACCACTTCTGCCTTCTCTCTCCTTTCGTGCAAAACAGTTCTTTTTCGTCCGGCAATACAAGATGTCAGAAATGTGGCGTGCATTCAACCTCCATCGACCGTGCCCATGCTGCGCCTTCAGGTTTTCTTCCTGCCGTGCTTTGGGTTTGGGCGTTCTGAAATCATCAAATATGATGATGCAATCTTTAGAAATGTTTTTATTTGAAAGCATTTAAACTTAGGCTGAGTTTAGTTCCAAACTTTTTCTTCAAATTTCCAACTTTTCCATCACATCAAAACTTTCTTACACACACAAACTTCTAACTTTTTCATCACATCGTTTCAATTTCAATCAAACTTCCAATTTTGGCGTGAACTAAACACACCCTTAGTAAGATGTTTATGTTACTTCAAACAATTTAGACATAACTGAAAATTGAAACAAAATAAAAAGTAATCGCCTCGTAATTGATGGTGTAAAACTTATGATGGGAAAGCACAAGTGGCGTGAGGGTGGAGACGTGGATGTATGACTTCATCCACCAGGGTTTAAATCCACCCACGAATATTATGTACCTGATAGGGAACGTATTTACGAGTGTGGTGGAGTTTGTTTCGCGTGTGCGTCTACCATGTAATAAAAAAAGTGTGTGAGTGTAATGTGATGTACTCCCTCTGTCCCAAAAAACCTAATCCTACGTTTGAATCCAGACATAGTGAGTGTGCATCTTCTGTACAATAAAAAAAACTTACATAACAAAACCTACCTACTTTCTTGAAGAGATGCACAAAAAGAAAAATCTGATAAAGCAATTTCCATCGTCCCGGTTAACCTGAGGTAAAAAAGGGGGCTGCTATATAACGGAATCCCGTTTTCGAACAGGATGATCCCGAGTAGGTATCAGGTGTGATACCTATCAGGTATCAGACGATTCTACACAACAGGATGATCCTGAGTAGGTATCAGACGATTCTACACACGTTTCAGGTGATACTTGCAAGTATCATGTGATACTTATCAGGTATCATGCGATTTCTACCACATATTGCGTGATACTCGCGAGATATCATGTGAAACCTGTCAGGTATCAGACGATTTCAATCACGTATCGCGTGATACTCACGAGGTATCATGTGATACCTGTCATGTATCAGATGATTTCTACCACGTATAGCGTGATACTCGCGAGGTATCATGTGATACTTGTCAAGTATCAGACGATTTCTACCATATATCGCGTGATACTTGCGAGGTATTGGATGATACCTACCAGGTATCAGGTGATTCCTACTAGATATAGCTGGGCATCCCGTTGGGGAAGGAGCATCTCGACACGCGCAGTCGGTCCCCTGCAGCCGTCCCTTGCAGACGAGGACGGAGACGGCGGCGGCGGCGGCGGCGGGGGACAGGCGCGGCGACGGCGGGGGACAGCAACGGCGGCGGTGGGGGATGGGCGCGGTGGCGGTGGCGGTGTCGACGGGGGATGGGCGCGGTGGTGGCAGGGTACAGCAACGGCGGCGGTGTGGGATGGGCGTGGCGGCGATGGCGACGCGGAACGGCAACGGCAGCGAGTGAGCAGGAATTGCGTTGGAAGAGGAGCTATCCCGTTGGGGGATGGTATCCCGTCCCCTGGCATTCCCGTTTATGATAGGTACCCAAATGATACCTTGCATGTATCGTGATGATATCTAGGAGATATCAGTGAGTGATGATACTTGTACTTATCCGGGATGATACTTATAGGGTAGTAGTGTATCGACGATTTATTTTCATGTACACAAATGATACCTGATAGGTATCGTGATGATACTTACAAGGTATCAATGATGGATAATACTTGTAGGTATAAGTGATGAAAAATATTTCAGAGTAAATTTTCAAAGTTACACTAAATGAAGCAATCAAGCAAATTTAACTAAAAAAGATTAAAAGGAAAAAAGAAAAAAAAGATTGCCAAGCATGGCTTAGTCAACATGTCATTGCCTAGTTTACCATGCCATGCAACATAACAATCGTACTAGTACTACACACAAACCACAAGATGATGCCATCGGGATTCGAAAGGGTGCAACGTGTAGGCGTGGCATGGGCGGGGCCAGCATTGAGTAAGCAACGTCGTCTTGTGATCGTGATAAAGCGAATACTAGTCAAGCATGCGCGTGTGTGTCGTACGGATAGTGCAATGGGGATGATCCCGTTCCGATCACTACCAACGGTATACCGGTCTCTAGCATTTCCGGGTAAAAAAACATAGTCCCGGTTAACATGAGTGGGAAAAAAAACACAGTTTCAACAAGGTAAAGTCAAATTTGAGCCTTAATTTATTTTTTCGTTAAAAAAAAAAGAAACTGACGCCCTCACCAAACCGGCGATGAATGAGTGGGGGTGTTGTCGTTCCTTAAGGGCTAAGCTGTTGGAAACAAACAATGCAAGAAAACTGCCATTTGGTAATATTATGTATATAGTCCAAAATGCAATTAAACTAACAAAAAAATATTTAATTGGATTTAGTAGGGATGATTGATGGATGACCCAAGGAAAGAAGGGAGGAAGGAAGGAGCGAAGAGCGAAGGTTGAGGTGAGCAAGCATTGACAAGTGGAAGCAGGCCCACGCTGCAGTCGGTCAAACATGGCAGCTCCTCCACCAGCCAAATCGCGTCCAGTCACCACCTCTTGTTCGGTTCTTCCCCATCAGGCCATCACCCACCCACGCGCCTCGCTGACCTGCCCTCCTGACTTGCCTTACCATTAAAAAGCAAGGGGAGCACAAGCATTATTACACAAAGCAAAAGCACTAGCCATGGCAGCGTCGCGCTACGAGGTGGAGGTGACGGTGGCCTCGGCGCGCGACCTCAAGAACGTCAACTGGCGCAACGGCGACCTCAAGCCCTACGCCGTCGTGTGGATCGACGACGGCGCCAAGTGCTCCACCCGCGTCGACCTCGACAACGCCGACAACCCCACCTGGGATGACAAGCTCACCGTCCCTCTCCCGCCCTCCACCCGCCTCGACGACGCCGTCCTCTACCTCGACGTCGTCCACGCCAACGCCACCGACGGCGTCAAGCCCCTCGTCGGCTCCGCGCGCCTCCCGCTCCGCGACGTCCTCGCCGACACCGGCATAGGCGCCCGAGCCTCCCGCTCCCTCCGCCTCAAGCGCCCCTCCGGCCGCCCCCATGGACGCCTCGAAGTCCGCGTCGCCGTCCGCGAGCCCAAGCGCTACTACGACCCCTCGCCGGCGTACCCTGCTCCCTACCACCAGCAGTCGTCCCGTGACCCCTACGCCTACGGTAACACTACAACTGGTGGCTATGGCTATGCCTATGGCGGGGCCCCTCCGGCTCCGTACTCCGCGGCCCCTCCTGCTGGATACCCGTCGGCCTATGGAGGAGCGGCTCCTACTCAACCTGCCTATGGCTCCGCCGCGCCACCTCAACCTGCCGCTGTCAGCTATGGAGCGCCTCCTGTGGATGCAAAGAAGAAGAGCAAGATGGGCATGGGGGGTGGGCTGGCGGTTGGCGCGGCGGCCGGCGTTCTTGGCGGTCTGGCGCTGGCGGGCGGCGCCAGCTACCTGGAGAACAAGTTTGAGGATCGCGTGGCGGAGCGGGTGGAGGAGGACCGCTACGGCGGCGGCGGTGGTGGCTACGACGACTACGGCGATGACGACTATTAATAATTTATATGATATTCGAATTGCACTTGCAGGGGAGTCAGATTATTGTAATTGAGTCTTGTGTTTTTATCATCCTTGTCTTACAAATCAATATCAAATTAAATTAAAACTCGTGTGTGTGTGTGTGTGTGATCCTAGCTAGCTGGGAGTATATCTCGATCCGTAGAGTTCCGGCGTCGACGGTGGCAGCGCCCACTGGTTGGCGTCGATGTAGGAGACGTCCATGAAGGGCGCGGCCTGGCGCTGGTCAAGCTGCCGCGCGTAGGACACCCTGCCGGTGGCGGCGGTGGCGGATCCGGGGCCCCAGCACGCGTACTCCGCGAACCACACCTGCTGCCGCCTGCCGGGGTCGCCCCAGTCGTTCCACCCCTCCGCCGCCACCACGTCGCCGAGGTACGTCTCCGCGAACACCACCGTCGCGTACGGCCCCCACGCCCTCCCCAGCCACACCTGCCCCGTCCCCACCACGCTGCACCGCACGAACGCGAACCCCGTCCTCTCCGCCGCCGACGCCCTCCCCTGCGCCGTCACGCTCCCCGTCACTTCCTTATTCCCCGTCGCGCTCGCCATGGCCACGGAGCTTATGGTGCAACCCACGTAGAGGGATCGTGCGTTGCCGAAGATGAAGTCGATGGAGCCCTCGATGTAGCAGCCGCGGAACAGGTGCCGCCCGGACTCGTCCAGCAGCGTGTCCTGCGCGCTGTACACCCCGCACCAGTGGAACGCCGCCTCGTCGCCGGCCACCCTCAGCGCCACCGCCTGCCCCCCTGCGTCCCCGGGCTCGGGCGGGGGCGACGTGTTCTGGAAGGTGATGTTGTAGGCGACGAAGGCGGGGGCGAGGACGGTGAAGGTGGCGCTGTACACGGTGCTGCCGCCGGTGGAGTTGGAGGTGGCGTTCCAGGCGACGGTGGTGTTGAGGTTGCCGCGGCCGTGCAGCGTGAGGGCCGTCTTGTTGGACCACACCACCACCTTCTCCCTGTAGATGCCGGCGTCCACGGCGATGAGCGTGCGTGTGGCGGCGTAGTCGGGCACCGCGTCCACCGCCTTCTGGATGGTGGTGAAGTTGGCGCAGCCGGCGGCCTGGTTGCGATCGACGGTGAGCAGGAGGGTGGCATTGTGTTGAGAGGCGAGGGAGGCCGCCCACCTGAGGTGCTCGGCGCACCGCTTCGTCCTGCGGCGGTGCAGCTGCGGTGGCGGCGGATGATCGTCAAGCTTTAGTTGGTCGAATTCGAATTGGGATTGGGAAAGAGGATCAGGTGGAGGCGGGAGGTACAATATTATTACTGTTAGTATAAGAGAAGTGAGGAGGAGAGCATACAAGGCCCTGCTATTGCTACTGCTACTGCTAGACCTGCACTTGTTCATTTTCCTCCTTGTCGATCTAATACTAGCTAGCCCGCGTGTTGCTTCATTGTCTCTGATCGATTAAGCATCGGGCAAATCAACACAGCATTGGATCAATAGAGTATATGAATTGATGGGTGCATGCGTAGGAGCAAAGATTTGAGTGCTTCCGTTCCTTGATCAAGGATGTGGTGGGAAGGGATACATGCGGTTGCTTCAATTCTTGCTCTCTGGGCCTGCGTTGCGTTACCGTTACCCAACAGCTGCTAGCTACTCTATATATGTATGCAATAAGTCTATTTTTTCTCCCTCATTCTTGCCTTCGTCGCTTCGCATCCCTCAGCCATAAAACCAGGTATAACACCTCCCCAAATCCGAAAACCGGAGTAAATATACTGTCGGTTTTAGCTTGTCATGTCCACATGGTATATTGACTAGGTCTTCGTCCTACGTGGCACTCAGCGTAAAAAAAAGTGGAACCCATATAGGCCTCACCTATCAGGGATTCATCTTCTTCCACCAGCCTCCTCCTCCTCCACCTCTCCCTCTCTTCCTCGTGCTCTCCAGACCATAGAATGACAGTGAGAGCGGTGATGGTGGAGAACTCGACCCCGCACACGGCGCACTCGTGGACGTGTGCCCTGTCCTTCTCGGCCGCCGCAGCGGCGGGGTCGCTCAGCAGCTTCGCCTGTAGCCGCGTGTGGCTCGTCATGTACCCACCCAGTGCCTGGAACGACGGGAACCTCTTGTTGCACGTCTTGCACTCAAACACCAACTCCGCTGCCAGGCGCCAGCGTGGCCCGTCGGCGTCCACGACGACGTCGGTGCTGTCGGCGCGGGTGACGACAGCGTGAGCAGCGGGCTGGCGTGTATGACGGCGACGATGACACGGGAAGACTGCTCCATCATCTCCCGCTCACGCGCGCTCAAGACGCTAGCCTTTCCCCTTCATCTACTCCAAAACAACGGCGCACGGTGTGCGGAAGGCGGCGCCTAGCGAGAGAGGAGTCAGTGACTCCGCAACAGGCAGTGGGCGGCGCATGGCGGGAGAGGAGTCGACGGCGTCTGCAGAAGCGGAAGGAAGCGGGGCACGAGGTTGTGCACGGTGGCGGGAGATAGCTTCGCCATGGCTCCCCTCTCCTTTCCTCCGTTGCTGCGCTGCTCTGCCACACGCCGACGCCGGCCTCCTGCGGCGCCTCAACGACCTGCTTGATCTCCTCGAATCGGAGCTCGGCCTCCTTGATGGAGTTAGAGGTACGCACGAGCACCGCGCGCGCGTCCCGCGTCGCCGGCCGCCGGACCTCCTCTCCCGCCTCGCCCCGACGATCTCCTCCCCACCGGACGGCCGGCTTGCCCAGAGAGAGAGAGAGAGAGGAGGAGGAAGGGAGAGGAGGGGGAAGAGGTGTGCGCTGACGTGGTATCCTGACATGTGTGGTCTACGTGGGTCCCAAGCTGACTCAGCCGCCACGTAAGATAAAATTAGGGTCAAAACCACTGAAGAATCTATTGTGACTGGTTTTGATTAGTTGGGGGATGCCGGATATCTGGTTTTGTGTTTGGAGGATGATTTTGTAACTCGATGACAAGTTGAGGGACCTTGGTGTACTTTTTCCTATTAGATACTACAAGCCCATCGAGTAATATTATTGTGGGCCGTCTCGGCCTGACCCATATCCTCGTTCCTAAACTTGTTAGGAGTAGAGTATTGAGTATCAGTACGTACCATTGTGTGTTTTAACGTACTAATTAAATGGTACTCCCTCCGTCCCATAATATAAGAGATTTTGAGTTTTTGCTTTTAAAGTTTGACCACTCGTCTTATTTAATTTTTTTTGAAATTATTATTTATTTTATTTGTGACTAGCTTTATTATCTACAGTATTTTAAGCACAACTTTTTGTTTTTTACATTCGAAAAAAATATTTAAATAAGACGAGTGGTCAAACGTTGCAAGCAAAAACTCAAAATCTCTTGTATTGTGGGACGGAGGGAGTAGTTGGAGTAACAGTCCCCATATACAAGCGCCACCAACTGTGTCGTATCGTACGTACTTTTGTAACGGCTTAATTGTCAGACGTACGTACGTACTCTACGCTCTTACTTACTGCTTGTCGTTCACTTGAGTACGCTACCTCCACCTCTCCTCTCCCCTCCCTGGATGCAAGCGAGCAATTGCATCCTCCATCGATTTGAATTGAGTATATTGGATCTTAATTATTGTTGTTGAAAAAGCTTAGCTTAGCTTGTACTAGTATGTAGTGGTACTATGGAAGAAATTAAAACGCAGTTGTAACGACAGGGATGAAATGTACGCTAGTGGGCTGGCTGGCCGATCGAAGAAGAAGCCAGCAAGCTAGCGTGTGAAATTAAACAGAGATCGATGATCATTCATGTACTGGTAGGTACATCATATATCTTTATTGTGCGTGGTACGTACGTTGTATATATATCGTTGTTCAGACAGTTAGAAAAGAAGATCGATCGAGCTCGATCTGTCATCGACAATCCAAAATATTATTCCACTTGCATCTGCATGCATACAGATACAGGCTCTCTCTGCCTCCTGATCTCTTTGTATCATATCGATGTCGTGGTTGTCGCAGGCAGAAGCTGGTGGTGGTGGGCGCAGCAAGAAGTCAGCAGCAGGTGAGTTGACGACGACAAGTGAAAAGAAGAAGAAGACGAGGAGGAGGAAGGTGGCGGTGGTGTACTATCTGTGCCGAAGCCGGCAGGGAGGGCTGGAGCACCCACACCTGATGGAGGTGGAGGTGGGCGACGGCGAGGAGCAAGTGCATGTGCAGCTGCGGCTGCGAGACGTGACGCGGCGGCTGGACGCCCTGCGAGGTAAGGGGATGGCGGCCATGTACTCGTGGTCGTGCAAGCGGAGCTACCGCGGCGGCTACGTGTGGCATGACCTCTCCCACCCGGACGACCTCCTGCTCCCTACAGGACCCCACGACTACGTCCTCAAGGCCTCCCTTCTCCATCTCCACCACCTCATCGATCCTCCTCCTCGCCACCATCCCTTGATCACCTCCACCAGCAGCAGCGCTCATCACTCTTTGCCACCTCATGCTGCCGCTGCTGCTCACGTCTCTCTTGTATCCTCTTCTTCCACCGACGCCAACGCCAACAGCGTCGTCGTTGGCGATGACCAATGCACCTCCTCCTGTAGGACTCAGCCACATTCATCATCGTCGTCGTCGTCATCTTCTTCCTCCTCTGCCTCTTCTTCAGGCAGCAGCTCGTCCCATAATAACAACAGCAAAGAGAAAGAGGACGAGAAGCAAGTAGTGGGCGAGGCGCGCAGGCCTGCAGCAGCTGTGGTGGTTGCGTCGGCGGCAACGCAGACAGATGACGACAGCTCCTTTACTGTTACTGGATCGATTGCGGCGCCATCTGCCCAAAAGCAGGGAGCGGCAGGAGGAAGAGGCAGCAGCAGCAGCAGCAGCCGGAGCCTCGAGTCACTGATAATGGCCGAATATTCCGGCTTCAGGAGTATGCTGGAAGATGATGAAGAAGAATCAGCAGGAGGCGCAGATAACAGCAGCAGAAGAAGAAGAAGCTGTTCCATGTCGATTTACAGGGTGAAGCCGGCCAACCTGCTCATGCGTCTCATCGCTTGCGGTTGCGGCTCCTCCATTCCCATTCCAGCGGCTGCGGCTGCGGCTGCTAAGCAGCAGCTACAGCAGGTTGAGTCTTTGCCATTGTCGCCGGTGCTGTCTCCTCTGTCTCATCTCGTCAATAAGCAGCAGCTGCCTCATGAGCAGGATCGTTTTTCCGGTGGTACAATCAGTACTAGTAATGCTAATGCAGCAGGGAAGCTCAAGTACGTATATATACATGTGCCGGCCACTCCTCCTGCACCTGCTAGCGCGATTACATTCATACATTCAGTATTTATTAATTATACATTCTTCTTCGGCTTAAAATTAATTAATTGCAGAGTTGCTGATGATAATGCACCACCACTAGTACAGTCCCAAATAGAATGCTCAAATGCACCCAGGCCGGAGGATTTTGTTAGCTCGGCAGCAGCAGCTGCTGGTAATACTACAAACGAACTGGCACATTCAAGGCCGGTAGTCGTAGCATTCCGTCTTGACAAACACGACGACAAGGTCATCAAGATCGAGGAGAGGTAACTAACAACATTTTTTATACTCTATATAGACTAGATTACTCTGTTTCTGTTTCTTTGCTTGCTGCTTAATCTCATCTATTATCAACGATCAACGAGTATATATATGTGCAGGCTTGCTTCTGGAGCCCGCGTTACCATATCCAGTAGCACTGTGCACCCAGCTGCAGGTGGCTTGGCTTGTTCCTCTAATTATCAACTCCATCGTCGTCGTCACAGTGGCGGCCTTGCTTAATTATTTTCCTCCACTATTTCGCTGTCAAACTCAAATGTACCGTCCACAGCACATCTTCCACGAAAATAATAATAATAATAAGCTGTTCTGGTAGAGTCACACAACCAGATCGATGTCTCTTCTTATACCTTCAAAAAGAAGCTACAATTAAGCTTTATGTATGTGCCAATAAGCTATCGTCTGTTAATTGTGCCTTAAAAAAGTTACAGTGAAGGATTGGAATCCTTAGGATTTTTTTTCCTATGAAGATTGTTTGGTTTGTAAGATTTGGGCCCCGATCGAGAGTGACAGGAAAATCCTTCCGGCACAAAAAACGGAGCAGGCCATTAGCGTGTGATTAATTAAGTATAGCTATTTTTTTTAAAAAATAGATCAATATGAATTTTTCAAACAACTTTTATATATAAACTTTTTTTAAAAAACACACTATTTAACAGCTTGCGAAGCACGCGCGAAAAAAACGATGTGGCGGGAGTGGTTGCCCGTGGGAACGAGCGCACCCTTGGACTTGCAAAAATCCTTTGGAATTCATTCCAATGCCCCCAATCCATTGGATTTTAAGGGTGTGTTTAGTTCACGCCAAAATTGAAAGTTTGATTGAAATCGAAACGATGTGATGGAAAAGTTAGAAGTTTGTGTGTGCAGATAAGTTTTGATGTGATGGAAAAGTTGAAAGTTCAAAGAAAAAGTTTGTAACTAAACTCGGCCTAAGTTACTTTCTCCTATGGGAATTCCAAAGCAACATCACTCTTTCTCCCTCTGCTCTTACTCAATTTAAGTAACACGTAATCTAAAATATCCTATATTTTTCTTGTGAGCCATCCAAACACATATTTTTAGCAATCCCGTGACTCTACTTTTCATAGGATTCAACATGTCACGGCAATCCAATCGTATGTTTTGCTTTTGAATATATCCCGTTTTCCTACTCTTATGTTTTTAAAATCCTAATTTTTTTCATCCCTCCAATCATGAATATATCTACGTTGCCATCCTCTCTTCACTATCGATTTTATTATATATATGTATGTTAGAAATATCACATCTAAATTGCGAGCGGGTTTTATTTTTTAAATACGGTACAAATGCAGACATTTAAAACACGCGTACACCCTACATCTATGAGCACATTCAAAAGATTGAGCCGGTATACATTGAGATCGACGAAGTCACATTTAAAAGATTGAGCCGATATACATTGAGATCGATGAAGTCACCACAGACGTCTCAATGTCAAGGGCATGTCGGCTAACACTAAAAGAATATAGCCATAGGCCGTGTTTAGTTTCAAAGTTTTTCTTCAAACTTTCAACTTTTCCATCACATCAAACTTTCCCACACACACAAACTTCCAACTTTTCTATCACATTGTTCCAATTTCAAACAAACTTCCAATTTTAGCGTGAAATAAACACAGCCATAAATGTGCGAGTACCCATATAAGTCTAGGATTTAAATCCGGGTGGACTGATTCCATCATAAGAAACCTAACTATATGAGTTTTGGTGATTTTATTTTTCACTTGAATAGTTTGATGAGTTGGTTAAGATATTGCAAGATGCAATATTACTGTTTCTAACTAACATGCCGTTAATAATTTTATTAAATTTAAGAAGAAAGTGATGTGATGCAGGACGATATGTGTTAGTTAGATACTGGAGTATATATATACTCCAGCTGCAATTTACTGGACGCGTCTACAGTGTAAATATATGTTATACTTTTGCATCTGACCTACCCTTACTTAACCTACCGGGGCGGTCATTGATTGAGTATATTGTTGAAAGAAGATTACTGCATACTCTCTCTGTCATTAAAAAAACTAACCTATTACCACATAAGATAATTAATCTGGATATATGTTTGTCCAGATTTATAGTCTTAGATGATGTCAAATCTTCATCTAGATTTTTTTTTATAGAGGAAGTATGTTTGCATGTGGCTCTAATTAACAAGTACTTAATGATTAAAATGTGCATGTGCCGAGTATATGGAGAATAGTACGTATATACCGAATGAATTTATGTTGGAATTGCTGTGGACCAAGTGAGCAACAATTCGATCGATGATGATCGTCGAGTGTACTAGTAGTAGGTTAGTGGTGGCTGGGTCGTCACGTCATTGCATTGCAAAGTCCAAATATCACCCCACACACATATATAGACGGAGACGACCGACCGACCAGTGGATTTAGTCGCAAATGCGTGCTGTGAAGGATTCTAAAGTTGGATTTACTTTCCAGTCCAATTTCCAAGCTACCACGGTATTTATTTATTTATTTTCTCCGGCACCAAGTCGCAGTAAGAGTATGATTTAATGAATTATATGTGGAGTATGTGTAAAGTTTGACCTAGCTAATTAACGGGAATGAATTCCATTATGATATATATATATATATATATATATATATATATATATATATATATATATATATATATATATATATATATATATATATATATATAAAGAGAGAGAGAGCAGTATTACTGTTTGTCAAATCTCATAATAAATAAATAAATAAAATAAAATGCCTTTGGCAAAGAAGAAAAAAAAAAGGGGTAAATTGGAATATAGGAAGTGGCCGGAAATCCGAAAAGAGAGGGAGGGGAAAGGGGGGAATCCACCTCGAAGATTCCTCGTCTCGCTTCGCTCTTGCTCTTGACTCCGCTCTACCCGCCGCCGCCGCCCAAACGACCAAACGACCTCCTCCTTGTTCGGACTTTGGAGCAAGCAAAAGCAATCGCAATTAGCAACACATCAATCAAATCCTTTGTTAGATTTGATGCGAGCGTCCTCCAATCCAAGATTAATTTCCATCTATTATTAGGGTACTCCTACGAAACAACAAGTAGCTAGCTATTAGTGAGTGAGTGGAGATTGAGAATTGGATGGGGATTCCGAATCCCAGCGACGAGGTGGTGCAAGTCCGGCACGGCGATGTCGCCGGCGAGCCAACCGTGGTGACCATTAGCTGCCCCGACAAGACGGGCCTCGGCTGCGACCTCTGCCGCCTTGTCCTCCTCTTCGGCCTCAACATCGTCAAGGGAGGTAAAATATATAACATTCCTCTAGTATTCCCTCTTCTTTCCTCATTATAGCAGTCCAAGAGAAGAGATTGGATTGGATTGGATTGTAGACATGAGCACTGATGGGAGGTGGTGCTACATCGTGCTGTGGGTGGTTGCAAGGCCCGGCCGCGCCATGGCAATGAGATGGGACCTCCTCAAGGACAGGTTGATCCAGCTCTGCCCTGTCGCCGCGCCATTCGGCCTCGACAACCACCACCTCGCCGCCGCTGGTCTCCACCTCCACGACCACGATGCACCTGCCCCCTCTCCCAACATCTTCTTGCTCAAATTCTTCTGCTACGACCGTATGGGCCTCTTGCATGGTGGAGTACTCACTACCTTTTCTTTTCTTTTCATTTCTCTGCCCCATGGGTTTCCTTTTACTTTTTTGAGCCCTAATCTCACCACACAATGATGAATGAAATTACCAAGTTAGCAACCAATTCATATGCCCCAATCTCTTTGCAACAAACTGATTTACTAGTTTAGCCATAAACCTTTTCTTCAGCTTCATTTCTTCAAAATGTTGCTTCAATTCCTCACAAGACTTAGGAGCTCAGGATTACTAGCGAGCTAAGCCCTAAAAAAAATATTTAAGTGCTTCCAGTGAAGATATTTTACTAGAAAAAGGCCTAATTTGGAGCTGCTTGCTTCTGTGCTTTGCAGACGTGACACGAGTGCTGTGCGAACTGGAACTCACAATTCGTAGAGTGAAGGTCTCCACCACACCTGATGGGAGAGTGCTGGATCTTTTCTTCATCACAGATGCTAGGTCCACTTCTTATCTCCCCACACATCCTTTTCACTACTCCCATCCAGATTCTTTTGCTATAATTCCCAGAACAAAATATTATCTTTTCACAAATATCCCGCCATACTTTCTCTTAACCCTTGCAAAGTTGCTTATTGTTTGGTTCTGCCTCTCTACTGAAACTTACATGGTTGCTGATTATACACTTCTTCCTGAGGGATGTGCTATTCATTCTTCTAGGTAGGTAGTTATAGAGGAGTATCATTGCAATAGTATATACAACAGTATCTTGTTCATGTAGCAACTAGCTGTCATGTAACTGGGCCGGATTGGTATGCATATTGAGCTCAGGGCTGGCTAGGCCCAATCCGGCGACAAGCCGACCACTCCAGCCACTACAAAAGGAGCAGAGCCAACAAATGGGGAGGGAACAGAACAGAACAGATGAAACTTGACTTCTTCCTTCCGATGCTCTCTCTTCTTCAACCTCTGTATCTCTCTTCTCTTCTCCAATCTCTAGCTATGTCTTCTTCTCCAACCTACTGCTGATTCTCAGTCTTGATTCCTTTTCCCCCATTTGTATCCCCAAATACTCATGTATCGAGTGTTGGAGGAAGAATTGTTTGCTTGTGCAGGAATTCACTAAATCACATGGAGTGGATTCGTAACACTAGCCTGACAGGGTGAATACATCCATTCTTCCTTTTTTCAGATAAATCTGGTTGACTAGGTAGGTAGGTGAGAAATTCAGTATTTTCCATCCAATTCACTGGCCCGTAAGCCTTTCAAATTTTGCCATCAGGACTGCGAATTTCTTCATTCCGTGCTACTTCCCTCAGTTTGAGTGTGTCATCCGTCTGTGTTCGCCTGTCAGCTGGCACTGCCACTCTTGCTAGGTGTAGCCGACACCTGCCATTGCCGCTCAGCCGGAAAACATTTTCCCCTCCACAAGAGACCAAATCTATGCAATCAGATCATCAAGAACCAGATCGCCATGGCTGAAAGGCTCAGAATCAACTCTGGAGGAGTTTATACTACGATTACCAAAGAAAAGCACAAAATTGAGAGCATGCTAGAACAAACAAGCACAAGAGAATGTACGGGACAGTGGCGTCCATCGGCGGGCAGGGAGCAGGAAACAAACTCCATCCCACCGAATTTCGCTTGACTTTCGCTTGACTTTGCCGCTGTTTTTCTGATCTAAAAGAATCCAAAGAAAAGGAGAAGGGGATCCTTGTTGGGAGCAGAGCCATCGCCATTGCCATGGCGCTGAACCGATTCACCCAATGGCTGAGGCCAGTGAGCATGGTGCATGTGGCGACGATGGACGAGCTCTCGAGTACCCTAGGAGCCAGCGCTGGCGAGCGCAGCTGTGGAACGCCGGGAACAGCCACTGCCACCATGGAAGCAGTCGTGCGGAGCCCACAGCAGAACGGCTGAGGAAGGGCATTCGATATAGTTACCGTGCCATCTGACGGCAGTGGGTGCCTGTCCACTGGCAGGAGGAGCTGTCGCTGGAGGCTAGAGCTGCAGACGGACGACGACCCCCAAGAGCTGCTTCACGGTCCTCGTGCGGTGCTACTGTTGGGATGCCCGAGGCAAGGGGCCAGCGGGCTGAACGGCAACACCAGCGATGGGGTGAACAGATGGACGTGTCAGCAGGCAGACGGACGGACGGACAAACTTAGACAGACGATGCGCTCGAACCGAAAGGAAGTGGCACGGAATGAAGAAATTCGCAGTCCTGATGGTAAAATTGAAAGGCTTATAGATCAAATGGTAATTTCTTAAAGGGCGGCAAATTGGATGGCAAATACTGTTACAAAGGATCTTCAGTTTGGTGCAATTTATGTTCAGCAAGTTCTATCATGTGAAGTATAATCTCCATGCCTGGAACAGTGCTGAATGCTTTATCTGTTTCTGTACAGTAAAATGGGGCTTGGTTGTAAGCCCTTTGTTTGTGCAAAATAATCTTCACGTCCTTTTTATGTAATGTAAATGATCAAAACTCTCATGCATGTTATATCTTACGACGTTTGCAATGACCTCAGGGAACTTCTACATACAAAGAGCAGAAGGGAAGAGACCTATGACAAACTTCAGAGTGTTTTAGGTGACTCCTTGACAAGCTGTGAAATAGAATCTGCTACGGAGGAAATGTCCTCTTGCCTCCAAGCTTCTACTTTGTTGCCACATTCTGCGGTGGAAGAGATGTTTAACGTAGAGGTTGTCGAGGAGCAATCCAGGTCTTGTGGTGGTTTGTCAGTTGCAATGGACAACTCTCTTAGTCCTGCGCACACTCTTATTCAGATCCAGTGTGGTGACCATAAAGGCCTCGTATATGACATCATGAGAACACTCAAGGACTGTAACATCCAGGTAACCACAAGAGAAGAATGATTTGGTTCGAAGATACCAAGTTTTGTTGGCTTTTTTTTTGGAATAGTATGTATGAAGAATGTTCAATTTTGGTTTCAGATTTCGTATGGACGATTCTATGCCAGCCAGAATGGGAGCTGTGAGGTAGATTTGTTTGCTGTGCAATCAGATGGGAAGAAGATCGTTGACCAGCACAAGCAAAGAGCGCTGTGTTGTCGGCTGAGGACAGAGCTCCACCGTCCGCTGCGCGTGGCATTGGTAAACAGAGGCCCTGACACGGAACTGCTGGTGGCTAACCCAGTGGAGGTGTCGGGCAAGGGTAGACCGCTGGTGTTCTACGACATCACCCTTGCTCTCAAGAAGCTTCACAAACGGATCTTCTTGGTACGCATTTCAACTTACTACTGTATCTGTATAACTTACTTGCATTTGTGCCTTGAGTCCTTTACCATCGATTGATTGACGACACCTGTTGCATGCATGTAGGCTGAGATTGGTCGGCATGTGGTGGGTGATAGGGAATGGGAGGTTTACAGGGTGCACCTTGGTGAGGGAGATCATTCTTCATTGCGGAGCAAGATTGTTGATGGAGTCACCAACATGCTCATGGGCTGGGACGACACTCCTCCATCCTAATCCTACTAGTAGTAGTTCTAGTTAGTTTTTTTATGGAACACACGTCCTTTGCCTTGTACATAGTTGGTAGTGGCTGCTGTAAATTGTGTGCCTTGTTAAGTCGTTCGTGGTAGAATGCGTTGGCAGTAGCTAGCTTTGACTAATCAATCAGCAGCTAATTTCAGTCTGTTTAGTTAGGGAGCACTCCCCTCTAGTTGTATCACTATCAAAACTGAATAGTGCTCAAGTTATCTAACAGGAGGAAATGCTTACTCCTAATTACTAAAGTGGTAGTGCCCGCAATTAGTAAGCAAGCCAGTGAACCAATTGAATGCATTCATTCAATAGCCTTGTTGGCAAATGGAGCTTTGGTTTTGAGTAGAGAGTTGACTGGTCGTATAGCTGAGGGCCAACATGCACGACACTCGTCTCTTGTCCAAACACTTGACATATGGCGCATTGGAATGATGGGGCCAGGCTCTTGTTTATCGGGACGGGACGGGAGTACTCCACTCCACTGGCAAGTCCAAGGCAGGGCAGCTGGTGTAGTAGAGAGAGGGGTGGAATCGTGCAGAAGTTACCACGTCATTCCTGGGCGGCTGCCGCGTGTTCACCCGTATGTGACGTGCCGCGCCCCCGCGTCGCCATGGACATGGAAATGGTTTGCAGCTTCAACCCATAAATGAAAGGAAAGGAGAGGAGCTTTGGTAAATAATCCACTGACTTGAAGCAGAACCCAAATAAGCCACAGGTTGACGTAGGTAAATGGCTCCGAAGCAGAAGGAGGCAGCGAACAAGAAGAAGAAGAAGAAGGAGGTGGCAGTGTTGGTGAAGACCAAGACCAAGGTGGTGCAGCTCACCACCACCACCGCGGAGCTGGAGCTGGAGCCCACTGTCACTGTGCAGGTGGACGACAACAAGACGGGTGCAGCTGCAGATGAGACGCCGCCGGTGGTGCCGCTGCAGAGCCAAGAGACGCAGGACCCCAACGAGCCCAAGGCGGCGGCAGCGAAGAAGAAGAAGCGCGCGGGGCATGGAAGAAAAAGGAGTAGGAGGAGGAGAGGCGGTGCATTGGAGTATGGCGGGTACAAGAGGTACGTGTGGCGCGTGCTGAAGCAGGTGCACCCTGACTTGGGCGCCTCCGCCCAAACCATGGACGTCCTCGACATGATGATGGCCGACATGTTCGAGCGCCTCGCCGACGAGGCCTCTCGCCTCTCCAAGCTCTCCGGCCGCCTCACCCTCACCTCCCGTGAGGTTCAGTCCGCCGTCCGCCTCGTCCTCCCCGCCGACCTCGCCAACCACGCCATCTCCGAGGGCACCAAGGCCATCTCTAACTACCTTTCCTAAGCTAGCTAGTCTCTGTTTCCCTTCTTTTAATTGCTTCAGTTTGCTTAGCTCAACAGAGTATGTACGTAGGATCGATTAAGTGCAGGGGATTTGAAGCTTTAGTTGTAGCCTCTGTACAGAGCTACTAGTAGATCAGTCTGTAATCTCCCTTGCTAGCTAATGTGATTGTGATGTCCAGTCAGTACTAGTACCTGTTTGCTGCTTAATTACCGTCCTAACAATATATAATTTGGATTATTTTTCAGCAAATTAATTAATTAAATCACTGCACGTACACACATGCTTGTACAGTGATGGATTCCGTGCTAGCTTAACACTACAGTTGCAACCAGGGTGGATATGTTTGTATAGGAACTAGCTAGAAGGGACGACGTACTCTTAATTTGGCGACTAGTAATTAGATAGAGAGTCCGTACGTCCAGCTAATTAATTTAGTTGCTGGGTTGGGTCAGTCCGGAAGAAGAAATGGTGTTGATCCTGCGGGAGTGGAGGAAGGACTTGTGGTTGCCCTCTGCGGAGGCGAGGTAGGCAAGGAACGCGGCCATGTCGGTGTCCATGTACCGCCGCGGCCTGCCCCGCTGCTCGTCCACCAGCTCCGCCGCCGGCCCGATCACACGCTCCGCCGCCAGGCTGTGCAGCGACGCCACCGACACGCGCGCCCGCCGACCGTTCACGCGCACACGGTGCAGCACGCTCCGGTACAGCCCGTTGCTCAGTATCTCCAGGTGGTCGCCCACGTTCACCACCACCGCGCCGGGAAGCGGCTCCACCACCGCCCACCCGCCGCCGTCGCCGTAGCTCACCTCCAGCCCTCTCACCTCGTCCTGCAGGAGGATGGTTAGCAGGCCGTAGTCGGAGTGCGGCGGCATGCCCAGCGTCAGCTCCGGCTCCGGGCACGCCGGGAAGCAGTTGACCATCATCATCTGCGACCCGGCGTCGCACTCCTCCAGCAGCTGGCGGCGGCACCGCACGATGCCCAGCGCATCCAGCGCCGCCTCCATGAGCTCCCGGAACAGCCTCTGGCACGCCGTGGCGTACGCCGCGGCGGCCGGCCTGAGGTCGTCGGGGGCGTCGGGCCAGGAGGGGAGGACGTCGGCGAGGCGGCGCGTGTCGCGGATGAGTAGCTTGAGGAAGTCGCGCCAGGAGAGGACGGCGTCGTTGAGCTGGTTGAAGCTGGTGCCGTAGCGGACGGCGGCGCGGATGTCGGCGGACATGTAGCGCTTACGGGCGGGCAGGGGAAGGTCGAAGAAGAAGCGGCGAGCGGCGTACAGCATGGCGTCGGGGGGCACGCCGTGGTTGAGAAGCTGGAAGAAGCCGTAGTCCCGGCAGGCGGCGTGGAGCGCGGCGAGCTGACAGGGGTCTCGAGCACGGAGGGCGGCAAGGTCGACGACGGGGAGCAGAGCAGGTGGTGTGACGTAGCGGGCGGGGCGGTCGGCGGGCGGGAGGACGTAGCGGGCGGGCAGGGTGGTGATGCCGCTGTCGCACAGCTGCCGGACGCCCAGCTCCCACTCCGACGAGCCTGAGCCTTCGCCGATGTTGGCTTCCTCTGCTCTCTCCAGGATGGCCATTAACTAGGTCCGTCTAAATTAAATTAGGGTGGGAGTAGATGATTAAAAGTGGGAGTGCGTCTGGCTTGCTTAACAAGTCATTGATTAGCCGCGTGTATTTATAGCCGTCCACCCGGAGCAAATGAAATCATCTTTTCCTTAATTCCCCACTTCTCCCTCCTCTTCCCCTCGATCATCTCTCCCTTCTAATCCCACAGGGCGGCCATATCTGGGGAACTATTCTAATTCCTCGAGGAGATGTTCTCTCATTTACCTAAAAACCATCTAAACGGTTATACATTCATACAACACATAAATATAACTCCACAAAATCTTGAGTCCAAACTCAACTCATACGTCAAGATATTAAAAAAAAGACAAATTCAGCCTATGAATAGTAGGGTACTGTTTATATCTAAATTTGTCTTTATTGTTTCTCGATGTGTAGATCGAATTTAAACTTGAATTTTGGTGGACTAGTAGGTATCATTATACTATACATTGTCAATTTTTTTTAGAATTTTTCACAACTATTTGCATCAAATTTGAAAGAAAAAGGTATACGAGGGGATATCTCCTCGAGGAATTAGAATCCGCTCCCCCATATATGAACTTTAGCTGAGAAATGCCCAGGGGTCTTCCAGCTAGCTCCACAAGGTGGTGGGCTAGACGATCTAAGTTCGAAGCCTCACCCATTCTAATTATTTGATATTAGATCCTTCCCTAATATTTATGTCATAGATGAACTTTAGCACTGTGGTTATCGCCTTTTTAAAGTTCATGCAATTGTTAAAGCTATTAATCTTAGAAAATCTTGTAAATTCCTAACATTATACAATTCAATTTGTGCTTCAGTCACCCACCTCTTCCTTCTTTCTTCTCCGGTAAACTCCTGGGTTCAAGGTGGATGTAGGGAGAGGAAAAGAGGGGAAAATCGCCAGGCTTAAAGGGATGGATGTGGGAGGCGGTGGCCCGACGATGGGAAGTGGATATAAGCCTGCGTTTGCGGCGGGGCAAATTGAAGCTTGTGATTAGGAGGCGGCAACTGGTGGTGGCGGATCCAGCGATGTGAAATTGTCGAGGCTAGGAGACTCACCACCACCAACTTGGGGAAGAGTATAGGGAGGGGGTTACATGTGTCATTGACCCCTTCTGGTCAACCGGCGAGGCCGGGAGGCATCGTGTGGAGGTGCATGAGCTCACAACTCACTAATTGGGGTGACGTAGGGAGTGACGAGAGGGGAGAGGAAGGGTTAGGGCTAAAGGCACGGTCCATAATTATCAATATTTGTTAGGTGTTTTATGTAAATACCCTAAAGTTAAATGTCTCATTGAAGGGGATAGTCATTTTCAAAGATCATTCTCCAAACTAAACATATTGAAAAACGGGTTTGCCCAAACCTGACCCATCTAGCCCCTCAAACCAAACATATACTTAAAAAGGTTGGGTCAACACATCATGAGATTGATGAAATCACTATATATATCTCACGGTTAATGTAACATATCACCAACATGAAATAAAAATTAATTTTGACCAACAATACACGGAGAAATCCATTCACATTCTACAAAGCATTTCTTGTCACTCAAATATATCTATACTTATCTTAGTAAAAGATATGCTACCATCATCCCAACTACCATACAAGGCCCACAAAAAGTGAGGGAAGGCTTTACATTTTTCCTATATATCCACACAATCTAAGATCCTACATGCACATGAAAAATATGTTAGTCGACCCTTATTATAAAATTTTTCATCACTCCATGACATATTAGACAATAGAAATAACTTCTTTTAGAGGCTTTAAAAACATATAGAATGAACTTTTTTTTTAAAAAAAAAAGAAGATCCATTGCAACACCACGGGCATTAGGCATTACGCTAGTTGATTAAAATTTCTAAAAAAATATTATGTTATATATCATTGCTCTATGAAAATGGAAGACTATATTTGAATATTTGATCTACACGTTTAGAAAGAACATAAATCTGGGACTATGAATAAGGTACATACTTTTTAAACCAAGTTAATCTGATTTTGGGACAAATAATTTGTGGGACAGCATATACTAAGAGAAGCCAATGCATATGGTCAAAGTTATTAAATACTAGAGAGATCATGTCAATCAATTACGTACTCCCTCCATCTTAGATTAGTGTGCTCCTTTTAAACTAGAGAAGTATATTTATTTTAGGACGAAGGAGTCTAATTTCACCCATATGTTAAAATCAATTTCTTATGGTCTAGCCCGATGTAAGTCCGAAACATAACATATGTGCTCGTATTTTCTTATGACTTTATCTTTGAACTCTTGCCAGGACGTGTCAACGTGGGTGTGTAGCGGGCGTAAAAGTGTGGTACGTGCATGTGCACTTTTTTTAAAAAAAATGAAGATGGATGAAGTAAATGTCAGTTAATTACATTTCAGCGCATATCCTTCTTTGATTTGGTTTGATATACTTTGGGAGTTAGGGCACGGTACGACTCAGAGAAAGGTGCTTAAATTGCTACTTGATATGTTAATATTAATTTAGAAACAAGAATAAGTTCTAGCATGATCTGAGATGGATTTGCATGCATCATATTCAGTGGGCTTAATCTATCATGCCTGCAGCATCTCTGCATGGTGCTTGATCATCAGTAATTACTAATTATTATCAACAATTCGATATATTGGAATCTGTTTTTTATTATATGGAATGTACTCCCGGACAGACCACAAATGTTGGGCCTAGATTTATTGACACTATATTTATTCAGTGTTGATTCACACTAAATTTCGCACTAGCACTATAATAATAATACAATAAGAATATACTGTATATATGGGCTACCGATTGATCGGTCATTAATTTAGTGCTTCCAAATTAAAATGCATGCGTTCTGTCCTGGATATCTATCTCTAGCAAAGTAGATTAGTAGAGTAGCAAAGCATATGCATATGCATGATTTTGCCTCAGCTAGGCTTCCGACCAGACATGACTTAACCATGACCTAACCGCACGAAATATTCTACACATGCACGAATTAAGCTCCCTGACTTTTTTATATGCCATTCCTAGCTGCTGCTACTAGCTACTCCCTCCATCCCAAAATATAAGCATTTTTAGCTATGAATCTGGACAAATGTAAGCAGGTACTTCCTTCATCTCCAAAATATAGGCCAGTTCCCAAAAAAAATTCCCAAAAACATCACATTAAATCTTTTAACATATGCATGGAGCATTAAATATAGATTAAAAAACTAATTACACAGTAAGGTGGGAAATCACGAGACGAATCTTTTGAGCCTAATTAATCCATAATTAGCCATAAATGCTACAGTAACCCACATGTGCTAATGATGGATTAATTAAGCTCAAAATATTCGTCTTGCGGTTTCCAGGTGAGTTATGAAATTAGTTCATTCATTCGTGTCTGAAAATCCCTTCCAACATCCAGTCAAACATCCTACGTGACACCAAAAATTTTCTTTTCGCGAACTAAACTAGCCCATAGTAATTTTTAGCATTTAAATTCTATTTTAAAAATATAGTTATTTCGTTACCTAACATCTTATCTCAACCAATTACAACTATGGCTGATATAAATTTTTCAGCTATTTACTCTTTTTAATCAATCACGTTATTTCTTATTTAGTCTCACGTAGTTTCTTAGTACCTATGTTTTGCTTTAAAAATACTTATATTTTAGCACTGAGGAAGTAGTAGCCACACTGGCATCCACGCCTTGATCTTTTTTAGATAATGGAAATGGATTACATTTCCGGCTTCTGTCATAAGACACACAGCCATAAGTTTAATAGTAATAAAAAGGTAATATAAAAGTAAATCAAAATGAGAAATAAGGTGATGGGACAAATCCCCAACTCCTCTTTATTATTGACTAGCGTTAAACCACGTAAAATATTTTAGCTAGCAATTCTTATGGAACTACGCCACCCATAGTGGAATAAGAGATCCTTGGCTACCGATTCCAAGAGTGTAGCACCATTGCGCATAGTATCCTGCTCCTCCTGTGGTAGCATTGTAGACCAAAAGTGGAGCCAGTAGGAAGACATGAAGATAACCTGCATAGGGTTAGATAATTGTTTACCATTAAAAACTTTATCATTGCGACAATGCCAAATTGACCAACATACAGCACTAGCTCCAATTAGAATCATCTTCTTAATGGACCTAGTTACCCCTCTAAGCCAATTACCGAAAATGTTTTTGGCATTACGGGGTGGGGGATATTAAAAGCAAAAAGCACACATCTCCAAACAAACTGAGCGACATGACACTCAAAGAAAAGATGTTGGATTGTCTCTTGTGCATAGCAGAAAGAACAATGTTTGTCTCCCCCCATTTTCTTTTAGCCAGGTTATCTTTTGTTAGAATTACTTTCTTGTGAAGAAACCACATAAAGACCTTGATCTTTAGTGGAATTTTCAAGTCCCACAGAATTCTCTTTTTGATCCGAACATTACAGTTCATGATCGCGGCATACATAGATTTGATGGAAAATTGACCATTCTTATGGAGCGACCATACAAAGCAGTCCTTTTCATTTGACAGAGTTATATTAGCTAGCATGAGGATCAAATCGTTCCACTCGATTAGCTTTTGGCCAACAATAGCTCTTCTAAAAGAGATATTTAGCGGCGTTGTGCTCATGACCTCTGCACAGTAGACTGCTTCTTTCGAGCCACATTATATAATGTAGGGTATTGATCTTTGAAAGCACGTGATCCCAACCACGTGTCTTCCCAAAATCTTATGTTTGTCCCATTGCCACATCTAAAAGAACCAAACCTAAGAAATTGGTCTTTGACTTTCATTAAACCGGCCCAGAACTGAGAAATACCTATCTTGCTGGACATACCAGAAAGAGGTTTACCCTTTAAGTATTTATTTCGCAAAAAGTCTTGCCATAGGCCTTCACCATTAAACAACTGGAAAAGCCATTTGCTTAATAAGCAGCTATTTTTTATATCAAGGTTATGGACACCTAGGTCCACCTTGATCTTTTGGTCGACATATGTTTTCCCACTTAGTTAGTCTATATTTTCTTTTACGGTCATCATTACTCCAAAAAAAACATGACCTAAAGTAATCCAGTCTTTGAAGCACACCTCGTGGAATTTCAAAGAAGGATAACATAAACAAGGGAAGGCTCAAAAGAACTGAGTTTAGAAGGGCCAATCTCCCACCATATGACATGTTTTTGCCTTTCCATGTGCTGAGTTTCCTCTCAAATCTATCTTCAACTCCTTTCCAATCAACATTCCGGAGTTTCTGATAATGAATAGGAATACCAAGATATCTAAACGGGAAAGATCCAGAATTACAACCAAATAGTTATCTATATTGATCCTCCACTTCCTTGGCTTTCCCAAAACAAAAAATCTCACTTTTATGAAAGTTTATTTTCAGCCCTGAGAGCTGTTCGAACACACATAGGATGGCTTTCATATTTTTGGCCTGTTCAAGGTCATGATCTAGAAAAATTACTGTATCATCAGCATATTGTAGAATGGACAAACCATCGTCCACTAAATATGGAATGACTCCTCTAATTTGACCATCGCCTTTAGCTCTCTCAATGAGAACCGCTAACATATCAACCACAATATTGAAAAATATAGGCGACATTGGATCCCCTTGTTGCAGGCCTTTGTGCGTTTGAAAATTATTACCCAAATCATCATTGACTTTTATACGGACACTTCCTCCTTCAACCATTTTAGAAATCCAATGACACCATTGCTGAGAAAATCCCTTCATGCGTAGTGTTTATTAGAGAAATTGCCATTTGACTTTATCATAAGCCTTTTCAAAATCAATTTTGAAAATAACCCCATCCACGCCTTGATCTATCAAAGTATCGATCGATCCACAGTGCTTGATTAATTGACCGATGAATGCAAAGACAGCCGTGGCCCGTACTTGATTAATTGAGCTATACCTATATGATAGTGAGCACAGTGTAAATTAAGATGCTTAAAATTTACGGCAAAAAAAAACTATATGTACTGCAGGTACACACGCATGGATACTGGATAGATCACTGCCCTGTACGACTCGATTGGAATCTGTATTATCTGCATGGATGCAAATTAAGTCAAATAATCGTTCGCTGCTACGAATAGTACTAGTAGCTAGGTAGCAATTAAAAGGTTTCATGCCTGCGATGCACCGTGACTATATTGTCTTTTGCAACCGATCCATCGATCTGATCGTGAGTTGAATACATATGCAAAGTCATGTGGTTTTGTCACCGACTTTTTCATATTCGTTTTACAGAGACCTCTCATGATCTTACATTCTTAAAATTCCAAAATTGCGTCGCAGTGGTCAGCTGGTAATTAAGAACAATACCGCATGTACAATTGCAAGATCTGTCAAATGAACCAAACACACGTCGCAATTAAGTCCTAGATTCAAATACTATTCGATAGCGGGGGCAGCGAATGAAGATGGGTCTCTTCAATTGTGGGAGCTTTAGATAGATGCAATGCACTGTTCGGTGACAGACAGACTGACAGAGAGTGATGGTGCAGCGCATACAATCTTGTGTCAACTGAATTGAATTGGAATGGATCGAATCGAATTTTGCAAGGCACAGATTAGGCCCTGTTTAGTTCCCAAAACAAAATTTTTTACGTTGTCACATTAAATATTTAGACACATGCATGGAGTATTAAATGTAGGAAAAAAAAACCAATTACATAGATTACATGCAAATTACGAGACGAATCTTTTAAGCATAATTACACTATGATTTGACAATATGGTGCTACAGTAAACATTTGCTAATGACAGATTAATTAGGCTTAATAAATTCATCTCGCGGTTTCTTGGCGGAATCTGTAATTTATTTTGTTATTGAACTACATTTAATATTTTAAATGTGTGTCCGTATATTTAATGTAACAACCAAATCCAAAAATTTTCCCCAAATAAACAAGGCCTTAATATCAATTATCACTGCTATGTTATCAGGCAGACAGAGAGACAGGCTTTAATATTATTATTGATGGGCAACAAGTTGAGCAAGTTGTGTTTATGCTGTCGGTCGGACCCATTTCAACCAAAGTGATGCATGTTTGATAGATATGGAAAGCAGCCCGTTTTGGCTATGTCAAGTGTCCCAAAGATTTGCTTACTTAATTTCACCAATCATGCATTCATGCATGCACCTTCGTCATCGATCCAAGCATTGTCCTGCCCTGTCCTGCAATCTCGAAGACCTTGCTTGTTGGGGCATCAAAATCATCTCCCCGTACTCGAAAACACAGCAAAATCAACAGTCACCTTATCCAAACATTTGTCCTAACAGTGATATAGTACAAAAAAGAAATACAGAACAAACTACAGGTAGACATTTTACCTACCTGCAGTGCAGGCTGCATTTGGGTTGGGTGTCATATGGTTTGAAGGAAGGCTGAGCTGACACAACCCAGGAGCCCATATATACAAATGTAGTTCTTCTGGTTCAGCACCCAGAAACCACCTACTATGTGATACAGTACGTACTTTTACAACCGAAGCACATGCCTTTGCCTTCCAAAAGAAAGTTTTGCAACTTCAATCAGTAGCAAAAAGATCTGATGTAATCCCTTCTGCAGCACACCAACATGAACAGCTAAGTTTCCGTTTGCCAATGCAAAGGGTACATACTCTTTCTTACCCATATAACTTGGCAAAATAGTAGCAAGATCTAATCATCCTAGTTTTCGTTGCGCTGAAGCTGCTGAGCTCCAGCATAAGTAACTCCACTGTTACTGCCAGCTGCTTGTTGGGACGGCAGGGAAAGAAGCAGACCTTGCTGTGGTAGCTGAGCTCCATTATTCAAGTGAACTAAATTAACTGGTGGGGGTCGGCCCAGCAATCCTCGACTAAGCTGAGGAGCCACTGGCAACTGAAGCGATAAACTGTAGCCAAAACCAGAAGGGATAATAACAAAAGGTGGCGTTGGCTTGTGCGCACACTGAGTACTAGCCTTAGCCTGGGTGGGATGTCGATGTACAACCTGAGGAGCTTCAGCAGTTGTAGAATTAGCATGCTGGTCTGATCCTACTAGGTGCACAGCATGCTTTCCCTTTCCGAGCCCATATCTGCTATCTGGGCTCGTTTGTGGCTTGCGTTTTCTCTTGCCACGCTTCAAACGAGGTTTACTGACTAGCTCATCTGGTTTAAGGCATCCAAACAGAAGGGTCTTTAGCTTTGATGTATCTAGTTTACCCCTCATGAAATCTAACAAGTTCAAAGCACAATCTCGAAGACATCTGCAAATCTTCTGCATCTCCTTTTTCCCAACTGACCTAGCAAAATTTTGTGACCGGTCCAAGAAATCTTCAACCTACATGAACAGGAGTAAAGGAAAATTCTTGTTGAGGGCATAATACTTAATTCAAAACAAATCTTACATTTAAATTGCCAATTCCTTTCTTCCAGGTCTTAGAGATCCATGATGCTTCAAAGTTGCTAGCGCATAGCCCATGCTCCCATAAGCTCTCCGCTGATAATAGCTGGAGAACAAAAGGCCAACTTTGTGACTTATTAGCGACCATAATAAACTATCACACAATGGTAATTAAGGTGGTACAATTTTAAAACAAGTTCAAGCTAATACAAGTGACCAAATAATTGTACACACAAAAATGTTAATTGCAATATTGGGGAAAAAACGTTGAAATTAATAGTGTGCAATGTATTTTTCCGTGTAATGAAAATAGCTAAAAGCCCCAAAAGCACAAACAAACAAATACATCCTGCTAGAACGGGTACATTATGAGAATTTCTGGACGAGTATTATCTTGTTTGGGCTTGCCTAACCCAAAGTTCTTAAAGAAAATGATACAAGGAGAATCTGAGTTCAAAAGGAACCTAGGCACAGTAATGAACATTTAAATGAGTCAACAAATCACATTATTAATAAGGAAAGTAACTTAAACATAAAAGCTATATAAAAGTTATATCCCAAAGGAACTCACTTTACTGATCAACGATACAAACAGTTCAGCTACAGTTTCTTTATTTGTTCTCCCAAACCCCTTAAATGCCAACGTATTCCTCTCAACACTTTCAAAATCTGAACCATCTGCAAGGAATCTCATCATCAGCTCAGAGTGACTCAGTTGCTGCCAGCACATGAAAAAAAACAAAGATAAAAAATTATTTCAAAAACCTTTTAATAAGGCAGATAACGGGGGTAATATTGGAGGATCCCGGGTCTGCGCTGCACATTGCACCAATGGTAAGAAGATTCAACTTATACTTATTCATATAAAAAAGGAAAAGAAGTATTAAATGCCAAATGTTTGTTTTCTTAAGCATAGATCTAGTGAGTTACTAGTAAAACACCCAGTTTCATAAAGTTCGATGCAACAAACTCCAAAACGAATGTGTAAAAAGACTTCATCTGTTCAATTGAAATTCAACATAAACCCCTGGCATCATTCCTTGATATTATAAGGATATGAAAAACTTTTTAGTGAAAATCCTCTTTGTTTGCTAGACATATTGATTCAAATCCAATAGTTGAAACAAAATATGGGAAAACAACTAATCATCATATAATAGTCAAACAGTGCATTGTGAAATCCTCTGTACCTGCAAATGGAAAGCAACTAATGAAACTATTGACATGGAGCTCAGCGTTCGCTCTCTCGGGCTATTCACATCATGTATCTTAGCCCAGAACTTCACCTTCAAACACAAAAGAAAAAAGAACATTGTTATCACCTTGCATTTGTATAGTATATCTTTTTTTCTCGGGGGAGGGGATTACATTACCAGGTAACTTAGTATCTGAAACCTTGGATCAAGTGAAGAAATGAACTTAAAGATCATTGATCTTGTCATGCCATCTTTATTTTCAACCGTAATATCACACTCAATCCCAGTTCCCCGATCAATAACATTCACAATAGGCACCCTAGCAGTTACAACAGGCAGAACCCCACAGAAAATTCCATTCCCTGAAAATGTGAGTATATTACTGCAGTTGGAGATAGATGGGCTTAGAAAGATGCATAATTATAGCGGGCTATTTTTATGCTTTCTCTATTTGAAAAAAGAAAAAAAAAAGTGGCCAGGATGGTCCATTAGTGAAGTATATCAGTCGGCACACCCAGTGACTTTGTAAAGCTCCAATTTTCAGATAAGCTGATTTGAACTAATTATCCTATGATTACTTTTGCAGTGCGCTTTTTTCACTTTTATGAGATTTAGTAGCAACTGAGGCTTAGTACATATAAACCATCTGCAATGTTGTCAGTTTTGATATCCTTTTTTTATCCCTGTATGAGCTATCGTTGCAATTGGAAGTAAGATCAGAAAACCAAGTGGCATGTCACAGGAAACGGGGTCGAAGGAAGCATTCCTTGACACCGGGGAATGCCGTCCCCATCCTGGAAACGTGGGTGCATTTTCATTCCCACCTTATAAAAACCTCTCACAAGTAGCATACCACGTTCCTCGATCCCATCGACCTGGGAACTTTGTGACTCATGCAAAGGAGCCTAATGATAAAAATTGGTGGACACACAAAGTACTAGTGAATATTTAGAGATACTGTGCTCTAGGCAGTAATTACTTTGATGAGAATATAGAACTTTGGTGAACTTCCTAATAGCAGAAATTTTTTTCTTGCGAGCATACTGATCGTCAGTATTAGCAGTAAAATTGACAGAGAGGTCCAGGTCACTTCTAGGGGTAAATAAATCCATTGTAAATGATCCAAATGCCTCCACGACTGGAAACCCATTATTGTTACCTGAAATGATTTGTTAAAGAGGATGGCCAATCAGCATGCTAGAGACAATGTTTAGCAACTAATCAAACTATCACTTTATAAAGAGTTGTTTTACAGTCATTGGGAGGTATTGACAGATATGGAGGCATATTCTAGATTTCTAGTGGTAAACAGTGGCCAAGTAGTGAAGTAGAGTATTGTGAAGAACATTAGTATAGGATAGTAGATGAACATTGGTATTAGAAACGATTACAGGGGTATGCAATAAGCAGATGAGTAAGGAAATGAAAGAAAAATGATGCCTCTTAGCATACCGAAGATTTGGTTTGCTATGTTGTTGAAGACATGAACCAAGGTAGTCCGTTGCTCGTAATCAAGTGGTTTTGGGCGCAGCATAGTATACACCTGAAGAAGCAAATTATCGAGAATAGGAAGAAGAGTGCGATTGACTGACAGGGCTGCCAACTCCTCCGACTCGAGACATTCGGCATGCGCGCGTAACACTGAAGAGAAACAGGAAATCGAAATTAAAAGGAGAGCTAGCGCAAAATGCATGGAAGATGAATGGGAGCAGCAGCTAGTAGCCTAGTACCGTACCTTGGGGATCCCATGCGCTTACCTCACTGTCACTGGACCTAGGTGGAGCACCAACAATCAAATCAAAGAGGAAAACATATGAGATCCAGTGGAGTATGATATTCCCAGCCCCAGCGAGCGGGAAGGAATAATACAGGATTGGATTGGAGTAGAGGACGCCAACTAACTGTGTGCTTTCGGAGGAAGATGATGGCATGGAGAAGACCGCCGGCGGAGATGGTGGCGGGGATCGAGTAGTGTCCTCTCCTGTCATGTGGGTCCTACAAGTCAGTCTCGCTCACTGCTGGAATACTGACTACTCGCGCAACTACTCCTGTCAACTCCTCCGACGCCCCGCCGCGCTCCCCAACTTGTCGCCCCCGCCCCCGCAGAGGACCGGCGGATGAGCAGGGATCCCGTACCACCCGACTAGGCCGCTGGGTGACGAGCGACGAGGGATGACGGGTGGTTGAGGAATGGGCGTTGCTACCACCGCCGCCCCCGCCGGTGCGCTGTCCCTGGCCGCCGCCGCCGCCGCCGTCCGTGCGTGGCCGCCGGTGGACTGGGTGGGGTGGGAAATGAAATGAGGATAACATGGGCTTTTTAGACTCGCGATATACTAGTAGTTATTATTAGTCTAATATACATCCTCCGGGGATCCACGGGTCAACCGCCCCCGATCCTACTCATGACCGGGAAATCAACACGCACCCGGCACCCCCCGGCCTCTTTCCTACTGATTAAATTTAACTGTTAGTAGTACAGTATTTGATAATCACGCTGATTAGCGTTAATCCTTAGGGTTCTTCCTACTACAAAACATGACAGACAGACAGACAGACAACCGTCGTCAATCTAGCAATCTCATATACCAATTAGAGCAAGGATAATAATAATATAGCACACTTCCTACTTCCTACTATTAGCCTATCTTAAAGCTAACATATATAATAAATTAGCTATAAGATTGTCTACAATTTTTTTCTCCTCTCTCTAGGTATTTATCTTGGAGATTGTGTTAAGTTAGCTCTTGCATGAGAGCCAACCTTTACATCTCTCATCCACACTAGCTAATTAAATCGTGCATTCGCGCGACCATGACATGTCCTTTTATGTATTAAAATTAGAACTAAATATTGGGATGTGGATTTTTATTTCTCGAGGGAATATCCTCCACTCATTGCTTGAAACATATCACTTCCAACAAATTCGATTTATACATATGGCCATAAAATATGTTGTATTTACGAAGGGCTAATTTGAGTTGTTTCAGCTTTAATATACGTGCGTAGATGCCACATCAAACTGGTTAATTAGCTGGTGAAAACAGCGGTTTTCTTTATCGTTAGTTGGAAGAAAAAAAATCAGCAGTAATGCAGGAGGCTGCTACTTTTTTCCTTGGAGATGGCCAGCAGGATTGTTGCCACGTGTCTGTGTTTATTGCTCTGTGTTGGGAACCAGAGAAACGATCACACTCTTCTAGATCATTCTCTTGCCTCTTAGCTTTTGATCAATCCAAGCCATCCCTCCTTAATCCAATGACTAATATAATATTGTATACGTGGCTCAATGGCAGAGGGAATAAACATTCTACGTTCATATGATGATGATGATGATAAGCTTATAATAGGCTTATAGTTCACTGTTATACTTTCTCTTAACGTGATCACTCCAGTTTCATTCAACAAGCGAGGTCTATGCGTATTGTCTGCATCAAAATTACATGACAATGTGCAGGTAGGCGCATGCGGCCAGCATTTTATGTTGTACTAGACAGGAACATTAGTTCCCTCTTACTGTATCCCATCAATCAGTTTGTTCAAATGATCAGTTGTGAAATGAATTAGTAGCTGCCTCCGGTAATCCCAGTTCCCAAACAAAACACTTTCTGCCACCCCAAAACCATATATTACACCAAGGCAGACAAGCAGGGCCCCAATCTAACAAAACAATGGAACTCATCAGAGACAAGAGACACACAAGACAACACAGGCATAGGGCATAGCTAAAATTGAATATAATCATACATCCACTAACACCTACAAGCTCTAAGTAGGAAAAAGAAAAGAAAAAAACATTTCTTCTTCTTTATCTTCCTTTCTCTCTGTATCTACATGATGAAGTATGCTCGGATCACCTCAATTATGGGTGCACGGCACAGCGGGCATTTCCCTCCGCTTCGAACCAACTCATTCGCGCATTTTGAACATGTGCACATGTGCCCACATCTGATAGAAAGTCAACACCCCAACCCCCAACAAAGAGGCAAAACAAACCATCATTAGTACTGTTATACTGTATTAGAGAAGAACAAACTACATGGACCTATTATTCATTATTTCAGAAGAAAAGCATGAGTTCAAACCTGTACAAAAGAGAGTCAATCGGAGTATCACAGCATATACAGCACGTCCCTTTTCTCACATGGATCCATTTTGATCCATCGTCTATAGTTTCTTTACTTTCACCTGAGATACCAAATACAAAGCTTAGGTACAAGTCTGAGCCAATGCGACAAGCATCTAAGCATCAGGCGTTACAAAACTGCATATGATGAAAGTTTATTGTATACCAAATTTATCGTTCCATGATAGATCCAAACTACCTAGCTAGATAACAACTTAGGTCAAAATTAACATAGCTTGACCGCACATCTCCCAGGACTTGACATGTTATTGACTGGAAGGAGTATAATAGCATTCGTTCTTGAGGAACCTTATTATCTTAGCTAAGTGACAATTTGAATTGTAAGGCGCGCCTCGCAACCTTGACAGTGTAAGCACTATGACGAAGAAACAACATCCACGTATCATATAAATATACTATGCATCAAAGTGATACACCAAGGGATAATCAAAGATTAATTTCAATGCTAAATTTTGTTTTGTTAGTGTTGTTAATAGATGAGTACTTTCCAGATGAGTTACTAACCTTGCTCCCCGATGAAGCGATTCAAGGCTGCAGAAACTTCCTGCCTTACAGATCGCTGTAACTCGAGCTGCATGTCCATACAAGCTTCCAACATTCTTTGCATATGACTCATGCCCTGCTGAAGCCTAGCCATATCAGCCCTTAAGTCATTAATAGCCTCCCATTCCTGCAAATACAAACCAAAAGAAAATGAGCCTTTAACAACAAATATAGAAGCAACAGTGCACTATGCATGGAGGATAGAGAGGCTGAATGTGGCAACCTAATTTTAAAAAAAAGTGCAAGTCTCAATTAAAAATGGCATGTTGGCTTGGCCATTCAGAAAAAAAGAAATTGTGCACTTGGAACGAACTGAGGAAGATGAAAAGCTCACACATGTGACAAGAATAACATAGGTAATAACTTACAATATCAGAGCGATGTATGTTTTGTCTGATCCAGTTATTACGATGCAACTCCGAATGCCAAAGTGGCTGGCGAGGAGGTATAGGCGGAGGTGGAATCACTAAGGGAGGCCTAACAACATTATCATGAAGCTCCTGTTCCTCTTCATCTCTATGCTGCTCCTGGCTTTGCTCGGGTGAGTCAGGCGCAGGAGGTGCTCCTTCCAAATCCCAAGAGAGAGGAGCACGACCTTGCCTTTCAACATATGACCGGATAAGTCGGTCCAAATTTTCACGAAAAGCACTATGAAGAAGATTAGAAACACTCCTTCTGCAGAATGAACACTAATTCAGTATTTACGCTGAGAACTAAAGAAATATGTTGCAGAGACTTTCTTCATGAAAGAAATAAAAAAACCTGCTTAGGAGTTCCCTTAGTTCTGTACTGTACACATTATCATCATCAGCTGGGACAAACGTATTAGCTCTTCTAATAAGAGCAGAATCATGATCAATTGGTTGATCAGAGTTGTCATCATGCCAATTATCTGCAGTATCATTGGACTCATCATCATCATGCCACTCTTCATTTACTCCTTGGAAATGATCATCGCTGTGCCACTCGTTGTGTACTTCTGTAGGAATAAATGGATTACTGCCCTCATTCCACTCTCCACGAGATTGTTGAAGATCACTGTCATGCAGCTCTTCATTCTCCTCGGGAAGATGGCTATTGTCCTGCTGTTCTCCATGAGATTGAGGAGGAAGATTGTCACTAGCTAACTCATCATGTGATTCTGGAATATGTGCATCTTGACCACCTTCAACTTCGGTACCCTCATGAGATGAACCATTGTACGTATTTTCATGCCAATTTATTTCAGATTCCTCTCCAGTAATAGCATGGGAAAATTGTTCCCAATCTCTTCTCTCTTGTTCCAAATCATCCTGCCAACTCTCTGCTTGACTATGAGGTTCATACAGGCCTTCAGCAATACTAGGAGTATTGCTTCCAGATTCAGATACTGTCGCTGTACCTTCAATTTGCTGAAGACCAATATTCAGCCTTGTCCGTTGATGTCTCTCGAGATTATATTCAGAAGAAGAAGGGCTTGATTCAGTATGGCCATTTATAGAGAGCTCAACATTTTGAGCTGAAGAATCATCGGATTGGCTAACTGCATGACCCCTGACGACGTTCTCCAATCTGAAGCGGAACTCTTCTCTAGTTATTAAAAATAATAAGTATTGTTATTATATTTTATATCCCACAAAACTTAATGTATACAAGTAAATTATATCCATAAGTTGGTTTCAAGATGATGTGCTCAACAAAAACCATATGCTCTAATATCCATATCCAGTTGACAAGGTCATAATTACTCATTAGTTGTTCAGATATAGTCTAGAAGCTCTAATTGTACATTAACATAGGTAATCTGAGAAAAGATGCAACGTAAATAAGCAACATATAGCAATGGCGGCATGAATAGAAAGAATGAAGAGGTCTCATAAGAGGTAACACATGCAACCACCGAGCAGCTAAGGATATACTGACAATGACCTTGTAGGCCAATAATCACATGCATTCCAGAAGAGAAGTGGAAGACAAGCAGCAGCAGTAGTGCAGTAGCAAAAAGAAACACGCGAAGGCAGTGATAGTATAGCACAATGGAGTATGTATGTAGTGGGTAGAGAGAGACCTCAAACCAGAGACAGAATGACGCTGTCGTAGCTGGCCGAGCTCGGTGGCGGCGGTGGATGGTGGCCTTCTGTCGTCGTCACCATTGCGCAGAAACCTCCCCCGGAGTAGTGCCTGGTAGGGGAATCCGTAGATTAGATTAGATAGGGGCAAGGCAAATGGGGTCAACAAACAATAGAACTAATGGTATGGGGGATTGGGAGCAGGGTACGTGGATTCGGTTGCGGTGGGGGAAGTCGGAGACGGCGCGGTGGTGGGAGAGGCGGTGGAGCTCGGCGTGTCGGTCGGCGGCCATGCGCATGACGAGCTCGAGGCGAGCCTGGCGGCCGCGGATCCGGAGGCGGGCGTGGTCGGGGGGCGGGTCGTCGTCGCGGTCGCGGTCGCGGGAGGCCATGTACATGTGGAGCGAGATCTGGGCGGGGCCGGGGTCGTCGGGCCAGCGGCGGGCGGCGCGGCGGACGGCGGAGGCGGAGGCGGGGTCGGGGGAGCCCTCGCGGCTGGATCCGTCCCAGTCCCAGTCGCTGTCGCTTTGGCGGCGGGTCATGAGGCGTGGCGGCGGCGGGAGGTCGGCCATCGTCGGCCGAGGAGGCGAGGAGGCATGGGTTCAGGATTCACAACTCCTCCATTTCTGAGTCTTCCTGACACTGCTGGAGACGACGACCACCACAATGGATTGGATTTGGATACACCAACAACAACAACAAGAAGCCGATGCCCTCCGGCTCCGACGAGGAGAGTCCACTCCAACCCCTAGCTAAGCCTAAGCAAAGGAGTCCCCTCTCCCCTCCCCTCCCACCCAAAGCCTCTCGCCTCCGCTCCCTCCGATTGCTGTTTTTCCGCCCTTTCACTTCTTTCTGTTTTTTTTCCCTTTGTAAATAATAATAATAAATAAATAAGCAAGACAAATATTCTGGAGGGAAACAACATTCCAAATGCATCACATTCATCATCATTATTGTTATTAACAATTATATTTGATAATAATCCAGAAACACTTGTATTATACAAAGTGAACTTATTCTTAAATATTATTATTGATTTATTTGTGAAAAGTCCATGAGATGCACATCATGCGCAGCGTGCACGATCATAAAGTCTAAGAGAGTGCGATGATTTTGTTCATGGAATAAATCCTTTGTACAAATCTAGAGCTTGTCAAACAACGACGACTACTAGATAGTATTTCACACCGCATGATAAATTTTACTTTGGATCATCTTTTATTGTCGGTCTAGTTATGTGGCATTTTTGATCAACCTCAACTCTTATCTATTTACATCTAACTTTGTCATATGTCAAGAAAAAAAATCTACATACAGTTAGGGGAGTTTGTTGACGTGTTGGACCACTCTCAATTCTTTTATCCATTTAAATCGCAAACTTATCATATGTCAAAAAAAACTACATACACAGAAGCAAGCGTACCCAAGGCCATTCGTATGCTTGAGAGGAGATACGAGATGGTCCAAACTAAAACAAAACACACAAGATGATTAAAGAATAGTTTAAAGCGATACATCGGTGATAAAAAAAGGTGGCTCAAAGTAAAAATAACTCTTAATCTAATTAACTACTCAAAATAACATAATGACTCTTTGCTTTTAACACTATTTGGAATATTGTGGGATTTGGGATACACCCCCAAACATCTTTATAGACTATACTCCCTTCGTCCTCAAATAAAATTTGAATGAGATGTTATCTAATACAATGAATCTAGATATATCTCGATCTAGATTCGTTGTACTAGATAATATCTCATATAATTTTTGGTTATTTTATTTTAGAACGAAGGGAGTACGTTTACTACTAAAATATTCTCCAAAATGTTTTTTTTAAAAGAACAGTGCTCATACTCTATCGAATAATCATAAGTTATTTTTAAAGAATAATACTCATCACAATGCGCATTAACATTGCTTCTCTGCAATGCGCAGAGAGGGAGAGACGGTAAATAATCATGCTTTTCTGGAAAAAAAATGTAAAGAAATGTTATCATTATAACTAACACGGTTTCAGTGTAGAGCATCACAAAATACTTCTCCTACCTACTATCACTAAAAAACCCATTTTTGTTGCTGGATGGCAACATAGCACCATCTGATCTTGGTAGACGCAATATTATTCTTACTCCCTACTTTTATTTCACATGCAGAGATTTGAGCTTTTCTTAAGAGTAGCGTGCAAATTAAACATATTCCTTCTGTTTTTTTTATGAACTAAGGCTGCGTTCTTTCAGGGGAGATAGAGGAGATTGTCCCTCGTTTTCCGCACGCACGCTTTTCAAACTACTAAACGGTGCGTTTTTTACAAAAAATTTCTATATAAAAGTTACTTTAAAAAGTCATATTAATCTATTTTTAAAATTTAAAATAGTTAATACTCAATTAATCATGCGCTAATGGCTCACCTCGTTTTGCGTATCTTCCCAATCTTCTCTATCTCCTCCTCAAACACAGCCTAACTAACGTAATACATTTTGGGATGTAGGAGATATTGTTTCAACCAGAAGTTTAAACCATTTATCTGTATTTTTTTATGTAGACAAGTAGTATATCTCCTCCTCAAACACAGCCTAACTAACGTAATACATTTTGGGATGTAGGAGATATTGTTTCAACCAGAAGTTTAAACCATTTATCTGTATTTTTTTATGTAGACAAGTAGTAGTAGCTCCATACTGAAACTGTTACTCAATCAGCTCGTCAGAAACCAACCAAAAAACTATAATTCAGTAGTTTTTGCTAGCAACAGTAACAAGAAGCATAGGATGATTCAGCACAAGCATAGATAGTCATGCGATACGATCCCGCAGGATATGCAAAATAACAGGAGCAGCATCACAAATTAACAAAAAAAAAAGCTTAATCTCCCAAAATGCTCTCATAATACACGAGTTTGGCAGTAGCTCTAGCTCCTTCCTCGAGCAAGCAAGGTAGCTGGTTCACTAGTGGATCAATATTTCAAAACAAAAGAAGATGTTAAGCAAGTTGGGCAGGAGCTTGTTCAGCGACAAGCTTACTGCAAAGACTGACACTTCTTGGTGCAGATGCTTTCAGGCAGCGTAAGGTAATTCACTGGCTCCAAGTTTCAGTTCACAGACTAATCCATTGCAACTCTTCAGTTTGCTCTTCATTGTTTTCAGTGTCCCAACCGTCAAACGCAGCTATATTTCTCTTGCTAAAATGAAGGTTTTCAATCAGCTATATCTCTCTGTCTAAACGAGAGCTTTTCTTCTCGTACCACAATAAGACATCAGCAAAATCAGCTATACTTTTTGTGCGTATAAGAGCATCTACAGCTCATTCAAGAACTTTCTCTCCAGTTGAGAAGACATTCCACACCACTGTCCCTACTATGTACAATACCACAGCCACCTGAAACACACTATCCCAAGAACCTGGCAGTCCAAAAAAGAAAGTTAAGACGTAAGAGAAAGTTAGCATAAACACACATTGATACATATTCCACAAGAATGAACATGAAATTCATTATTAAAATATGGTCTGTCCTGTTTGACATTTCTAGAGATACCATGTTTTTCAACATCCCTACCTTTCTGAAGAATGTAGCCAGTGGCAGCAGTACCAAAAACTCCTGCAAGCACGCCAGCAGTGTTTGACAGTCCAAGAAGTACACCCTACATTTTTTTGTAACATTGTATCGTTAGCTGATGGATCAAAGTTAAAAAGAAGCAACTTAACATCAATACAGCTAGCAGTAACACTATAATTTCTATTGTGAACTAGGGAATTTTGGAGCAGTAACAATCTATGTGAGAGCATTACTGCATAACGTGGGCCTATGTCCTGGTGATTCGAATATAGCCCAGACTGTGAAAAGGCATCACTCCCCTGCCAAAGAAATTGGATATCAAGATCAACAAGCATTAAAAGACAATAGTCAATAGATGGTTCAGAAGCTAAATCCATATGAATAGCCTTTCAGAAGAATATCAAACCTGACTGCATGCCATACACAATACAGCCATGGCTGGAGTTCGGACTTTGCTCAGCAGTGTCAAGAAGAGGGCTGGTCCAAGGAAACCAATCGATTGCATGATCTACAAAATACATTTCAAAAGTATGTCAAAACCAAAAGCTCAGCAGTCAGCACAGCTATTCCCAGAAGTTCATACAGGAAACAGCTATTACTGAAGAATTTACCTTACGAACATTCGTTATGGAAACCCCCCTCCCAACAAGAGTGTCAGCAATCCAGCCACCAATATTCGCAAATATAGCCATTGTCAGCCACGGCAAGACACACAAAAGCCCAGATTCAGTAAGATTGAACTTAAGAACCTGGATAAGAGCACCTGGTGAGTACAACCACCAAGAACAGGATATGCTACCATTGTCTGATATGGGCAGTGGGTATTAAATTGTAAGAACCTGGTTGTAGTATGTAGGCATCCATGTTAGAAGAATGAAGGTTCCCCAATTATGGCAAAAATGTGATACTATTAGAGCCCATACTGGAGGCTTTGATAGAATTAGCTTCCAAGGTATGGAGGTGACGGGCTCCTTCAAGGTGCTTCCACCTAGAATGTACCTCTTTTCGGCTTTGCTTAGTTCGGGATCTTCACTCGGGGAGCTGTGTGCCTAATTAAGGGTAGACATGCACTACCAGTTAGCCCTTTTTTCAGGGGTAACGGCAATTAGTCATGTAAGAATTAACAAGAATGAGCATCTAAGAACCAAATAGTACGGTCATTTCCAGAGTTACTTATGTGGTTAACATAATAAATGAAATGACTTCAAAAGCAAATTTTTAGGTTGGAAGCTAGTACATGAATTGATTTATCTTACTTTTCTTTGCCAAAGTGCAAACCAGACGCTTCCAAGGGACCCGAATGCGTAAAAAACAGATGGCCAACCGAATCTGCTGATCAAGAGAGGTGAAAAGGCTAGGCCAGTCACTGAACCAAGGTACATTCCACTGTACACTAATGCAAGAGATCTGCTTCTCTCTGAAACTGGAACCCATTTGGAGAGTATGTTGTTCATGGCTGGCATGGCAACACCCTGTTAAACCATAATATAACAAAATTAATCACATAAAGGAAAGGAAAAGCATCAGTGTAAAAACTTTGTTTTTTTTTATACTCAATGAAAGCAAACTGAGTGGTACTGGCATTTTTCACCGAGATACTTGATGACCAGTTACTTCAAAAGCTTAACTTTGCTTAATTTGGAGGAGTATGACAGGTGTTTTTGTGACAGACAATTGCTCCAAGTTAGACAGAATTTCCACCCTCACATTTGCTTGCATTTCATTAAACCTAATCTAGAGGAACCATTGTCCGGACTATTACGAGAAGTGTGTTTATACAAACATTCCACTTGATGGTAGTGGCAGTTTGAATTATAGTAGAGAGAGGCACAGATATCTACCTCTCCTATCCCCATGAAAGCCCGCATGACAAGTAGGAAAGGAAGTCCAATCTTTGCAGCAAGGGGTGTAAGAACTGTCGCAATTGACCACCAGACAACCCCAAATCCTAGCACCACCTTACCACCAAACCTGTCGGCCCATATACCTCCAAGGATCTGCAGTTTAGTATGAAATATTAGTCCTCACAAAGGACAGATTCAAATGTGAGAGAAACTGACGCATAAAAATCCCTGGCTTACAACAGTAATGCACCTGAGTAAGAAGGTAACCCCAAAAGAAGGAGGACTGGATTAGGCCTACAGTTGCTGGACTCCAGCCGAATTCTGATGACATTGGAAGGATCGCGATACTCATATTAACCTGGCAGAAGGCAGTAAAGAAAACAGGAGGAGAGTTATAATTAATGACCTTACATAAAAAGAAAAGAAAAGAAAAAAGAGGTAATTCAACTGTTGTTATGAGGTATATTTGGAGAAAGGAAAGGGCAACTCACACGGTCCATGTTGCACAGAAGGAAGGAAAAGAAGCACAAGAGAACGACTGTCCATCGCTTAGGGAACTGCTGCCACCAGGGAGAAATCTCATTTGTATCTCCAATGAGAACTGCCTCGGCGGGAACATCAGAAGGGCTCAACGGTGATCCCGTTATCTCATACTGCTCGGCTTTACAGTCGGCGCGTGTTCTGACCGGAATTTTGTAGTCTGGCTGGACACAAGCAGTGTCCAAACTAGTGAAGTTGTCCCATCTTCTTGGTTTTAGCCAACCAGTGTTTATTGGATCCGAAGTGAGAAAGCATTCAATCCGCCGCCTCTTGAGGTTTGCATTGTAAAACCACCTGGTGAGGTAGTTTGTAGAAGAGTCAACCACAGGCTGGTGGAATCGGGCAGAAAGTTGAAATCTTTCCATTGAAGTGCTCCTGGAATAGTTAGAGACTTGGAAAATGGTGGTCCTAGTAGTGAGTCGACTGAATTTATCTCGGGTGGGAGGTGAGGAACAGGTGCACTTGTTGTTTTGTGGTGGATGCTGCTTTCCTGTAAAACCCAAAGGGAAGAATCAGGTTGACATTTCGTGTAAATGGCCATGGCCGGCCCTGCCCTTGATTATAGTCAACCTGATTACACTGACTAGCTAGTTAGTTATGATGTTGGGTATATATAGGCAGTTGATGAATAAATTGGTCAGTAATGTTACAAGCAATTGAAGGCAGTAAGCGTGTCATGTTATACATAGTTATAGGGAATGAGAGAGAAATGAATGGAGTCCCGTAATAGCTAGCAGTGAATAGTACTACTAGTGTAGAAAAGAAGTTAGTAATAGTATTACGGACCTGAGGAGGAGAGTGGAGAGGCGAAGGTTCTGCTGGAGAGCACGGCCCCCATAGCCATGGCCTCCGCCTGGTCAGAGCACAAGAGGATCTCTCTCTCTCACTCACTCACTCAGCTCTGGGGGAGCTGCTCCCCTCTCGTGTTGCATAGGAAGGATCTTGCTTGGCCCCTGGAGCCTGGAGGAGGAGATTGGGGGGGAAGACGATGAGACGAGAGGAGGACGTGTGGTGTGGATAAGCAAGCAAAAGTAGAGTAGCCTCTCCCTTCTTCTCCTCCTCTCTCTCCTGTTATTTCGATTTCTTTTTTTTCTCCCTTTTATTGCAGGATATAGAGATGGCTGTTTCTGTTGGGATTCTTTCCGACTGAACAAAAACAAAAAGCAGAGCGCGAAAATGACCTTAACTGAATGAAAAGTAACACACTAGACACGTCTCCTGTTGTGATGTCCACATCCCCATCTGCTCTTGGACGGAAGGCGTGCTTTTCTCCACGTACGCACCCACCCCGCCACTCCATAGCCGTCCGATCGTCTCCACTGCCATGTGGCCCCTGGTTAATTGGTCCCAACCCAAAGTAGGAGTATCTTGCATTTGCATCTCCACTCAGATTCAGCAGCGGGAACCGGAACAAAAACAAGCAAGGCAATGGGTACTACGGAGGAGGAGGAAGATTCGCATATGCTTATTACTCACTACTAGTATCATGTTGGTTTGATGTACGTACGCACGCACACCAGATGGTAGCTGCCATAGTTAAGTTACCACAATTTACTTTACAGGCACTCTCTCAAACTTCAACATTACATAGTATCTCTCATTCAGTTCATGAATCAGGTCAGGTCAGGTCAGGTGATGAGCTCGATGCTGTACTCCCACAGCCTCTTGGCCAGCTCCATGTCATTGCCTTTCTCACTCGCCTCGTTCACATTGCTGTCACTGAAGTACTTCCCGGACACACCCTTCACCTGTGGGTGCAATGCAACATAACAAGTGGTGGCCGCCCCCTGTTCATTTACACCACAAACTCACCATCACCAACATATTACATTCACCATGAATTTGATGCACCACCCAGCTCCCCCCTCTAGCCCGCCCTATCTAGATCGTCAACTAAATTGCAGATAATGATAAGCACAATCTGGCCATCATGCAATGCTCTCTACTCTTAACCTCAGGATTAATCTGCCATTTCCTATATCTCACAAAATCCAAACAAAAACTGGTGTACTACTACCATACCAGCTAGAGAACATTTTGAAATGCTCAGTTATCTTGCATTTTGCTTTTTCTTTAGCACGGCTAGATGTCTGTAATAGCTGATTCATTGTTCCACCCATTGTCATGTAAAGAGTTTTTGTGTAATAGCTTTTCTGTAAGGGCCAAAACTAGCATCTCCAACAAATAGTGTATCCATTAAAACAACCAGTTGCATACAACTGATTTCTATGAAAGATTTGCTAACCATTGGCATAACCACATATAAAGCGTAGAATGGAGAGAAGGCCCAGAATATTAAAAAAGGTGCACAACCATACCTGCTGAGCATTTTTAAGCACCAATTTACCAAGTGTCCGATGGAGAACTGCATATAACAAATATAATATTCATGAGATCAGTTATTACAACAGAAAACAAGCTCTTTTAACCATGAAAAATCTAGTTTTAACCCACCACTGCAGTCAAGTAAAAGCACTAGTATTTCGTTTCACAGTATGTGGTTATTTTCTTCCTTTTGGTTGCTATCCTTGGTCCTTGCTGCTATTTTCTTTATGGTGTGGTAAGTCCATAGGTGGCATGAATTTTCAAGAGATTTTGTTTTGTTACATGTTTCAGTTCAATTATTTTGAGTTCATGAGTGAAAGATCCCTTTAGCTTACAAAAGCAGGAATACTAAATATCTCCTAGAGTTCAATTCAAGTATATTTTACCATCTAGGATACTGTGGTGACGAAGAAGGTTCGTGATGATAGATCCAGGATGAAGAGAATTTGCAGTTATGTTGACACCCTCATCCTGTTAAACCAATGATGATAGTCAATACAAAACAAAACTATGGGACATGTACAAATTTAAAATTTATTTCAGAAAAGTACAACTATTTTATCAAAATATCGGTTTACTGCAACTTTAGTTAGACATTTCAGGAAACTGCAACAACAGTCAACAGTTGATGGCTTTGGCGTAAAACTGCACCTTTATTTGCCTGACGAGTATGGGCCCACCTGTCAGGTGAACATTAAAAAATCATACAGCTACAGGTCGGGCCCACATGTCAGTCATATAGTGGGTTAAAGTTACAGTTTATGGTTGAAATCATTTGCTATAGTTTGTAGCTTTGTCAAATGCCTAACTAAAATTGCAGCGATGTGATAGTTTTAACGAAATAGTTGTAGTTTTATGAAATTTACTCAATTCAAAATGGACAACACCTGAAATAAAGACAACGTTCAGTTGGCCAATACCTGACACGATGTGTTTATCTATCATGGGTGTAGATTTCTTACTAAACAGTGCAACAGACAGCTAGCTGGTGCAATTTTTAGAGTTTAGCAGCAAATTACTAGAGATAGAATTCATTGCTGGTGCTTGTGGAACAACGCTCCTGTTGGATTACACGCTAATAAACATATCTCAATTGAAATAACTCCAAATACAGCGTTGCACCAAAAAAAATATATCTATAACTGGCGACATGATCTAAGAGAAGAGCAATGCGCACCTTAAATCTCCTAGCAAGTTCATTCGCATGCAAAATGTTTGCAAGCTTTGACTGCCCATATGCTCCAATGGAGTTGTACCTGTACAACACAAGATTGAACCATATATTAGTACAGTACAATTCCTTTGAAGGAAGTTAACAAGGAAAAGAAAAACAAAGTGCATAAAAGTTGCATACTCCGACTCGTCATTTATCTTGGCAAAGCGGATGCCTTCCCGATATGCAAACCTGTGCCCCTCTGATGAAACATTAACGATTCTTCCTTCCACATTTGATTCACGAGAGGTCTTTTTCATTGTCTCCAAGAGAAGATGAGTCAAAAGAAAATGACCTGAAAATTATGACAGGAGATACACATTTTAACGCAATGATACACAGCTCTCTCCAGCATGTTTGAGAGAAAAAGGGACACATTTTAACTCATTGGTATCCGTAACTATCATAATGAATTAGAACATTGAGGAACAGGTGAAGTAGAAAATTGCTATGGACTGTTGAAATAAATTTGACTAATTAGAAGGATGCAAAGTCTTCCTTACTTCTTAAAGAATATGGCTGGAAAAACATTTGCAACACTACGTAGTAGTTAATGAGAAGCTTTTAAATCAGTGTAACCGGTGCATGAAGTTCATACCAACATGGTTAGTGGCAAATTGCAACTCGATACCATCCTTTGAGAGAGAGAAAGGAGTTGCCATCACCCCTGCATTGTTGCTGCAAACAAAACCACCAACCAATCAGGAAGTGTGATGAGCTATAAAAGAAGCATTCTAATAACTACGCAACCAAACAAGCATGAAACACAGACACTTGTCGGTAGTACTAAATGTGATTTTTAGGGTATTCATAGGAAGGAGCTGTACTATCATAGTAGTATAATTAACGGCAGCAAGATATAAATGAAGATATCCAGTGGCTGCAGAAAAATTTTGAGCACCAAATGTAATAAAACACAAACACATGCACAAGTCATGCCATTGTTCCTGGAGTTATACCATTTCATGGTTAAAACAAGAAACCATACATTTAACATGCCCTCCCTGATTTTTGCGCTAGAAAAGAGTAAAGAAAAGCATAGGAAGAGCTTGTTGTGACCTTCAGCTAGTAAGATTGTTTACAATAAAAACATGGAAATCGTAGCTAACATGATAGAAGAAAGTGTTGTTTACAGTAAAAATAGGTCCATGCGGCCGTAGTAGAAGTAATATAGCAGTAGGCTAGTCATATGTATCCAGCATGCAACTAGTACTACTCCTACTTGAGAAAGCAAAAAGGAAGTTGTAGTCCCTCTGAGAGCTGAATCATAATTCCATGAAAATGGCTTCCACCCACTCCTGGAATTGGAGTATGTCTTAGCGTGGGGTAGAGATGCAGGATTGAATGTGTAGAGTATGATGTTGCATTGTCCAAAAAAACAAGGTGCAACTGAGGTAGTATAGTACTAGTAGCTGAATTTAGTGAAAGCAGCAGTGAGTAGTGAATGCAGTGCAGGTAGGTAGGATACTGCTGGTCCTAACTGAAAAATGAGGGAATTTGTACTTGGCATTGAAAGAGGAGTACTAGTACATGAGGATATTGAGGGGGAGGCCCTTGGCGGCGAAGTCGGAGGCGAAGGCGCGGACGGAGTCCATGGAGGCGAGGTCGAGCTCCATGAGGTCGAGGGAGGCGGCAGGGGCGTCGGCGAGGATGGCGTCGCGCACGGGCTGCGCGGCGGCGAGGTTGCGGACGGCCATGACGACGTGTGCCCCGCGGATGGCGAGGACGCGAGCCGTCTCGGCGCCGATGCCGCTGGAGGCGCCGGTGACGATGGCGGTGAGGCCGGCGGCGGAGAGCCCGGCGGTGACTTGGTCGGCGGTGGAGGCCCACGAGAAGCCCGAGGGCCCACTCCGCCGGAACAACCAAGAAGACATCATCAATCTCTCTCTCCGCCGCGCAACCGCAAGATGTGTGGGTGGGACAACGCAGTCGCTGTTGCCTCGTCCTAGTACTGTCTACCCTAGTCAGTGGACTACTCGTCACAAGTCAGCATCATCACCATCAGCAGCCAGACTATTGATTTTATTATAGAGGACGTGCGGATTGGATGAGAAAATAGTTATGGCACGCGAGATTTTATTACAGAGGACATACGGATTGGATGAGAAAATAGTCCAGACACAAATTTTAGGGTAAAAAAGTCAAGATATGCGAATTTGATGCTAAAAAAGTGGCATACGAACAAATTTTATGGTAAAAAAAGTCAAGATATGAGAATTTGATGCTAAAAAAGTGGCATACGAAGAATTTGATGGTAAATTCTCTAAATTCTCCACAAGGAGAGCATCCATCCATCATCAATTGACGAACCAGAACCAAAAATGAAAAAAAAAACATTGCTCTTGAATTGCTATTCTTCAGTCATCGTCGATCAAACGAAACAAAATACGCCTTACAATAAAAACATAAGAAACGGAGGGAGCAGTAAATACCCCATTTACTCCTGATATGATATGATGGAGTATATTACAATTACATACATGCAACCCAAAACCAAAACCAAAACCAGCACAACATTCACTAATCTTGTCCATGTTTGCAACGAATCCAATGTTAACGCACGCACCGGCTGTCATATCATATAACTATAACTGTATATATAAACAAATAAATTCAATGTTCATGAACCCCGGCTGTCATCTACTCCAAACCAAATTAAAATGCAGCTTAATTCCCTGCTCGTCTAACAAAAAGCCATCACTTCATTTCCTACGGAGTAGTGCCCACACGCCAGGAACCCCCCTCTGCCAACTTCACTAGTTCTAGTAACTCCGATTGGTTGATGATGCAGACTCAACCCTTGCTACTTCGCCGGCTCAACAGGATCCCACGTTACTTGCTTCAGCCTTCAGGGCACAGGACAAGCTTCACATGATCTGCGTTTATTGCTTCCTTCCATCCTACAAAAACAGTACATGACCATGATTCCAGCTAAACAAGGAGATGTACTTATAAGTTTGATCAACCTTTTATACGGTATGCGAGTGGATAAACAGTAGTAATGGAAAAAAAGAAAGGGTGACCATCAGCACCAATTGGAAAAAGAAGTGGAACAGCCACTAGCAATTAACAAATATAAAAATGCGCAACAACCACCAGCAATTGAAAGAGTGCAAGAACCAGAAAGATAATTACTTTGAGAAAGGAAGGCAGCTGCTTCTTTACTGGAAAAGATGGCGCCTCGTAAGCCTCCACCCTCTGCCAACCCTGCATTGCAGCAGCTTGAACAATTGTTTCCATCTGTCATAACGCCGGATGAAGAATGATCCTGTGCTGTTGGAGTAATACTAACTTCAACATCATTATGAGCATTGTATCCGTTTCCCTCTTCTCCATGGTTAAATGGCTGCATCACCTTCGTTACAGGATGGTTGCCAATATTCAATTGAGAAGCAGGAGTCGGGTATTCCTTGGAATATTGGTTATCCTCCAAGCATTCGCTGCCGTCTTCAATGGCAACACTTATGGATCCTATTAATACACGAGACTTCTTGTTCAGAACAATCTCTTGCCCATCATCTATATTCAACTCATCTTTTGGGCTGTGCTCTTCAATCTCAGTTCGCACTTTCCATGTCCATGTTTTGTTTCTATTTGACACTGCACCGGCATTTGCACCCCTGTAATGTGAATGCCTTACTGAAGCTGGATGCTTTGAACCAATTGCAGAACCACCAGAGGCAAAGCTATTTTGGGCAAAGTTTTCTGTTCTTCCTACACGATGTCTTGAAAAGACTTGTTGATTCAAAGTAACACTTGGATTCACTTCATGGCCTGGATCATGAATGTCATGTTCTACAGGTAGGTCAGCAAAACTACTATTATCTTCCGAAGCCACTGGCGTTGGCAACTGTGTATCTTCTTGCTCATAAAGGCCAGGATCCGAAGTGGCTTCCTTCAGACTTAGTATTCCAGAAGAATCTGTTGTCCCATCCACAGATCCAGGAAAACGGTCTGTGACATCCTCATCCTTCAAGTCTTTCAATCTCTGTTCTTTCTGCCTCAGTTTCTTCATCCGTTTCCTTTCTATCAGTTCAGCTTGCCTTCAAGATACAGATGATGATGTTGAATTAAATGATTTTGCATTGATACAAACAATAAGCTGGTAAATAGTGCTTTCCAGCTTTTAGAAATTGCAATCATCCATGGTATTAAGCACTAACCTTTTCTGAGCAGCTTCCTCTTCCTCCACGAGCAACTTCTGGCATCTTAATGCTTCAGCAGCCTTATCAGCAGACCATGCTTCGACCTGATGTTTTATGTACAGCCACTATAAAAACTGAATGTAAATGCATATCATATTTTGCAAATTGTAGTGAAATCTTACCAGTGTTTGTTCAAGCATATAACTAGTGCATGCAACAGCATTTTTCAACTCAGGTGCAACTTTGTCAGCCTCCCCGTTAAATATAAACTTTTGTATACAGGCGGTTGGGTTAGTAGAGAGAAACGTATTCTCACTTGCTTCGTCAAGCATGCTAAATAGTTCATTCGATGATACAGGTAACCTTGAAGCTGTTGTTTCAATTAGGTCCTATAGCGGGTAAAATGAAGCTTAGATATGAGACTAATAATAGGTTTATATGGTAGAGCAGGATAATTTAGGTCAAAAACCTTACCAGAAGTTGATTGCCAGCTCTGGCATATGGCAGCGGTAATGAAGCATACCCCGGCTTACACATCCATGTGGACAGTGCTGCTAAAATGGAAGGACCAGTGACACCCTGAAAATGTATTCACATTCCAACTTTAGATCACTGTTTATGATCAACACACTGATCCAGAGACATTATTGCACATATTTTCTGGAGTTACCTCTATATCCACATCTGCCAAGGACAAAATTGTTTTGGCCTGATCCAACGTAAGCTGAAGAGCGTGACAAATAAATTCAATGCTATGAGAAACAGTTAAAGTCCAGCGCATGATTAATTATTATGTCATCTATATAAGGAGTTGTTACTCAACATGCATGCATATGGACTAGTATAGATGCACATGCACTTCATGGTGTCAAGATAACAAAAACAGAAACTAGACAGTGAAAAATGCATGCTGGCGGTAGAGTATTCTTCACGTGAAAAGTACGGAAGCATTTAATAGTCAACAAAGCTTCAATCAGTGAAAACATTACTCAATTTAATAAATAATATTGCGATTGAACTTAATAGAGGAAGATGGTGATGTTATGATGGGCATTTCATTCAAGAATAACTTACTTTGTCCCAGAATGCAGCAATATTGTCTCTGTTCTTCAGGAAATCCTACAGAACATCGACAAATGTCACTGCTTGCAATGAATGACTGAATGGTAACAGGGAATAGCTTAAATACTAGAAACGAAGTTTAATATAGTATTTAGTTGTACTGACAAGTCCATGTACATATAATCATTTTGTATGAACACCTTTTCTATCCGAATCCCCCGATAAATGTAATCTTAGCCAAAACAAAAAAGGGAAGAGATAAAAGAGGAACCTTTTCAATTTGGAGAGTTCGGCGGTGAACACGGGTATGGCGCCTGTAGTTGATTGAGGAGCAAAATTCCCTGGGACACTTGGTACACTTTTGCAACTGAAGCTTAGGAGGCGAAAACAATGGCCATCCAGGAAGATCTGCGACAGGGGAGGACCTAACGTTGGGCATTGCTGAACCCGAAGAAATTGCCACTGTTAGCAATATACACGCAATCTGTCAAAGGAAGAAATCGAGAAGAAACCAATCCAAATCCGGATGTGTTGTTGAGGAGGGAGGGAGGGAGGAGGGGGGGATTTCGGGAGAGGAATGAATGAATATACCTTGGATTGGATTGGAACCGAAGATGAGAGGCGGCGGCGGCGGCGCAGGAGGAAGGGAAGGGAAGGGAAGGGAAGGGAGGATCGATCGGAAATTCGGTTTGCAGATGGGATGGGTACAGAACAGTACCCTAGAACCAACCAACCCCAAATGAACCGCAAGGGCTTCTTGGTCAATTCTCCCTTCTCTCAATTGAATTGAAATTATAATAATTTCTCAGTAGGAACCACATTTTCTTTTAAAAATATTGTATATATCTTTGTTTTTTTAAAAAGCTAGGTTTGTTTCAGTTTAAAATTATTATAATTTAGTTTTTTGAGCTAGATTACTATAAGCTACTCCCTTCGTCCAAAAAAAAAAGGCAAACCCTAGCTATTTTTTGGACGGAGGGAGTAGATTATAATAAGATGTGAGCTGTTTTTATTTCTATAGATTATTGGATGCATGGAGGCTAATGTCTATAATACTCTCATCTATTTTGGATATCTTGTGTAACTGTATATAACAAGTATATAATATGAAGTAGCTAAAAAATATATTAATAAATAAAACATTCATGAATATTTTTATTTGTATAATAGGCTGAACACGAAATATTATCTCTTAGCAAATAAAGCATCAATAATACTATCCCGAAGGAGCTGGATTTGCGCGCAGCTAGGGAGGGAGGACACGAATGTGTGCATGATCGGAGAAGAAAGGGAATGCACACTCGGCTAGGGAAAGAGCCATCTCCATAATCGGGAAAGGAAGGGAATGCGCGCTGGACTAGGGAAGGAAGGGAATGTGCGCTCGGACAGGGAAAGAGGTATCTCGATCTGTTTGGTTCTCGCAGTGGTGGGTAATTTACGTAAAGTTTTTAGGGGTAATGGGTCTTTTGTCACCCAATAATCTATAAAAAAAACACCTTTAGAGGAGATTATCATATTATACCAATATAGCTTATATTTTATAATAATCTATCTGGTTTGTTTTAGATTACTCCAAATAATTTAAATCATTATAATCCTAAGCTAAATCAAACATGGCCTAAATTTAAACTTTCAAGTTTCGGTCAAAGCTAATTAGTTGTACGAGTGCGTTAAAATTATATTGACATTTTTAAATGTTTTCACTTAGGGCCTCATCTTTTCGTTTATGCTTATGTTTATCAGTTAAAATTTGAATTTTTAACCTTAAATTTGGAGCTGATTTTGAGGTTTTTTCATCAAATATTATTTTTCAGCCTTTACTTTTAGATCGCTAAGAACACATATATAAAAGTTTTATTCACAAATTACTTTTCATTTGCAAATATGTCGTTCCTCTTATTCTGTGAATAAGCGAAACGATGGCTCCGTCAATGTTACTACTAGCTATTAAAAAAATATTTATTAAAAGAGTAATATGTAATAGTTTTAAATCAAAATATGTGTTCTAAAACCTTATAAATATTTAAGTTATGATATTTTGTTGCATGCTAAGTATGGTAGTACAATTTCCATCCTTCAAAGCATAATGATCTTTTTTTTAAATAAAATAAATCAAAGTTGGAAAATAAAAGCACTGGTCAACAGTGACAGGTAAATAGGAGCATATTGATGCATACATTGATACATATGGCAATCTTGAAGATGAAAAATTGGAGCAACCATTATAATGCTAAAATAATTACATTGACAGTAGTACAAAACAGGTTATTTGACACTTTGACTGTTGACTACCGTAGACCCCCTATCCTTATGTACATGCACAGGCAACATGCATACTGAAAAGTAGCTAGCTACTCCTAGTTTTTCTTAAAAGAAAAAAGAAAAAGAAAAAGAAAAAAATACGCCTATACTGTAGGAGTAGTAATTACTATCGACGGCTAGGTTGCATGAATAGAAATAGAAGTCCATTTCCGAGATTTAGATGGTGAATTTGCCATGCGGAGCATAATGTCAAGCGACCTCCACTCAGCGTCGCACGTGATTGCCGGTCGCCGCTTCCTCTCCAGGCTGCAGCAGCGCAGCGCCAGGCGGAGCAGCTTCTCGGCCTGCACCTCCGGCCAGCTCCCGGCGGAGGCGTCCAGCACGGAGTGGACGGCGTCCATCTTGAGGGCCTCGCGCACCTGGTCGGCGATGTTGAGGTCGAGCAGTCCGGTGAGCACCTGGAGGACGACGACGCCGAAGGCGTAGACGTCGGACTCGGCGGTGAGCTCGCCGGTGACGAAGAAGACGGGGTCCATGTAGCCGGTGGTGCCCATGGGGTTGGTGCGGCGGCAGATGGTGTCCGCCTGGTCCTGCAGCGGCTTGACGTGCACCGCGCGCGCCGTGCCGAAGTCGCCGAGGCGGCTGGAGTTGGCGGCGTCGAGGAGGATGTTGGTGAGCTTGAGGTCGGCGTGGATGATGGCGTGGGGGCGGCAGGAATGGAGGTAGGCCAGCGCGGAACGCTGCTCGCCGAGGATCCTCACGCGATCCTTCCATGACAGACTCTTGGAGTTGGAGAGGATGTCCAAGAGGGTGCCATTGGGCAGGTGCTCGTACACCAGCCCGCATGACTCCGGGCACACGCCCATGAGCCTCACTATGTGTGGATGCTCCATTCTACTCAGCACCACAACCTGCAATCATCCCATGCATTCTATATAATACAACTGCTTCCTTCTTCAGTAAACTAACTACTTAATGTTAATGACATAGGAGGAGGAGTATATATATATTTACCTCCTGCTTGTACTCTGGAAATCCTTGCCTGCCATGGGGTCTCAGCAGCTTGATGGCCACTGCCACGCCACCCAGTTTTCCCTTGTACACTGGCCCATAGCCTCCTTCACCTATCAGGTTTCCTGAGCAGAAGTTGCCCGTTGCTTTACTGATCATCGACATGGAGAACCGTGAGATATGTTGTGGAAGTTGCAGCTCTGGGTATCTTCCTGTTGATAGCCTCTTCTCCTTCTTCAGTGAAGCAGCAGCAGCCTTTTGCCTAGGTGACAAGATGCTCCTATCATCCTCTTCTTGCAGCTCTTTCAGTTTCCTTTGGAGTTTGTCTATTTCTTCCTGCCAACAACAATGTGAAGCATTCATCACATATACAAACTTCTCCAAGAAATCAATAAATAAATTCAAATGATTCTGTGTTTTTATGTCCATGCTTAGATAGGCCCTGCTGTTTCTGATTTCATAACTGGAATATAAGCTAGAGAAATGAAGCATATATGCAACTTTTACCATCAGTTCTTCAGCTCTTTCAGTTGTACTTCTAAAACTCTGTATCTCATCAGTTCTATGAGCAGTCTCTCCGGAAGAGTGCTCCCCCTCCTCCTCATAAGAATTTAGTTCCCCTGTTTCTATGCTTTCCTCATCCTTTGTTTCGGTTTCCTGCACATCACACTACAGAAAGCAAATCAGCTCTTCTCTTTATTTATGAACACTGCAGCTTTCACAAATCACAAGTTGTAACACCACAACATTTTTACCAAATATAGTTACTGTGAAAACCAACCTTATTACACGCAGTGTGAACCTAAATTATCAATCTTTCCTGTTGTGTGGGCAAACTTGAAAAAACATGCATAAGTTTTCACCACTAGCGCTCATGCTCTAATAATTATCTTATGGGTTTCATCTATCCATTATCTAAAAAAATGTTGTAATAATTGTCTTGAAAGTAAAATTAAGGAAAATAGCCATACCGTTGCCAATTCATCAGCACCATCCATTTGAATAACCCCATCATCATACATGATTTCATCTGCCTAAAGTGAAACATATTCGAGAATACATCAGAAATTAGTATTCGAAATCTGAACCAAGATCATAGACTGCATGCATTTGTTTAGTGCTTTGCTAGGAAGCCGCTTACAAAATCACTTGGTGGTGTTGTGTAGCCATTTGAATCATCGCTCAGCTCATGTACAGATGCCAAAGATTCAGCGCTCCCTCCATATCCAATGCTCCCGGTATGTTCCAGATGATCATTGCTGCATTTTAGAATGATCTCATCCATGAACTTGTTGCTAGATTTGATCCAATATTGCTGCAGGTGTTGATTATAGATTTTGGAGAATATCTCAAACTATACCTAGTACACATGTGTTTTCCATTGATAACCACCCAAACCTGACAGCATTTGCGCAGCATCGCTTCCTTTGACATGCTCCTGCATAATACCCTGGTTTAGCATGCGCATGGAGTAATATATGCCAATAGAGAAATGGATCTCTTTTGAAAGAAGGAATGGAAATTCAAAATGTAGAATTTGGGATCTTACCTTGAACCAATGATAATTCTCTTAATTTTGAGCTTCTTTATCAGATTCACAACACCAGCAAGAACATCATCGTGTGAAAGGTAATGTGCCCTAACCTGTACGGACAGCCTGCTTAGATAACATGATTTCTTTTTCTTTTCTTTTTTTTGGCCAAATAGTAACTATCCCACCACACTTATATTTTATTGGTTCAACTGTCAATATCGTTGAAGTCAATTATTCACCATATGGTAGGAAGCTCATTCATTGCATATTTGGGGTTCAAATAGTAGACCTAAGGCAAAATTCTAGTATTTACAACTAGAACTCATTTCCACGCTTTTTTAGGAAGGACTGCAGAAAACATTCTTATGTACTCCATAGTAGTTTATGAATTTGCTATATGCTTACAAATAAGAAACCCTGAAAATCTCATAGAATTAATATCTGATTTATACTTGTCAGATGAGTGGGATGCTTAAATAAGCACTGCTTAATCGGACTCACATGATTCAAACTAAGAACCGAAGGATAATTAGTATCACCTTTCTTGATCCACAAAGGTTTTTGTATTGTGACAACATCTTGACCATCGCATCCGTTTCTTTGGCTCGATGCATCTCCTTCTCCTTTTCATCTGCAAACTTATATAGAACTTTGCCACCCACTGCAGTTGTTGGAAAGGAGCAAAGTATTGTTCATACAGCACATGACAATCAGGACACGCTATGCTGTTAGTTTTTACGTTCATCAAGAAAAACTATTTTATGGCAATTTATTATACTTCCATTTCGCAGAATAACAAGAGTGTATGAAAGCCAGCGTTTTACACATGGGAAATCACAAGTAATAGGAATTAGGCATCTTCCTTTTACTCTACTGATAGGAAGACTAGGATGCACATAAACTAAGATGGTCATGAATATTAAATCAACAAATCATCTTTTATCGGGTACAAGATCACCTATCGTACTGTCAACAAATTTCCCCCCTTTTTTAGGATTGAATGGTGTAGCGCTTTCTTTTTAACACAGTTGAAAGATAAATTGCATTGGCTTATGGAAATAAATTTGTCTGAAGAAGTATGAAGATCTTACTGAAGGGCATCCACTTGGAAGGCCAGTGAACATGAACAAGAACTATAGTGGCCCTTGGGAACCTTGCAGCAGCCCATAAGATGTTAGCCTTCTCCTTTCTGAAGTTCTTCCCAACCGCAATATGAATCTCTTCCTCATCCATCTTTTCTTGCCCTCTTCTACATCAGGAACTAAAATCAAATTGTGGTTCTGATCTTGTCAATATATCTGGTTCAGCAGCAGAAGCAAGCAAGGCTTGAAAGGAAGAAGGTAAGAGTATATCTGAACTTGATCCAGAAGAAAGGGAAGCTAAAGTACCTTATTGTGGTGCACCACTTTTCATCAACTTCACTTCATGGTGGTATCTGTATCAATACCATCAACTTCATGGTATTCTTAAAACTAGAAAGTATCAGTTGAAAGAAGGGCCAAAGGTGGGGAGAGACAGCCGGGGGTTTTAAAGCTTGTTTACCATGGTCTGAGGTTTCAACAGCTTGATGGTATCCAGCAGCAGTATCAGGCTGTGGGTCCCAAAATGCAATCCAATCAGGAAATTATACCACTTCCAACTTGGCAGTATTGTTTTGCCCTCTCAGTATTCAGTAGCCACTAACTCCTGCTGCATACTTGGTTTGCGAAACGGCAGGTTCATTTAGATCATCAACTGCAAATGATTTTACAAGTTGCATAGGAGAGACTGTAATCTCATCAATGTTTCTATTCAATTTGAATTTTTAAGCTAAAATCATCATTTTTACAAATCTTTTGTAATTAATGGCTTGTCTGTTTGTTCATCAGATAGAAACAAGAACGAATGGTATTGTTCCAGCTGAGGGTTCCGAGTTTTCCAAGAAATTTCTGTCCAAGACGCTGTCGTACATGTTTGTCCTTGATCGACGACTGACTTTGGAAGATTAGCAGTGAAGTCTTGTATATATCTCCCCGGCCGGTCGGCAATATAATGCAGCTAAACACGTTATTTTCAAGTTGCAGAAGAATTGATTAGTCGTCATTGGATTGGATGCAAGCTTTGAATTCTGGTGTGCATTTGCTGAATACCTGAATGGTTATTCGACATTTGGCCCTCATCCTTCTCTTTCCCTGGACGTTGCTTTCACAGAATTCTTGCTCCCCAGGCTGTCAATATAGTAATGCAAATGAAGACATGTCATTAAAGCGATATGAACAGCATATACCAGAATCATTCTTTCTTTCTACCACTGAACAAATCAAGTGCATGCGTTAAGATTGAGGTTTGCATTGTAATCTCCACATCAAGGAGGCGCAGTTTCTTCCAGATTTCTGACTTCAGAAGATCCCAGTTGATTCATCACACATTATTCTTACTGTAACTCTTTAAGCAGCAATTTGGTCCGACATTGCACCTTTTTATAATTTTTCGGCGAATTGCATATGCAAGGAACTTTGACAAATTTAAGCACTGGACGCATATTTCAAAAAGAAGGTTTTGTCCTACTCGATGACTTTGTGTCATCAGCATACCTAACCAGCTAGCTTTTGCACAATTCAAACTTTCAGGTTAGACATCGTGGCACAGGAAACAGTATATAATCAGAATGGTTACAACACGTAAGCATGATAACATTATAAATGGTGAAATTCTGATCTGATAGTTCTATTCATACATGTATTTCCACTTCCATACACTCTAGCTGAGCATTTTTTTGGCTATTGCTCAGATATCACAACTCTCTACTACACTGACAAAGTGACAAGTGACTACCTGTACAATGTCTACCATGCTACTGATGGAGCAGAGATAGCTCCGAATTTATTATATTTTTTACATACAGGTTTTGCTAAAAAAAAGAAAAGAAAAGAACAACCGTGTGTATACCTTTAATTAGTCATTCCTTCAGAACAAAAAAAGACACAAGACGTTTGGTTTCCTGTGGTTTCTGCTTATTAACCCTGGTCTGAGATGTATCTTCAGAAGATATATGACATAATTTTCATTGTTACTTTCCATGATGAGAATCCAAACATATTAATCTGCATTTGACTGAAGCCATTCTTGAATTGCAGAACGGAGGGCATGGTTCGGCAAAAGATCACGGTGTGGTAGATCGAGGTTTGTCATGGGTGATGTATAGTGACCACTATCAAACCACTCTCTTATAGCCTCTGCTTCGTAGGTGAAACCATCTGCAGCAATTAAAGGGTCCCTCATGACATCCTGCAATGCATAAAATGCACAGGTGAACCAAGGGAGAAGAAAACTGATTATCTTTCCTTAGGTAACACACAAAAAATTTGGTGTGTCATTGCATCAGGGTTGAGAAACACACATACAAACAGTAGTTTACAATGGTCATTTCATTAGTAACAAGAACTGAGAGCTCCCATAACTTGAAGTTCACAGAGATGTTTGCAGAACTGATATCTCAACTGCTGTCCAGGCAAACAATTGACTGACTTTCTCTAAAATTACTAAGAATCATACTAAATGGAAACAGAAGCTCAGGAGTAATTTGGAGTTAATCAAATAACATCAGGAATCATAAATGGAAGCAGAAGCGCAAGAGGAATTTAAATCCAATCAAATGTCACCCTTTGATTTCTCTTATTGTATACAAAAAATATTTCATCTAGTTATCCTTTAGAGACTAGTATATTAAAAAAAATAGAAATGGATATCATTACATAGACGGACCAATTACCAAACATGAGAGTCTGAAGGAAATCATGGTGAGGAAATACTTTTGAGAGAAGGGGGAGTAATAATCACTAAGTAAAGTATATATGACTAACCTGTTGTATTGGACAGATGAAGTAGGATGGCACATTACCAAAGTCTTCAGATACTGATTTAAATGATAATGAACATAGCATAGAGGAAGCAGACCTCAACATTGGTTCAAGTACTGTCCAAACCTCTGTTTGCAGGTCAGGACGGTTTTTTCTTCTGATTTCACAGCATCTTAGGCCTACCCGAGACAACTGCTCAGCATGCATAAGAGGCCAGTCTCCAGCTGATGAATCCAATATTGCTTGCAAGCAACCCTTTGCTACTGCCCGTTGCACATCTTTCAAAAGACCAAATCCTGATCTTCCAGTCAAGAGTCGCAGGAGTATGATACCAAAAGAATATACATCAGATAGGGGTGTCAGATCACCAGAAATAGCGTATTCAGGATCAATGTACACAAAAGTTCCTTTTGGGTGGGTATGGCGGTATAGAGTGGTTGTGGCCTTGAATTCATCAGTTAACATTCGGCACACACCAAAACCACTAAGCTTAGCCACATTATTTCCATCAAGAAGAATGTTAGATGCTTTCAAGTCACTGTGAACAATGCTGTGGGGTTTATTGGAATGGAGAAAAATCAGTGCAGAACAAATATTGGAAGCGATGCGGGTACGCAACTGCCAACTAAGAGGCTTTGAATTGTCCTTGCAAGCCAAGCGGTCATCTAAGCTTCCATTGGGCATGTATTCATAGACAAGAGCTCGGGCATCCTTGCATGCCCCTATAAGAGTTACAAGATTCGGATGTCGCACCCTGCTAAGGATTTCCACCTGTAAATTATCAGCAAGAACAACTTAACTGTCTGAAATACAACAGTTTATTTGGACCAACAAAATGTCAATCAAGTTTATAGAAGGTAAGTATATAACTAGAACAAAAACTTTTACCTCATGACTGAACTGTGACAGTGACTCTGTGCTTTCAGGATTCAACTTCTTTACAGCCACATTTGTTTGCCGAAGAAGTCCCTTATATACACTTCCATAAACACTTTCCCCAACCTTCGATGAGTGATCAAAGTTGCTGGTTGCCTCCTTAATCTCTGATATCGATAGCTCTGTAATGGGAATTGTTCTATCCGCAATTGCAGTAGACTCTCCATTTTTTACACGTATTGCTTCTGCCTCTCTTACTGCTTTGTCACGCTGCAACATAAGATCCTTGATAATACGGTCAGAATGGGCGCTTCGCTTCTCTAGGACCAATATCTTCTCACATTGCTCTTGAAATTTTGCAGCAAGTTCATCAGCTGTTCTTGCAAGCCTGTCAACTTCCTCCATTGTTGTTGCCAATTTTACCTCTATTTCATTCTTTTGCTTCAGTTCTCCAAAGTACAAATTCTCTGATACCTGCACCTGTTGGTGATATTAAATGTGAGACCAAGGATTTTGTTTAAATCTGTAGGTATCACTTATCCAAAACATCATTTCCAGATTTATACTCCACGATATAGAGTATAACAATCATGAAAGTTTTTTACATGGACAGTACGAAGAATTTCTCTGCTCTCATTGGCATGCAGCCATATTATCATTAGAATAACCATTAAGTATAGCACACATTATATGAGAGATAAATATAATTAATCTATTCTTACTTTCTGGAGAGCCTCAAATAACTCCTGCTCTGCTTTCTCACGCCTACATTTCTCCTCATAAGCTTCTTGTCTTACTCTCTCTAACTGCATGGGTATATGCTGGAGCTCATTGTCAGACTCACCACGCTCTTTAGTATCTTCCTGCATAAGATTGGGTAGCTTATTCATGCATCAAAATTTGTGAGAGCACTGCCATTAAGATATTAGAGAGCTCCCAAAATTCAAAGGAAAACTAGATAAGATGATCAAAAGTACAAACTGGTGAGCTATTAGACAAAATGGCATACCATGTAATGATCCTCTAACTTATGTATGTATCAAGCAAATGCTCCATCATGGATCCATTTCAAGTGAGGATGCAATGTGGACAGATCAATTAGTGATCTTAATCAGATCCAACATCGACGTAATTGTGCTTACCTTTTCCTTATCAGAGTATCTGTCTGAACTAGTTGTCTCGATATGTGGTTCGAGGTTTAGTTTGTGTAGCCATGTGTTTGAAACACACCAAATCTCTGACAAGCTACTCGATCTCTCCACTGAACATTGTGCAGAAGTAGCACTTTGCCTACAGTCCTGCATCACATCATGGCCAAAGGGAGCAGCCTTCCTAGTGTAGAGAATACAAAGGAAGAGAACATAGTAAATGCAAATGGATGCAGGCTGGAAAGTCCGTAATGTAGGAACAAAGTGAAGTGTATGATCAGCTTACAACCATACCTACAGTATACCAGTGTGCCTTTGCAAATGAACCATATTTTGCAGAAATGATCTGCATGCTGTTCTACAACTCGTGCTTTCCTGGATTTCAGAACCTTCATTTTCCTGAACTCTTGAAACAAGGAGTTAGGTTTTAGAGAATTAATAGGGCAAAGATTACTATTTAGATTTTAGAACGTACTGAAGCAGTACAAACACTAAGTTTGCTTCCCAGAAAACCAAGGTGCAAGCAATTAGTGTTAACATTTAATTATCTTGAAGAATTTATTTAGCTAAGTAGACAAAAACCAACACTTCTCCCAAGCATGGTTCCTTACTAGCATCCACTGTGATCACAGTGTTTCATCATAGTTACTACTACTACGGATAAAAATGCATAAAAGTATTCCAAGCTTTGGCACATGCGTACTTTGTATAGTGCTTATCATCTGCGGCCCCCATTACAAGCATGGAAACATTATGCTCAGAGATGACGTCCACCAATCCGTATGCAACATCATCTGATTCAACCACCAATTTCTCAGCTTGTACCTAGAGATGAATAGCACAGTGAAGTATCAATCGAGATTACGGATGACATTTTGCAACAAACAAAACCAATGAATTGATACATCCGTGTTGGCCTTTACATGTGAATACAACTGAATTTTAGTTCAATAAAGTGGGAAACAGGCAGACCTTCTGCTGCGCGCATATGAGTTGGTATTGATCCAAGTTGTCACTGATTCTTTGCAGGTTCATCTTCTTGTGTGCAATCAGCTCCTGCTCTCGCAGCTGGCCGGCGGGAATCTTGGCTCCGACTGCACACGACAATGGATGGAGGTTGCATAAGCATTTGCAGCCATACACATACATGGACTGAAAACTCTAAGAGGAAGCCAGAGATGTAAACAAAATGGAAGCCAAACTCAATCTGAATGAATTGAGTTGGCCTCGATTGTAAAAACGTAGGGGGTAAAATGGTGCATTAAAAAAAGAGAGAGAAATGATTTAGTGTGTGGGGAAAAAGGTTGTAAATTTGGAGTCATTGAGGGAACTGGACAAAGAAACTAGACGATCTGTGCCAATACAATCGTGGTAGATCGGATCATCAATCTAGACTCTAGTACTAGTGTAGGTAGGAGGAAGAGGGATGCGTACGGATGGGGAGGAAGTTGGGAGGGGAGTAGACATGGAGCAGCACGAAGGCGGTGCCTTGGGGGAACTTGTGCAGCGCCCACAGCAGCGTGCCCCTGCTGGACTCCTCCCCCACCGCCACGTACACCTTCTCGCCGGAGAAGGACGGCTCCGGCGAATCACCGGGGTACGGAGAGGGGGAGCCCGCCGTGGCCATGGCTTTGTTGGCCTCGCCTCGCCGGCGCCGCTTTGGAATCCTTCTTTGTGTTGGACTCTCTTCTTGTTGCCTCCCTCCCTGCCTGCTCTCACTTTAATACTCCACTGCTAATCTCAAAATATATAAGCATTTAGATATTGTCATAAGTCAAATTATGAGGACAATAAACATCATTAGATGCATTGTGAAATATATATTTTAGTAATTTTATCTTTTTTTTATGTGATAGTAGATGCTAATGTTCTTATTTATAAACTTGATAAACTTAGCATAGTTTAACCAAGAACAGACTCGTAAATACTTATATTCTACTAGAACGGAGAGAGTAGCATTCTACAAATGTTTTGGTTATGTTCTGGTGATTTGAATAGTAAATATCAAGATTCTTATTTCAAACCAAACTATGGACACTACCAACATCTAATTCTTTTTGCCGGGTGGGCCAAAGGCTGGCCGACAAATTTTCATTAATAATGAAAGAAAATGACAGTTTAGACATATAAAGTGTCATTTCCAATGGAGTTCAAGAGTATTTTTAAATGGTAGTTTCTGCAAGGTCCCTTTTTTCGCTATATTTTGAATGACTTCAATGCTTGTGAAAATACAATATACATATAAGAGAGTTGAATTGAGGTTGAAAACAGAAGGCATAGGATTTGTATTGCAGTTGCGGCAGACTTATAGGTTGCAAATGCATTTACCTTCTGAAATTGAATTAGTTATGACGATGTCATTTCTGCATTTACTAATTTGTCAACAGGACCTATGTTAGCACAATTGACTACAGGCACACGTCTGCTCGGTGCATTGCCGTTGACGCTTAACTGTTAATTGGTGATTGGCTCAATTAAGAGTGCATTGTCTGAGTATGTTCCATAAAAATCAATTTCTAACTATAAATCTAGACATAGCATATGTTCAGGTTTACAGTCATGAATTAGTTTTAAATTTTATTGGAACGGATCTTCCCTTCTCTTGTACCATGTCCTTTCTTTTTATTTTTCAGGCCCATTCTGTAAATACATTTATTTCTCTTAATAAAAAATACGTGTCTCGCGTATTCCTAAAATTTTGTTGGAACGGAGGGAGGGAGTATGTGTTAAATACGTATACAACCATCTATCTGTATAAAATCGCACTGTCTAACGTACTGTTAATCTAGCTACTAGCTATCAGGCTTCACGGTTTGAATTTCACCTAGTGATTTAAGATTATCCTGCAGGAAGCATATAACTACATTTTTCACACCTGACCTTGCACAATTATCCTGTAGGAGTAACTTCCTTTATATAGAACATAGTACAATACAACTAACCAAGATTATTATGAAATGTGCAACTACTACAATTGCGTACGTAAATTACCTCGTCAATTACAACATATCACAAGTCTCCGTAAACAATCAATGTATGAAAGGAAAGAAGCTTTTTAAAAAGGTTGAAATTAAAGGTTGAAAATTTCCTTGTCCTTAACACTACTAACTGCTACTAGTGTCTATGTCGACCGCACTTGCTCACTCACAAAAAGCTTACCGTCATCTAGTACACCAGTATCACCTTCATCGACGACCGACTGAATGAACTCCAGGTCGTAAAGTGTGCTCCCTCCGTCCCAGAAAAGTTAACCAACAAATATATCCAGATTCGTTGTATTACAGTACAGCCCCCGCTAACCACTGTCTTCTTTCTGAAATATGAAACCTTATATTGGACGTCTCGATCTAATTGATAGTACTAGCTTATATATTTTGTGATAGAAGAAATACTGTAATAGAAGCATGCATGTGCATATCTTCACTTAATTTATGAAAGCAAATGAAATATCTTTGCTTGAAATTATCTAAGCTATATATATATAAGAGCATCCTAGTCATCTACTCCCTCCGTAGAAAAAGCCAACCTATAAGGGGATCCCTCTAGTACTATAAATTTGGACAAAGAGCTGTCCAGATTCATTGTACTTTTAAGATTGGATTTTTTTTTTACGGAGGGACTATAGTGATAAGGCTTAACTTGTCAGTTACTCTTGTGCAAAAAGCTAAAACGCGTGGAAAAACTAAACAGAATGTCGGTCACTGATGAGTCCTTTGCTTTGCTGGATTCCGATTGAAACAATAGCTCCGTTCATGGTTGATTTGAATCTCTAGCTAGCCACCTCAATTTCTCTGTATTTTCCTTTCTTCTACTTTTTTTTGATAAAGTGAGGATGGAGCGATATTAAATGATGCTATGCAGCATATTTCTATTAAAAAAATCCATTTTACTCTCTCGAATAATTAAAATCCCTAAACTTTTTTTGGCTAATTTTGTTCCCGTAAACTATTAAAATTGTTCACTTTACTACTTGATACTCTATCTATCTCAAAACAAAATTATTTCTGTTCCTTCTTGTTTGTCTAAAATAAATTTATTTTTGAGCAATTATTTCACTGAAGTTTGTGAAAGTGGAACCAAATTCGTTGGGAGTACATAAAGTGGGTAACATCTTAATATGATTAATATCTTAAGCTGATTTTTTAAGCCATAGATAACACTATTATGAAAGGTCCAAAATATTTCAAGATTATATCATGAACGCTTGTTTACACTTCAAAATCTCGAAGTTTATATCAATAAGTGTTTCCAACCTACTCCATATGTTCGACAAAAAACCAACATAATACTAGATGAGGCATTTCCTAGTATATCGAATCTAGACATAGCCTGTCCAGATTCGTTGTGCTAGAAAATGTCTCATCCAATCTTTTTTTTTTACGGAGGGAGTATGTAAAACAATGATATTTTTTTAAAAAATAATATCAGGAGGTAAGTGCAATTTTAGGAGTGAGAGGGGAAAAATAAGAGGAAGAGAAAATTACCCAACACACTCTATTAGATGAGGTGGTAGAGAGTAGGATGGTAGTTAAAGGTAAAATAGAGAAAAAAAATAAATGAGATGTGATTAATGTGATAAGTAGTATGATAGGATTGCACTTATTTTGAGATAGGATTAAAATCTAGGCCATGTTTACTTCCCAAAAACTTTTCACAAAAACATAACATCGAATCTTTGGACACATGTATGGAGCATTAAATATAGATAAAAAGAAAAACTAATTACACAATTTACATGAAACGAGACAAATCTTTTGAGCCTAATTAGTCCATGATTAGCTATAAGTGTTACAGTAACCCACATGTGCTAATGACGGCTTAATTAGGCTCAAAAGATCCGTCTCGCGGTTTGCAGGCGAGTTATGAAATTAGTTTTTTCATTCGTGTACGAAAACCCCTTTCGACATCCGGTCAAACGTCCGATGTGACACCAAAAATTTTCATTTCACCAACTAAACATGCCCCTAAAATTGCACACTTGTAGATCTAGGGATGAAAAATTTTGACATGTCAAATTGGATATACGAACACACATTTGAAGTATTAAACGTAGACTAATAACAAAATAAATTACATATTCCACCTGTAAATTGCGAGACGAATTTATTAAGCCTAATTAATCTATCATTAGCAAATGTTTACTGTAGCACCGAATTATCAAATCATGGCGCATTTAGGCTTAAAAGATTTGTCTCGCAATTTACACGCAATCTGTGTAATTAGTTATTTTCTTATATTTAATACTCTATATATGTGTCCAAACATTTAATGTGAAATGGCGAAAAAATTTGCTAGAGGATCTAAAACAGGCCCTTATGTAGAGAGAGAGAAAAGAGATACTTTAGACATGCTAGACAACGTGTTTTTCTGGCAGATCTACGCGTAAAATGAGAAACATGGTTAACATGTGGTGATTGAGTATTAACTTAAAAACTTAAAAAATAGATTTATTTGATTTTCTTTAAACGCAAATTCTATATCACAACCACGTAAGTTTAGTAGATTGAAAAATGTGATAACGAAAAAACAAGAAGTAGCTATGGTCAAATAGCACTTTAGAACAGACCCCGAATATAGTTCCGGTATTGAAATATAGAATGAATTGCGCATCTTTTCTATCAGCTTAGGCGCTTTTGGACTGTAAAGAATGTATAAACAGTTAGTACTACTCCAAATCGTGTTCCACATTTCTATTTTGCACATTTGCAGGCAGGCGCCGGGTTGATGAGTCCATCTTGATTTGCCGCTGCGGCGGCGGCGGTTGCGAGTTGGGACGAACAGGCCAGGCGGACTGCAGGGCATAGGCATGGCCGCCCGCCCCCCGGACCCGGAGCTCATCGAGGTAAGTTTCGGATTGGGAGTTCGTGCTTGCTTGCTTTATTGGCTTAATTTCGAGCACTATGCTATGCAATGCTATGCTTGGTCAACTACCGATCGATGATCAATTGCAGCGGCTGCTCAATTTTTTTTTTTTTGCCTCTTCCGGTCCTCCCCCTTCTCTATTGTTTGGGTGCCTTGAGCTGTTGCACGCCACCTGTTTGTATGAATGCCATGCCCTCGTGCTTGAAGATTCTGCAACCAAATGTTGCATTCGTGCTAATATTGCTTCACATGTACTGCTCATCCTACCCATGGATCGCAAGGAGAGCCTTCATTTTTCACCAATATATAATTCCACTAAAACCATGACTCAGTCATGTAGTTGTGGCGCTTATTTCGCCTCATTGAAAAAGCTGCTCATGAGGCTTATCAACTAAAGCTACGGCGAATTAATCATCTTTTTGTTGTTAAACTATCTAGGGCCTGCATTCCATGAAAATTACCTAGGGCAGTAAACTCATGCTTCACATGTCTCTTTCAAGGTTAGAGGTGCTAGAGGGATGGAGGGTTGTTAAGGAATACACAATCACATATCGAGTTAAATTATTGCACAGACTAAGCCAATATCAAATGGATATACGCAATTTGGAGGAAAGTCATGAACAAATAAAAGTCTGTACCTTCCCCCTTTCTGGTTGAATAAGCTTAAGTTTTTCTTTTTCTCAAACAGTATGACTCCAAGCCAACAGTGACCTCTCCCTTTCCTTTTTTCCTGTTTGAAACTAGAACTTCAATGCTCCAGTGTTTGTGAATTATCATCAGTTTTATTTTTTGAAAGTCCGGCAGGGGGATCCTATATCTCCGATGATCTTCATCCTTGCCATGGATTCTCTGAACTCCCTTTTCGTCAAAGCGGAAGAGTTGGGGCTCCTCCAACCATTGGGGATCCCCCACCGGGTCTCCCTCTACGCCGACGATGTGGTCGCCTTCGTCAAGCCGACAGTCGGTGAGCTGCAGTAAGGGTTGCAATTGTGTCAAATCCCCGCCTGCTAGCCCTCCCAACTTTAAGGCAGGAATTGCAGAGCCAGAGATAGAAAGAATAGGGTCTTCAATTCTCAGCAAAGGCCTTGGTCAGAGATAGCCCGAGCTTTGGCGGCGGAAGCGACTCTCTGGTGGTTGGCACACGCGGCGCTGCCGGTGCTAACCATTTAGGTCTTGTTCTAGGTCATCCCCTTTCTGTTGCCACGAGAATAGGCTTAAGCTAGCTGTTGATCCCTTGTATCCCGTCCCCCTTCTATTTTTCATTTTTGGCTCGGTTTGTACATACACTTAATACAAAGATGCGCTCCTTGCGTATTCCCCCAAAAGAAAAAACATAAGGATGAGGAAATCCCATACAATATCCCTTTCCTAAAAGCAGCTTATTTGACAGTTCAGGGCAGTCGAGCAACAACCTTTTCATATTAGTGCAGCATGTTATTCCCTTATCTTCTTCTTGAAGGGCAGGAGAAATAGAAAGTGTAACAAAACTATCATGCCATACCAGTAGTTTTAACTGAAAAATCGCACATACATTGTTAATTTCTGAACTGCCCACACTACTATAAACTATCCATGCTCATGGATTTTTACTGCTTACCATCTGCACTTTTTTTTTACGATAATAACCATCTGACCTTTTGAATGATCGTGTTGTAGTTTTGCTTCCATGCTGTAACGAACTTCTAACTTTGCAAAAGGCAGAGATAAAATAGGCATCCATTGACAGGTGGATCTAGTATCCTTTTCTGGGTACTACATCTTCTTGGTTAGGTTACGTTGCAAGTAAGTTCATCCTAAACGTGTGAGCCTCCTCAAATATGTACATCACTTCTATCCATGGACTCCAAAATTTTGAGAAAGTATTAGCTGCTTCAGTTAAAATGTAATTCCCTACACTATACAATTTAAACTATTTTCTTAAACTTTAGATACACGATAAAATACAAACCAAATAAAAGGTCATAGTTGCTGTTTCATTTGCCACTCTTGAATGGCAAAACGAAGGGCATTATTGGGAATCAGCTCGTAGTGTGTGAAACTGAGGTAGGTCATGGGGGACGTCTTATGCCCCCTTTGAAGCCAGTCTTTTATAGCCTCACCTTCATATGTGAATCCATCAGCAGCAATATGTGGATCCTTCATGATTTCCTGAAATATTCAAAAGATGCTAGATTATTTCAAATTAAAAGTAAAAACATAAATTCAGGAGAAGGTGATGATGATACTGATAATAGATTTGGCGAACGCGAAGAGTTGTTGGTTTGGCATAAGCCATCACACGATTTGAGTGCTTAATTTCTTTGATTTGTTATCCATGTTGACCATCAATAGAGTAATTTCTCATGTGCTCTATTTGTGCTGGTGCTTAATATTGTTTATGCAATAGATATACAGTGGTAGAGATGCTTTGAAATTTCTATTAATCTACTGTCTCATGATGTAACTGACCTGTGTCATTGGGCAGATGAAAAATGATGGTATCTTGCATTTGTTGTCTGGATAGTTCACCATGGCTTGTAAAACACCCCAGGCCTCCTTGGCAAGATCAGGGCGCTCCTTTCTGTCATACCGGCAACATCTCAGTGCTAGGATTGCCAACTTTTTACTATACTCAGGTGGCCATTCCCCTGCAGAAGCATCAACTACCTGTTGCAGCATTTCATTGTTCAGGGCTGCCTCTACCTCACTAGGAAGGCCTAGTGGACTCTTGCCAGTTAGCAATCTTAGCAGCACTACTCCAAATGAATAGACATCATACTGTGCTGTGAGCTCCCCTGAAGCAATGTATCCTGGATCCATGTATCCCAATGTGCCTTTAATTTGGTTTGTTTGGTGGTAAGGTGTGATGGTGGTGTTTGTCAGATTCAACGAACGAGATATCCCAAAGTCCCCTAGCTTGCCTACAAAGTTGTCTCCAAGGAGAATATTATCAGGCTTCAGATCACCATGGGCAATGCCTTTTGGTTTGTTGGAATGAAGGAAGATAAGTGCTGTGCAGATGTCAGCAGCAATTTTGATCCTCATTCTCCATGGAAGTGGATCTGTTTGGTGTTTACATTGCAAACGGTCCTCTAGGCTCCCGTTTGGCAAGAACTCATAGACCAAAGCTTTGGCCTCCCTGCACACTCCAATCAGGGTCACAAGGTTTGGATGTCTCATCCTTCCCAGAATCTCTACCTGTAATGTATTGGCAAAATCACATATTTATATAAAGTTTTTTACTCTCTTTCTCATGTAAATATATAGCCATAAGTTAGAAGGATTGGTGAAAAATACCTCATCATCGAACTCTTTCTCTCCTGTTATGCCTTCACGGTTGAATTTCTTTATAGCCACAGTGGTATGACGGAGAAAACCTTTGTAGACACTTCCACATCCACCATGTCCGATCATTTTGGATTCATCAAAGTCGTTAGTCGCTTCTTTAATCTCTGTGTAGGTGAACTCTGTCAAGGCAACAGCACTAGTAGAACAAGATACATTGTTGCAGTTTATTTGGCTCATCTTTTCAGCTTCTTTCACAGCATTGTCTTTCTGACGTTGCAACTCTCCTTGCACAGTCTGGAGCTCTTCCATTAGAGAATTGGCATGCATAAGCTTTCTCTCCAGTTCCATTATTTGCTCATTTGCCTTCTGCAGCTCATTGTAGATCTGGAGGTGCTCCTTTTCAAGACTGACCTTTTCTCTGGTTAGTCTTTCCTCTACCGCAATTTTTTCTTTACAGAGTGAATTCTCCCGTGCTCTAAACTGCGAAAAAAAAGGTTTGCAATTTCGATATAAAGTTGAGAGACTCATCTATCATGTAGTAAAAACTGTATGTACGTATTTCACTAACACATTTGTGCATCTTTCAAAATACGACGTATTTTGAGGCCCAAAGGTACTAAAATCAGTAGATTAAGCATAAATTCTTCATGATGAGAGGGATATGGGGATAACAAACACCATACCATCTTAGACGCTTCAAACAGCTCTTTCTCGGCTTTCTGTCGGCCCTCAGATGCTTCCTTTCTTGACCGTTCTAGCTCATTGCGAACTTGCTGCCATTGTTCAAACATTTCATTCTGCATGTTAGCTTCCACCTGTAAATTATTAAGGTTTGATCTGAATTCAGTAGTTGTCCTTTCCTTACTTAAAAAAAAGGTGCATCCATGAAGGTATCCCTAGAGATTTGTTTCAGTACAATATAGCTTACCATGAAATGCTGATGCTCTTCGGAGCTTGAGCTTGAAACAGGTACTGATAATCCATCCACAGTGTCCAAATCTGTCAGAGTTGGTGAGGAACCTTTGCTTTGATGGCTGGAATTCGGGGAGCAACCTTTTGGTGCTACGTCGACTGAGTTTGGCCTTATAGGTGATATATTTTCCACGCCGTTCTCTAATTGTCTTGAAAAGGGAAAGGGATGACTAATGGAATTGGACCGCCGAGGTAGCGATTGCTGATCTGGAGAGCCTAAGAAACCTGAATACCATGACGGCAACGACACTGATCTTGGAGGGAATTCAGACTTATCTGACAGAGAACTCCCGGAGCTGCTTCTGGGGGAATCTCCTTTGTCAGCAAACTGACTGGCTTCCCTAAAATGGTAAACAATCACAATAACGTTGTTTTACAATCACAATAAGTTTGTCAAAATGGTAAATTCAATGTGGAATTGGATTTATGTTGGAGACTAGGTAGGACTGCATGAACATTCATACCTAGTGCAAGCAAGAGCTTCTTTGCAAATATATAAGATCTGGCAATATGGTTTGGCCTGTTGATGTACAATTGCTGCAACTTTTGATTTTGGTACTTGCCTCTTCCTGTTCATGAAAGATTCATGCCCATGGTCAACATTGAAATTTTCAGATTATACACTAATTAGAGGATCTGGTCTCTAGTTTAGACAAGAAGATGATAGCCATTAAAACCTAGCTTGTTAACAGTAGTTTAACGTCATATTATGCTTGCCATTTGCTAAGTAAGAAATATACAAGAAAGGTAAATTGCTGAGTTGTATTAGGAAGGGGAAAATGCATTGTTCAAGAAGTGTTTGCTTGTTGGTCCTGACGCCTTTGTCATCAATACTTGTTAGAATGAGCGACACAAACATGACAAATAATAAAATCACATCTACGGACTACAATATGCTCAGTCTAGAGATATCTCAGTGGTTGTGATTCATGATGAGGCCTCAGTACAATGGAATAAGGGCATCTTGGCATACACTGAGAAGGAAGATGTTCCCATAACAAGCTTTGTAATGTGATGTTGATCAATAAGCTCAACAATGCCATTTGCAACACTGTTCTTCTCAATCACCAATTTTTCAGCTTGCACCTGCAAATTTGGTGATTTTGCTGAGATGACATAGAATGGGAAGCAACTTCTGATTAGCATAAAGGATATAAAATATTGCATAGATTTCTGTAATTTGATGTTCTTATTCAATCCACTTCATCAGAACAATTAGTCATAAAGCTTAATTTGTCTAGGCCTGGTACAAAATGTGGTTAAAATATTGATTGTTATCTTTCCATAAATTGATCCTCAAGCTGACCATAGTTCACTTTGTTGAAAAATAAAATTCCCATTTCATATGACTTGAGTGAGAGTGCTTATCTGACCTTTGGAAATGCTCTGCAGTAACTCAGGTACTGTTCTAAAAGTTTATTCATATCGTCCTTCTCAATCTTTCTGTATGCTCTGAGCTCCTTTTCTTCTAGCTGTTTTGCAGGAACCTTACACAAGCCTGCAAGGATGGCATCATCGCAGGAAACCATGAGCACCGGCGTGGACTTCTTTTTTTTTTTTGGCAGAGCAACATGTAACACTAAAACAAGTATTATTTCCTTTTTCTGTGGGAAATATAGAAGATTTTCTGATTATTAAGAAAATAGATGTCTGGTAGCAACTTGGGTTAATGCATAACATCTAATTGACAGAACACCACTTTGGTTATTTTCAGGTTCATTGTTTGTATGATAGCTGCGGTACAGTCTCTTGAGAAGCAGGGCATATGGAAAAGAAAAAATGTGTGTGCTGCTGCTTTCCCAATTGAACAGACCAAAGGTGTCTTTCCCAGAAGTTGCAGAGAAAAACAACAATTTGTGGAAATGGAAATACAACCGTTGTTGCCTGCTACGTGGTACTAGTTATCATACTAGTAATATTGTTAGTGTTGTTGAATGCTACTACTTACTAATAATAACAGAAGAAAAGGGCAAGTAGAAGGAAAGAAATTATATACCGCTCATGATTCTGTCTGCAGGCTGGTGGACATGCAGCAGCACAAGAAGCTTGTTGACATCACCCTGCTGAGGCTGGAGTTTCCTAGCTGCCCACTGGATGTTGGCCTTGCCGTCCTTGAGGTCCTTGCCGACCGACACGTAAGTCTTTCCTCCGTCATCGTCGTCGTCATCTTCCTCCTCGTCAATCTCTCTGAGGCTGCGGGTTCCTCCGCCTGCGCGCACCAACATCCGCTCAACGCCTGCAGGTACTACCGGCTGAGGAGACAAGGGCGGCAATGGTGACGACGACGACGACGGCAACGAAGAACGAGCACTTGCCACGGCCATGCAGCGCAAACAACTTAAATTAACTGCCCTGCCACCACACAACCGACAGAATAAGAAGCAAACAACTGGGAGTAGCTAGCTAGGCAGGAGAAAGAACAAGTACCTACTATATCTTTGCTTGCTTTATTATAGTTTCTGCTGCTGCTGCTGCTGGAGGCGACGGCAACAACAAAGCAAACAAAAGGATCGAATCTCTCACAAAGGGGACTTTTGGCTTCGCTTGTATGTCGTCTGGCAACTTTTATAAACTCATCTGCTTCAGTTATTCGACAAAAGAAAGAAAAATCTCTGTTAAATCTATCTTACATACTCCGTACTAGATAGATAGGATATTATTGATTGTGAGATGAAGACATTTGGGAGCCGGGGAAGTTTCCTGCAGGTATCATCCTTCATTTTTCATTCATATTCCTTCTTCCTTAATTCTTTTTTTGTCTTCGGTCAACAATAGGAGGGCGTGGATTTGTCCTGCACAGCTGTTAACTTGGAATATACTGCCTGCCTAGCTTGCTTTTGGTCTTGGGCTAGCTGTACCTGTACTCCCTTTTAAAAGATCCTGCATACAACCATGACCATGAAGGAAACTCTCACTCTTACCAAGTCTTGCTTCTACTGTTTGCCTTCCATCATTGGTTAAAGGTTAGTAATATGAAAATGGAAGACTTATTGTGCTTAATCCTATGTTGGGTGAGGTCAACCTTATTAGCTGCGTAATGGAGTATTATTGTAGTATACTATATACAGGTCTGTGAATGTATATGATTCTCGGATGTATAATTTATTTGTGCTTGTTCGGTGTCATCATTCTCTCTTACTCCATATATGTATATATAAGTAGAAGTAACACAAGTAGTAGCAGGGTACATTGACATTGAAACGGAACACTTCCTTTTGTTGTTGTATCACGTTAATCCAACATGAATTACTTAATCTTTTCTAGTCGTTGGATCTGCATTACTAGTTCAACTGACAAATTAAGGCGGCACATACAAGGTTGCTTGCTAGGGACCCTGCTGGTATATCCAAGATGTATCAGGTATATTCCGCCAAGTCGTCAGTCATCAGACGAAGAAATGAGAGAAAAATTCTTTTGTTTGAATAAATTAATTGGATGGTTGGTTTAAGCTATGCGATTGGTCAGTCAGTCATACGCATTTCCTATATAGAATATAGCTCAAGTATACTCACTCTGTCCTATTTTAAATGTAACTATGATTTTCCGTGCACAACTTTAACCATTCGTCTCATTTATTTTTTTTAAAAAAAACATGTACTATTCATATTTTATCATCTCATAACAATAAAAATACTAATTATAAACAACTTTAAATAAGATGGATAATTAAAGTTGGGCACAGAAAATTATGATTGTATTTAAAAAATGGGACGGGGGAGTACTAGGTGCATGTGTCCTTGTTATTGTTAACAAGTTGTAATTAATGTAACACGTAAGTAGTGCAACGAATTCAATTACTAATACGGCCCTGTTTAGTTCACATCAAACTTCCCTCAAACTCCTAACTTTTCATCACATTACATCACATCTAAAACTTTCCTACTCACATAAATTCTCAACTTATTTTCCAAACTACCAACTTTTCCTAAGCTTCTTCCTAATTTCAAAAATTAAACACAGCCTACATTTCAGAGGCAGTCTAGCTGGCTATCGAGAAGTGCAGGCCTTGGGCGGCGGTGTCGCCTCTTCCTGCGCGGATATATGGAGATGGCGTCTCACATATTCCAACAGTTCTGTCAGCACCCACAAAATCAATTGGTTGTTGAATCACCCCATTCCTCAAGTCAATGGGTAGGATCCATGCCTTGTGAGCAAGGTGGTCGATGTGCAAGCTGAGCACGGGATGACCCACATGGAGCTTCTCCAAGATAGGAAAGTAGTTGGGCAGCTTAGGCATCAAATTTGAGACGTCCGAAGCATGGAGCTGGCAGTCGTTGCGCCAGCAACCAGATTATGTGTTCCAACTCTATTTAGCGAGTTATGAAATTAGTTTTTTCATTCATATCCGAAAATTCCTTTCGATATTTGGTCAAACGTTCGATATGACACCCAAAAAATTTTATTTCACCAACTAAACATGTTCTAAGTGGTGGAGGCAGCTGGATGTAGCTTGGGGCAGGTTCCTCTTGAAGGAGATTGACAAGCACGATGCCCAGCCAAAGGTCAACGAAACCCATCAGTCCAGGAGCTTGGGCGGCGATACTCTCTCTCCCCAATCTCACTTCCAGGGAAGCCAAACCAAAAAAAAGAAAAGAAAAGAAAGCGCCCCTCTTCTACTCCTCGGTTATGGGCTTATGGGCTAGGTGCCTAGGTACTTGGGATGGGCCTTTGCGACAAGTGTGATCCAGTGGAAAAAGTACACCAAAGATCCCTCAACTTATCGTAAGATACAAAATCGTCCTCGAACCGCAAAACCAGATATACGGGGTCCCTCAATTATACAAAACCGGTCACCCAATGTCTTTGGTGGTTTTGACCCTGGTTTTGGTCCGGTCACTAAGCCAATGATGCAGGAAATGCACGCTAGGAGAAGTTTGGCATGCTTAGTTAGTGGGAGCACTTGAGGAAGACTAAAGCTTGAAAGGGGCTTCACTTCTAGGACTTCTTGGCTAAGAGGATGCTTGCTATAAGAAGTATAAGTAGGCGGGTAACGTTTCATTTCTTCCATAGAATCTCAATATGGCGAGAATGAAGCAGGGCAATTAAAGTTTGAATTCAATTCAATAGTCAAGGTAGAGTAGAAAGGGGGGGCGTGCTACTTAACGCAACTGCACTTGGCTAAGAAAATAGGATAGAGCAGAGAGAGCCTAATCTCCCGCTTGGTCATTGAGCAGTGAGCCGAGGTGCGATGAGCGGTTGAGTCACGCACTACAAGATGGCTGAAGGTTGGCGGCTTAGTCCTCGTGGGACCCACATAGTCCCCACATGTCAGGTGTCCACGTCACCCTCTCTTTTTCCCCTCCTCTCTCTCACTTCTCTGCAAGCTAACCGGGGCGAGACGGGAGGGCAGCGCCGTGACGGCCGCCGGCGGAGGCAGCGTGCGAGCGCGACGGCTTCTCCGCTTTCTCCGCCTCCTCGTCCCGCTCGGCCGACGTGGGCGCGCTCGCCGGCGAACGCGTCGGCCCTGTCAGCGGCGCCGGCGACGCGTACGCGCGGTGGGACGCGGCGGTGGGGTGCCGGGCGCTCGCGGAGAACTACCGGCCGTGGTCGCCCGACCCAGCGGCGCTGCAGCACGACAGCACGTACGTGGTTGGTTGGTTGGCTTCTTTTCGGTTTGTTCGTTCCTTGTGGTTGAGAGTGAGTGAGGTGGAGGAGAGAGAGGAGGAAGAGGAGGGGATTCATTCACGTGGTTTCCGGAGAGAGCAGGAGCCAACGTGCGGCTTGACTCTGGAGATCTCTCTCTCTCTCTCTCAAGCCCAAATCAGAAGTGAGTGAGTGAGTGATTGATTGATTCCTCCTCCGTGTTCCTGTCCGGCATTTATGATTTTCTCTCCTACGTTCTTGTCGCCGTGATGTGCGTGTGCCACCGATGAAGGCGTCGAGGTCGTGAGAGGGAGAGGAATCGACGGAGAGAGAGAGGCGGCGGCAGGAAAAGGTGGAGAAGTCAAGAAACAAGAACCCAATCACCATTGAGATTGGGTTCGTTTTCCACCCTCCTCTGCGCCGATGCGTGTTTCTTGGTGTTCTTCTCTGTATTGTTCGTTTCTTTTTTGTGTGGATGGAATCATGGAAATGGAATAAAGATTTGCATCTTTACCATCTGCATGCGTGGGGCTCCAGGTTGCAGGGTATCAGGATATATAGCATCTGGCTAGCGTCGATTTTCTTTTTCTTTTGTGTGTCTCGAAATGATAGGAATCGTAGTACTGATCATTTCTCCCTTCGTCGGCAAGAATAATTCCTCTCTTTATCTTGGCGCAAGAATCTAATTTGCAGTAGAAGAACATGCATGGTTTGAGTAGTAATATCCTGTATTATGAATCTGGCTGCAGAACGCCTCATCACTGCAGCAATGCCATCATCAGCCATGGCCGTCGACACCACTGCTCCTGAGCATTGGCTCGACTGGAGGTTCATGCTCTGCGCGGTCTGGCCGTCTGAGTCTACTCCTGCATGGTCCTGGCATGCTTCTTGATCTGGAAGTACGAGGGGCCGAGCTCGCAGGACGGCAATGGCGATGGCGGCGGGGACAGTGAGGATGCACGGCCGCCCCGGGCCGCATCCGGGGTCGATCGCCCGGCACCCCACCGCCGCGTCCCACCGCGCGTACGCGTCGCCGGCGCCGCTGATAGGGCCGACGTGTTCGCCGGCGAGCGCGCCCACGTCGGCCGAGCGGGACGAGGAGGCGGAGAAAGCCGCCTCCACCGGCCGCCGTCGCGGCGCCGCCCTCCCGCATCGTCCCGGCCAGCTTGCAGAGTAGAGAGAGAGATGAGGAAGGGAGAGAAGAGGGAAAAGAGAGAGGGTGACGTGGACACCTGACATTGTGGGGCCACGTGGGTCCTATGCTGACTTAACCCCACGTAGACTAAAACCGAGGTCAAAACCACCAAAGAATCTCGGGTGACCGATTTTGTATAGCTAAGGACTAGCATATTTGGTTTTTGGTTTTGGGGTTGGAGGACGATTTTATACCCAACGACTGGTTGAGGGACCATCGGTGTACTTTTTCCGTGATCCAGTCAATTGAAAAAAGGTCCACCTGACGTCCTTCAACTCTAGCTTAAGTTTATAACTAGTAAACGTGCACGTTCGCACATCATGTCACACTAATTAATTATTATGTACAATCACCCCAAGATAATAATCTTGCAAACAACCAAAGTTCAAGAATTATATATATTCTAGTGTAAATTGGTAACTCGTTTTTAGACACTTTCTATTAAAAAATAAATACAAAGCAGAGAACGGTATGAAATGTATACAATGGTGCCATAGCTTTGATATACACGCACTAATTAAACTCAGCTCTACCTAGCTACATCTAATCGGAAAAAAAAGCCTCCCTTATCTACATAATAGCTTCCCTTCATCCACAATAAGTTCAAATGCGCTACAAAACAATCTGCAATAAAAATATCATTTAAATGATCTCCAATAAATAACTCCTGTCGTATCACCAGTAATGAAAACCACAAGCCCTTTAGTGTTGTACTGTTGTTGTATACTCCATCCGTTTCGAAATGTTTGATGCCGTTGACTTTTTAGCACATGTTTGTCCGTTTGTCTTATTTAAAAAATTTAAGTAATTATTAATTCTTTTCCTATCATTTGATTCATTACTAAATATATTTTTATGTAGGCATATAATTTTACATATTTCACAAAAGTTTTTGAATAAGACGAACGGTCAAACATGTGCTAAAAAGTCAACGGTGTCAAACATTTCGAAACGGAATGAGTACTTACAAATGTTTACTTATCGATACTGATATTCAGACATAAGCTCGCTGAATACTCCAGCTACGCGGTCGGTCAGTAAGTCATGTGCATGTGTCCTTGTTATGGTTAACAAGCTGTAATTAATGTAACATGCGTACGTAGTGCAATGAATTCAATTATAAAGTACATTTCACTTAGGCAGTCTAGCTAGTTATCTAGAACGGCAGGCACTATTGCATTATTACTGTTCCCCGTCCTCCGGCGGTGTCGCCTCTTCCTGCGCGGATATCTGGAGATGGTCGTTTGGACATACGTCTCACTTATTCCAAACGTTCTGTCAGCACCAGCAAAATCTGATGGTTGTTGAATGACCCAGTTCCTCAGGTCAATAGGTAGGATCCATGCCTACCTATTGATCTTGGCCATGAGGTGAACAAGATGGGCGTCGTGCAAGCTGAGCACGGGATGACCCACATGGAGCTTTTGCAAGCTTGGTTGAGGACGACGGGCAGTGTCGTAGTTTGGCAGGGTAGGCATCATATGATGTGAGATTTGAGAGGAACGTAGGCGGCAGTCCATGCGCCAGCAACCAACTCCATTTAGCGGCCGTCCAGCCATCAGCAATGTGTCTCTCTGCGGGTGTGGAAGGCCTTTGAACTCAAACTCAACATAGTTGATGCAACCCTCTAAGTCGATGGCAATGTCACGAACATCGCTTGCGTTGCCCTCGTCAATGCCTATGCCTGATTCGTGGAGGCAATGGGATGTAGCTTGGCGCAGGTTGGTCATGAAGCACATTGACAAGCACGACGCCACGCCAAAGGTCAGCGAAACCCATGAGGCCAGGAGCTTGGCGGGAGAGGTTGATGACCTTGTCGGTGTGATGGAAGAAGAAAGTTAGGGGAGGCGAGCTTTGGTTGGTGGTGGAGTGGTAGAGGTGGAGGCGGTATTCTCCCCCTGGCTTCCTGATGGGAGTGAGCGCGGCGACGATATGATGTAGTGCTGCTGTTTGGCGTACGTGCGGAATTAGCGGGTGGTGGCCACGGAGGATGCCGACGTGGTTGTCAAGAAAGAGGCTGTCGAGGTCGCCGCTGGGATGGGGGATGCGCGTGAGCGATGGCGAGCTACCATCGGAGAGGAATAAATTGTGACGGTTACCATGGCCGAGGGTGAGGCGGAAGAGGAGGAGGTCGTCGTGAGCGGCGATGATCTTGGGCTCACGGGCAAAGTCATCCGAGGGATTTCATGGCCCTCCCTTGTTTTGGAGGTGGCGTTGCAGATATCGGCAAAGTAGGCGGTCTTGTCGAGGAGTGCCCAGGGTGGCGGCCGCCCCCGCCGGCTTTTCTTGTGAACGTCTCGGCCGTGCGCAGGAGGTCGCAGGGAGGAGTCCTTGATGGGCTTGCCAACCTCCATCTCTGATCTCTCTCTAAGACGACTTAATTAGCTTGATTGATCTTTCAAGGAAGAGGAAGAAGAGCACCACAGAAGCTGGACATACTTATATGCTGGGGGGCCGGCCTGGGCACTGGGCAGCAGTGAGTAGCAATCGGAGTCGGAGATAGTGTGTTTCCTCTCTCTCTCTCTCCAATCTCTCTTCGGCCGGTGCACAGGACAACAAAAACCGCCATCTTTGCTCTTCGCTGTGTTCTCAAGGGTGAGAAGAAACCATCCGTGTTTTTGGGAGAAATTTTCAACTCTAGGAATGACTTATTTTGTAATATTCTCTTCTCTTTCTCTTTGCATCACAAATCCACAGGTTAACAATATTAGTAACAGTTCAAGAATATGAATAAATAACCTTCTTATAGTTCAATTGAAAAATATTAGTATCAAACAAACAATAATCTCCTAGTTAGTAAAACATCCGAGGGCAACTACTTCTCACAGCTGATAATATCATTATACCATACCAATTCGTTATGTATGGATGATGGATAAGATCCTATGAACAGAGAGCCAATTTGAAACTTCCAATGGATTTATGGAACAATCCGGTTCGAATAGAAATAATGTGCTCCACAAGCACGTAAGGAGGATAGATGCCCAATTTATAGCGGCCAAGTTGATACCTCCAGCAAGCAGCTAGCTACAATGTTTTTCACACACACTCCAAAAACAATTGAGAGTCCAGAATAAGCTGATTATCTACCAAAAAAAATCTCAAACTACACAGGGCTTCTTTCTGTTAACTTCCAACATCTAAAGCTCCTGTCAAATTCATGCCTTCTAAAGCTACCTTTTCCTGCGCTTGGAAGACTTCACTGTCAACGTCCTTGGCGCTTCATCAGACATCTTAAATTCAACATACTGCTCCTGCACAACCGACCAAGGAAGAGCAGGATTCGTGTTACATATGTTCCGTTTGAAAATAATGCGAGGAATGTAAATCACGGGATTATCTGCCATTTTGGAGAAGGACAGATACAGACCTCCTCCCACTTTTTCTGGAGCTGCAAAAGCTCTTTACAGCATGCCACACACTCAGCATGGTAAGCAGCAGCCAGTTCTTTAATCAAGGCCTTCCTTTTGATTATTCCTATCACTTCAAAACACCATGGCATTATATACAAGCACAAGAATGCTGGCAACTATTTTACAAATGAAAAATGTTTTTTAGATTTTGCAAGCAATGCATCAACAGAACTCAATATATCTCTAATACTATAATGAGGCCAGTGTACCATGTGAAAATCATGGAGAGATAAAGCTTTGACATTTCATAACTCACTCATGACAATATACTAGCAAGGTAGCTAGTACATGCATAACAATTGTACTTCTATTCAGTATCTGGTAGGATAGGATACCTGCTCCAATCATTTATATAGAGTCAAATTTTTTGCAACATACTAGACTTACTCCATCCCGAATAAACTGAGATGTTGGTTCAAGAATTACCATCCTATGCACATCTCTCAGAAAGCTTTATAAGTGAACTGAATTATGGACCAAGGGCTACGAAAATTGAGGCCATGGCCATGGCATTTGATAGGATCTTTGTGCATTCCTAGTTGTGCAGCAGATGTTTATTTCGTGTGACTGTGAGATTTCCAATTTGATTCGTGGCGAATTGTTAGTTAGCAATACTAGTTTACAAAACCTGAACCCTCTAAAGCAAATCAGTATGAGTCGTGATTTGTTATACTCTAGTACCGAATAGGAGTAACCAAATCTAGAGCACGAACACAAAAGGTAACAAAAATTAAAGGTGCGTGAGAAAGAGAGAGACCCTTACTTCGGCTGGGATCGAAGTGTTGCTCGTCGGGCTTCTTCTCCCCGTTGGCCGTCGGCTCCCCGCTGCCGCTCGCGCCGTCCATGGGATGGGAGGCGGAAGATCGCCGCGGTTAGGCCTTTGCTTAGATCCAACCAAACAAGCCAACACCCAGGAAAGGGGAAGGCGACAGAGCCGAGCCGGTTCTCTGGATGTGTATTTGTTGGGATTTCTCGCTTCTAGGTCGCCGGCGAAAAGGGGCTCGCTGGCCGGAGACGAAGACGGAGACGCAGATGGAGACGAGAGTGACAATGGCGGCGGCGGACGCAACGCTCCGTCGGCCTCGAGTAGGAAAGTGAAGGAAACCAACACAAAAGAGGAAGTATATGGGCCTCAGCCCGGCCCATGTACAGTTTTTCTGCATAAGCCTCTCGAGCGGCCCAACTACTACACTTGGACTCTTTCTCTCTCATTCCACTTCTTGCTCGCCGCCGCCGCCGCCGCCGCCGCCGGCGAAGGGGATCGATCGGATGGGGACGTCGGTGCAGGTGACTCCGTTGAGTGGCGCGTACGGTGAGGGACCCCTCTGCTACCTGCTCGCCGTCGATGGCTTCCGCTTCCTCCTCGACTGCGGCTGGACCGACCTCTGCGACCCCTCCCACCTCCAACCCCTCGCCAAGTACGCTTCCACCATTTTCGCCCTAACTCTCCTCTTGGCTAGTCGGGGTCAGCTGCTTTGGTGCTAGTCTTTCTCCTTTGCCGCATGCTGCGATGAGTTCGGATGGGATGGGGATGGGGTTGCCATGCGCGCCACCTGCTCGTTCAATTGCCTACACTTGGAGACAGTGAAGGGTTCTCCGGCTCTGCTGTGATTTTGTCATCTTAGGGTTATCTGTGTTGCTATGTAACGAATGAGATCGTCGGTTTAGGAGATTGATTTGCCTCAACTGAATTGCTGAGTCCGACAGGTGTTCGGGTGTGCTTGTGCATAGTCAGGCTTGGTGCATGTTATGCACTTGTGTTGGTGGGTCCGTGTGCACGAACGCATATGCACTTCTACATTGTGCCCATGATCCTGCATACATACCATATGGACTACTTACTGATGTGTTGTTTATGTATGACCTTAATTGTTAATTAGTATGTGCCAAAGATGTAGCTCGAGTTTCTAAACCGTGCTTAATATTGCTTCTCAAGCTTGTCTTACTGGGCGTTGCCCCTCAACATTTCATGTGGTTTTTACATGGAACCTTCAGTAATTGCTTTCATTTGCTTAAATGGTGAATATCTATCTTAAGGCAATTATAGAGTGGCATGATCAAGGCAATTTTTTGCCTCCCTGTAATAGATAGCCTGCTTTCAGGTTGAACTCTGACTCATATTTATATTTATTTTTCTATGCTGAATAAACTTATTCTTGTTCGTCTTCCTTGATTGTTGAGTAATCATGGCATAGATTTAGTAGCAATTATCTCACCAGCTTGGTACTAGTAGCCTCAAAATCATGCAAAAGTTCCATTTTAAGCTCCCATGATCTTTGTTGTTCAATTATTCAAATTACACATCTGTAAAGATTGAAGGGAACACTTGAACATGTTTCAGTATTTTTATGGATTATGAATTTGATCAGTATTTTTTTTTCAGGGTTGCACCAACAATAGATGCAGTTCTTTTGTCTCATGCCGATACCATGCATCTAGGAGCTTTGCCATATGCTATGAAACATCTCGGACTATCTGCACCAGTATATGCCACAGAACCTGTATTTAGACTTGGCATTTTAACCTTGTATGATTACTTTATATCACGACGGGTAAGCTTTCTAGTGTCCATTTTAACCTCTTGTTTGTTTCATTGCATATAGTGGATCTAACCATTCTTTATTTTCCTTTGCAGCAAGTTTCAGATTTTGACTTGTTTACTTTGGACGATATTGATGCTGCATTCCAAAATGTTGTTAGATTGAAGTACTCACAGAACCACCTTTTGAATGGTCAGTAAGCATGCTGTTGATGTATATCCTTTGCTAAATTACATCCCCTTACATACTATTGATTGGCAGATAAAGGTGAAGGAATAGTTATTGCTCCACATGTTGCTGGGCATGATTTGGGTGGCACGGTATGGAAGATAACAAAAGATGGGGAGGATGTTGTTTATGCTGTTGACTTCAACCATCGTAAAGAGAGGTTAAATCCTTCCTTTGTCATTTACTTGTCATTTTAGTTTTCTCTTTATTAGCAAATAATAACAGCAATGTGCTTTTCCAGGCATTTGAATGGTACTGCTCTTGGATCATTTGTACGGCCAGCTGTTCTGATAACTGATGCATACAATGCCTTGAACAACCATGTCTACAAAAGGCAGCAGGATCAAGATTTCATTGGTACAACACTGGACATGTTATTATCATAGCTCTCTATCTCTATCTCTTTTTCAAATGCTTTCAGCTCTAGCATTACTACTATACCCACACAGCCATGGTTGCAGGTAACAGCTCATGATAATTTTGTTGGAAGCTGTTTTTTACTTATGTTTTCTCCATCAAAGTAGCACTGATGAATATATCTTCTATTTTCCAAATTTGCAACTTGGACACAACTTTTTTTATTTCTCAATTATTTTTTAGTGCTACACATTGTTGAGTTCAATAATAAACTATTAATATTTTAGACTCCAAATATATGTTATCGTGTATATGGTTTGTTTTAGTTACTGTATGGGAATCCTCTTGTGATGTCTAATTGACATCCTGTTTCATGCAGATGCATTAGTGAAAGTTCTAACTGGTGGTGGTAGTGTGTTACTGCCGATTGATACAGCTGGTAGAGTTCTTGAAATTCTTTTGATATTGGAGCAGGTGAAATCTTGAAGGTCTTGTTCTCGTACTGTTTTATTTTGTTATGTCAATAATATGTTCACCTTTTGTCTTGATTTATTGCAGTACTGGGCTCAACGGCATTTGATCTACCCTATCTACTTTCTGACAAATGTTTCTACGAGTACTGTTGATTATGTCAAGAGTTTTCTTGAATGGATGAATGATTCAATCTCAAAGTCTTTTGAACACACTAGAGACAATGCCTTCCTATTAAAGTACGAATGATTCTTGTTACTTTCCTTTTTTTCAGTTCATCGTTTTGTTTTATTCTGTGCATATTGACAATTGCTATGCATTGCAAGCCTGAAGATTCATGATGAGCTTATTATTTTACATTTCAACAGCCCAATAGACATGTTTCCTCTATTACTTTCTCCTTATGGAGTCATATTTATATTTTATCTCATTGGGCTGTCCTGTTATTACAATACTGTATTATCAGAGCCAATTCAACTGCCTCTTTTCCTGAATCAGCGCTATACTATTATTTGTTTATAAACTTCATATATAACTTTCTTAAGAACGATATTTGTATGATTGTTTTGTTTAGTTTCTACAACTTTTGTTTTTTCTGTGTTGCAGATGTGTTACACAGATAATAAACAAAGATGAGCTTGAAAAGCTGGGAGATGCACCAAAGGTTAGAGTAACATTTATTTCCTCCATACTGTCGGAAACGTGAATTTAACAAACATTTAGCAGGTGGTTCTAGCATCCATGGCAAGCTTGGAGGTTGGCTTTTCTCATGACATATTTGTTGATATGGCAAATGAAGCAAAGAATCTAGTACTTTTTACTGAGAAGGGACAGGTAAATCCATGTACTCAATATATCTGGATGGTTTATTTCTTTCTCAGCACATACATTCAATAACTAGCTACATACAAACCATTATAGCTTCAAACCTGTAAGTGACAAGTAGTCCAACACCTTGAAGGGGCCTTAGCAAATTGATTGCTACAACCTACATGAAACTTTTAAAATTTGTGTAAACAACATGAATCTTGATGATGAATCCAAACTTACGTCACGTTAACCATATCCTCTCTGCCTTCATGTTCCATAGATTTCTGTATTTGCAAAAACTGATCAAACATTTGTGTTGTTCTCACTCAGCAAAAGAATTCTAGCATCATATATCTATGTTCTACAGCTATCTAATTACAAAGTATCCCATTCCAGTTTGGGACACTAGCTCGCATGCTCCAAGTAGATCCACCTCCAAAAGCTGTAAAGGTCACTATGAGCAAGCGAATTCCTTTAGTTGGTGATGAGCTGAAAGCTTACGAAGAAGAACAAGAACGGATAAAAAAGGAGGAAGCGCTAAAGGCCAGTCTAAACAAAGAGGAGGAAAAGAAGGCGTCTCTTGGATCAAACGCAAAGGCTTCTGATCCCATGGTTATTGATGCCAGCACATCTCGCAAACCATCCAACGGTATAGCTAGGCTGCGTTTGTAAGACCTTTACGATCTGATGCAATATATTATATGTGGTTAACAACCCTTCTTGGCTCTGTGGTTCCATCAGCTGGTTCAAAGTTTGGCGGGAATGTGGATATTCTCATTGATGGATTTGTCCCTCCATCATCAAGTGTTGCTCCAATGTTTCCTTTCTTTGAAAATACTTCTGAATGGGATGACTTCGGTGAGGTTATCAACCCTGAAGACTATCTGATGAAGCAAGAAGAAATGGATAATACTTTGATGCCCGTAAGTTTGCTTATGTACTTTTTTTCTTTTTTTTACAATCGGAACCCTGTGGCCAGATGGTTTAATTTTGCCTGGAGCATATCAGCCAACTATGTTTAGGGTTTTCTTTCTTGGAACCTGAAAAAACTTGAAATGCCAACAAAATAAACTTGAATGTCAATGTTTTCATGAATTGTTTTCAGGGTGCTGGGGATGGTATGGATAGTATGCTTGATGAGGGCTCAGCACGCCTACTCCTTGATTCTACACCCTCAAAAGTTATTTCCAACGAGATGACTGTAAGTTTTTTTTCCCATTTACTTCATTTTGTCTGTCTGTTTATTTATTTCTAGAAAAATCTTTACTTCTATTTAATTATGATCAACATTTTTAGGTGCAAGTCAAGTGTTCATTAGCATATATGGACTTTGAAGGTCGGTCTGATGGGCGCTCTGTAAAATCTGTTATTGCTCATGTGGCCCCATTAAAACTTGTAAGTGCTGGAAATACCCTTCTTTTAGCATCCATGATTTAGGATTTAGAATTTATACTTTTTGACACATGATTATCTCCTTCTTGGAACATATATTTTTCTCACGTATATAGCTTGTCCCTTTTCAACAAGAAATTAGTTTGAAATTCCCTAAACCTATTTACTGATTATTATTGATGCCCTTGAGCTATGGAAACCATTTACAAATACAATTATTTACATTTCCGTTTATTTCTTGAGGGTAAACATGCCATCACATACTGAAGCTCCTGTTACATTTTCAGGTTTTGGTTCATGGATCAGCAGAAGCTACTGAGCATTTAAAAATGCATTGTTCGAAGAACTCAGACTTGCATGTTTATGCTCCTCAGATAGAAGAAACTATTGATGTGACATCAGATTTATGTGCTTACAAGGTCTGTATAACGTTTATGTTAACAGCCAAACTCTTATTATGTGTGACGGGCAGGCGTTGCCTGATGCTGGTGTCCAATTCTTATCCGATGACTTAAACAACATGAGGCAAAACTGAATAGTTGCCATTTACCAATCATTTTTACTGCACTATCACTGTATCATATATTTCCATACATACACAAACTTATTCACTATCTTTGTAATTTCAGGTACAACTTTCGGAGAAGTTAATGAGTAATGTTATTTCTAAGAAGGTAAGAGCATTGGTTTCCTCCTTCACTATTAATGTATTTTATCCTTCAACTGGTGCTAATAAATCTCCTTGATGTGGACGCTATCAGATGATATAAACTTGAACCAAATTAAGCTATCAAACTGATTTTTTTGCTTATAAAGTGAGCCAGATTCCCAGGACCATTCATGTTTCAGTAGTAATAAGATTATAACCAGAAAAGGCAGAACTTCTTCTATTGTTGCAAAAATGTTACTTCATATGCAATATGTATATGAATGACCGAGGTCCTTCCAATGCAGTTTTGAGAAATGATTGATTCCATACTGGTTACTGGATGGTCCATTCTGTTGCCCTAGTCAGTCGAATGTTTTTCAGCATAAGAAGCCTTTCATGACAAAATTGTCTGTGAACCAGATACCACAAGCCTGTGATTATTTCTTTTTTTTTTTGCCCATACAAGAATATGAATGACCGAGGTCCTTCCAATACAGTTTTGAGAAATGATTGATTCCATACTGCTTACTGGATGGTCCATTCTGTTGCCCTACTCAGTTGAATGTTTTTCAGCATAAGTAGCCTTTCATGACAAAATTATCTGTGAACCTGATACCACAAGCCTGTGATTATTTTTTTTTTTGCCCATACAAGTATACAACCTTTGGGGGCTAACCTGAAACTGCACTTTGTTGTTATGGATTAGCAGTAAGAAAGCACTAACACTGGCACTCTGTGCAGTTGGGTGAGCATGAAATTGCATGGGTAGATGCAGAGGTTGGAAAAACAGATGACAAGCTTACTTTGTTGCCCCCGTCGTCAACTCCAGCAGCCCACAAGTCAGTTCTTGTGGGTGATTTGAAATTGGCTGATTTTAAGCAATTCCTGGCAAATAAAGGTTTGCAGGTAAGTTTTCATTTTCAAATATGTTAGTACTGTATAATATTAAGTTCTTGGATATACTGGCCCTTCACGTTTCAGTGTTGAGAGAGAGAGAGAGAGAGAGAGAGAGAGAGAGGGAGGGAGGGAGGGAGGGAGGGAGAGAGAGAGAGAGAGAGAGAGAGAGAGAGCATGTCCTGACAGTTACAACTGTTACTCCTGCTCCCATACAGAACCAGTTGTTAGATGGCTCCTCTTAGGAGTACACTTAATATTGTTTGCATAACTTACTAGTAGCTGGAATACCAAAATCGATTAACAAAACTGTAATAGGCTAACTTGGAAGCAGATGTTAACCAGGCTGTAAGCATGAGTAATTATAGCTGTTGATACATTCTGAAACCATTGAAATTCAGGGCTAAGAGATTTCTTGCAGGTTGAATTTGCTGGTGGTGCTTTACGGTGTGGTGAATACATCACACTGCGCAAGATTGGTGATGCTGGCCAAAAGGTAAGTAGTGGTGAAGTAGCATCCAGTATATCGCTGTGAACATGCTATTGCCAGGCTTTGATCCGCTGCGGCTGTTCAAGGACAGCATGCTATACTGATTTCTCATTTCCCTCTTGAAAACCGTTGAATTGCGATCAGTCGTCGCGTCGGTTTCAAGTGGTTTTGTTTGTGAATGTACTGACGTGACTAAATTATGGTGTGGGTTGCAGGGCAGCACAGGTTCCCAGCAGATTGTGATCGAAGGGCCCCTGTGTGAGGACTATTACAAGATTCGTGAGCTTCTTTACTCTCAGTTCTACTTGTTGTAAAATGTAATGGACCGGACCATGGCATCTCTTTCCTTTCGTGTTGATGTTGTTGTACACGGAGGAACCGTTAATCCATTTGGATCTGAGCGCCAGAATATGCTGTTTGTTGCTCTCCCGAGATCCCTTTTTAGTTTTAGTTAGCTTATTTTAGAGAGTAGTAGACCCAAGAGGTGTGTTGATGAGACAATTTCAATATATATGCTTTTTGTATATTATTGTACACTTGATAATGGTTCATTCCTGAATCCTGATGTTGACTTTATTACTGTCGAAAACGCTGGACTTGTGCTATTATATATAGAGAGAGTACGAGTAGGTGTAGATGGAAAAGAAAATAAAAGGATCCAAAGTAGGTACGTATACACGACTTTGAATGATCGATACGATGATATTTTAAGTGTGACAATAGAAGCTCTCTCAGGTCGTTTCCTCCTAGCATATGATTCGATCAAGTGGTTCTGTTGGATGGAATTGTCAACAGTGCTTATTAGCAGCAGATATACTCCTAGTCCTAGTTAACAGTGAGTGAAGTACAGTTGGAGTTGATCCCCATTTCGTCCATAGAAGCTCTCCTAAAAGAGACAACAAGAGCGAGTGAGCGAGCGAAATACCCACTGCCATTCATTCTACCAAACCAAATCAAATTCTCGCTTCTTCTTGGACGCCGGGAACACCAAACCAACGAACAAACGGCGAATCCAAGTTTCGATTCGATTCGGTTCGGTTCCAACTCCAATCCGCGGCGCCGGCGGCAACAATGGCGGCGCTCCACGCACTCCAGCGATCTCAGTGGAGAATGAGGACTGAGGAGTAGTGATCTCGAATCGTGCAGAGCAGGGCTCCGCCTCCAGGGCAGAGGCATGTCTCTCGCCTGCGGGCTCCCGCTGCTGGAATGCGTCTACTGCCTGGGATGCGCGCGGTGGGCGTGGAAGCGGTGCCTCCACTCCGGCGACCGCGACAGCGCCACCTGGGGCCTCGCCTCCGCCGATGACTTCGCCCCCGTCCCGCGCCTCTGCCGCCTCATCATGGCCAACTACGACCACCACCCCTGCCACCCCCTCGACGCCCGCTGCGTCGTCCGCCGCCGCACCTACGCCGACACCCGCGGCCGCGTCACCCCCTACCTCCTCTACCTCGACCACCCCAACTCCGACATCGTCCTCGCCCTCCGCGGCCTCAACCTCGCCAGGGAGACCGACTACGCCCTCCTCCTCGACAACCGCCTCGGCAAGCGCCGCTTCCATGGCGGCTACGTCCACAACGGCCTCCTCCGCGCCGCCGCCTGGGTTCTCGACGCCGAGTGCGACCTCCTCCGGGACCTCCTCGCCGACCACCCCGACTACACCCTCACCTTCACTGGCCACTCCCTCGGCGCCGGCATCGCCGCCATGCTCACCGTCGTCGTCCTCCTCAACCTCGACAAGCTCGGCACCAATCTCCACAGGAGCCGCATCAGGTGCTACGCCATGGCGCCTGCCAGATGTATGTCGCTCAATCTGGCTATCAGATATGCCGACGTTATCAACTCTGTTGTCCTGCAAGTGAGCCCAGCGTTGTTCCCCCTTTTCAATTCCTGCTATACTTGCTTATTCCTCCTCACCATTCCTACCACATCACACTTGATCTGCATTCTTCATCTTCTGTCTCAACAAAATAATTATAGCTCCTTATTGACAGGATGATTTCTTGCCTCGGACAGCCACTCCTTTAGAAGACATTTTCAAGTCAATCCTATGGTACATATATGCCCATGCCCACCAATCTTTTACAAAAGTAGCGTTACACAATTCTACACTGGTCATACAAGGCAGCACTATCACATATATGATTCCAGTCACATTTAATTTTCCTTTTACAGTAAATACCATCACTACCTTTCTGCTTGTTAATTCCAATTGTCGAGATGGCTTCCATAGGCAGATCGGTAACATATGTGCTCATCCATTGTTTCATTTGCTAACTGATGTAGTTATTACTTAAGCTGGCTTGTGTGGCTAATAATTGCCTGAAACTTATGCGATTGCACAATATTTCTTGTTGGATGTCTATGTAAGAGCTTTGTAGGGACCTAAAGAAGTTGATGCCGTTTACTTGTGATTTTCAAAGTTATAGAAAGTTTCTCTGTTTATACTTCAGTAATCACAGCTAGTATCTGACTTGACCCAAGCAATTAGCAGCTAATAGCTGATATGTATAGTATGACTTGAGGAAGGAAATAGAGGATCTGATGGACAGTGCAAATGCACCAGTGAGTTAGAAAAGTGGAGATAGAAAATGACATTTAGTTTGGGATGGGGTGGTTGATCCGATTTTTTCTGTTTCTCTGCTTGTAGCAATGCTATGCAGTAAGTTGGATGTAGCTTCATTTCTCCTTCCAGCTTATTGGGTTCAAACAAGTTTAAACTTGGATCATCTCCTCTTTTTGGGCAGCTTGCCCTGCCTGCTGTGTATCAGATGTTTGAGGGACACTTGCATACCTGAAGATGCTATGTTAAAAGATCCAAGGAGGCTTTATGCACCAGGTCGGATATATCACATTGTAGAGAGAAAAATGTTCAGGTACTCCCTTTTTTCTTGTTTGTTTGGTGTTTTACAACTCAAAAATATCTTGAGGCCCCTCTTGAAATATATAATTTGCTGACTGTACTGATATTAAAAGGTTAATGGCTTGTTTGGTAGGATTTTGATAGTAGTCAGGTCTATTAGACATAGAAGAGATGCTATGCTAGTAGCTTTGATTGTTGAACTTTATTGTGCCAAGAGGACGTGCAAATAACATATCATTCCATTTATGCTGTCCGTATTAAATTACTAATTCAGCTATTTCAAACTAACACCGCTAGCCATGCAGTCAATACTAGAATACACTGATGTCCCATGATATCAAGTATACCAATTAATTTGATCTGGTTTTTCTTGATAATTTATTAATGTTTTGTCTTGTTCAGATTACTACTCTTTTGTTACAATAGAGATTTCCAAGCATGATCATAAACGAACTTGTTCCTGAATTCCAGGTGTGGAAGATACCCCCCAGTGGTGAAAACAGCTGTGCCTGTGGATGGTAGATTTGAGCATATAGTTCTTTCCTGCAATGCCACAATGGACCATGCCATTATTTGGATCGAGAGGGAAGCACAAAAGGCGTTGGATGTAAGAAACCGTATATTGCCAACCTTTGTTTCTGTGGATTACAACTTACAAGCATGTAGCACAGGCGTTTTTACATCCCATTGTGGTTGAGACGGCGTCGTTAGATTCATCTTGCAAGTTGCTTGTTAAATGTCTGATGGTGACCATGGCTGTGCATATGAACAGTTGATGCTTGAGAAGGAGAAGACAATGGAGGTGCCATCGGAGCAGAGGATGGAGAGGAACGAGAGCCTGCAGAGGGAGCACGTAGAGGAGCACAAGGCAGCTCTGCGCAGGGCTGTGACGCTCTCGGTGCCGGACGCTCGGTCGCCGTCGGCTTACGGCACCTTCGGCGAGCAGCCGGAGAGAAGCGAGAGCTTCCCGCCGGTGTCAGCGATGGCCAGGCAGCGTATGAGCTGGAACGACCTCATCGAGCGGGTCTTCGACAGGGACGAGTCAGGCCACATTGTGCTGCGCAGCTCACCTTCTCCCTAGCTGTGCCTGTACATTCCATTCCATCCTCTTTCTTCTTCCTTTCCTTACCCTGGTATGCACCTTTTCATCATCTCTTTTTATTTTTTTATGTATATGCAACTTCAACTTCTGCTGTTATTTTTTCTTCCTTATTATTCATTCATGGTATCTACCGACGCATTTTTTGCTGTCCATATTTCTCTTGTATGTATATCTGCCTAGTGGTGGGTACGCTTTTCCTTTTGTTTTACATCTTTTTGTGCCCAACTTGTATGCTCACACTAGAAAGAAGAAAACATTGTTTTCTAGAGGAATTGTAAGCCGTTGTTATAAAATATTCATGTAAAATATGGGGAAAACTCAGAGAAATTCTCGGTACTGATGAGCAATGCAATGTTTTGACAGTAAGAAACATGCATTTCTCATACACTGTAGAAAAGACCCAAAAAAAAGCACATGTATGTATTGTATACAGCCAAGATCCTCGAGTGACATTCCACCAACAAATACAAACACATACACCGCGAGAACCTTTGCTAACTCCATTAATGTCGCTTGCTCCATGATAAACATGCATCAGCACATTCTCTTCAATACAGCCTCAAATCTTTCAGAAGGATACCACCTGCTCACCCAATCCTCATCTCATGACAAATCAAATATGTCTGCCGCATCGAAAGAAATACACCTGCTTCCAACCTCATTCCGAATGAAACCATCAATTTTCTGCATGACAACTCTTTGCCAAGGGTATGCTTTACACCATGGAGCCAAACCCTCTATAGTTCAAAAATCTGCTGATGGTATACTACAACAACCTACGAAACAAAAATGGCATCTCTGTTCCCCCATCATAAGCCATAAGGCCTATGCCAATTACAATGGCATGTATATATATGTATGTATGTAAGAACCCTGAACACAACTTATACCTGTAGATCGAGAACTGCTTCACCTGCAAACAAACATGACAAGATTCATAAGTCTGAGGTTTACGTCAGGTGGAACCACTGTCAGTAAACATGGTCTGCTAAGCCTTACCATGCATTCTCTTAACGAAACGCTCAAATTCCAAAAAATTAGCTCTCTCGAAGAGGACTTTGGTGAGCCTCAGGTACGTGAATCCTAGTAAATGCCTCCCATCTGGATCATTCAGTGGCTTTGCATTCTCCAAAATTTTGTTAAAGCCATCTCTATCGTAGCAAGGCAGAGCATTCTCACTAGCTACTGGTATGCCAGCATCCCATGCAGCATTTAGCACCTGAAAATCGATACGTCCAATTGATAAGGCATTGACATAACAACAAGATAGCTGGTCTCAGCTAAACAGAAAAAAAATACATTAGCCTACTAAGCTGCTACCAGGTAGATGAGAAAGCAAAACAGCAACCATGGCTAGGATGATGGAAAGTTCCCTACCTGCCATACAAGGCCCTCTGGATCTGCAAAGGCCTCAGGAAATACCTCATGCTGATCCATAGTGCGCAGTTCAACACATGTAAAGTTCAAAGCTGCACCATGTTTTTTCAGGACAGCAGCAATTGAGGCATAACCATCACGGTTGCATGGGTTATAAAACCCAGCAGTCAATTCAGCAGCATGACTGGCAGTTTTGTACCACCAGTGTACACCTGAAACCTGTCATACCACAAAGTGTAAACCAAGCTTGATGTCAAACCTATAGGATTAGGATGCTGGAAACAGGGATACGTGCCCCCAGAAGAATGGTCAAATACTGAAAACAGTTGTGCACTTCATTCATTAACAACAAGAAGTTAACTGACCTTAACAGCAATATCTGAACCTTCAAAAGCCAACCTGGCTAACATCAATACACGGTCAGCATGATCCACCAACACCTGGGAATACCAATTGAGGAAAAAACGACCATAGTAGCTATCATAATCTCCTCCGTCAGAGAAAAATCCAGTCAGATTTGGCTCAGAATTATAATGGCCTGCACTGTCTGGCGCTCTTGCCCATATGGTATGTCCTCGTGCTTCTGCAGCTCTTCTTAAACTTTTCTGTAAGTATCTGTCGTAGCACTGCAGCAAAATACATTCTCAAGTGAACCCTCTTGTTGTATAAGAAAACTTTACAAGGGTAAATAGAAAACTTTACAAGGGTAAATAGCCTGAATCTGGTGCTCTTGCCCAGATCATTAAGTGACGGTTGTCAATTCATCAATGAGTAGATATTGAACCCAAAAATTGCTGGGTCGACGGAAGGATTAGGCCGACCAAATTTCATTAAGATAGGATATTGAACCCAAAAAAGAACGCAGGAGAAGAACAGAGTGTGAAGGGTGAAGTTTTACCTGAAATTCTCCAATGCCAGGGTATTTCCACCCATGTTTTGCTGGATAAGATGGATACCTCAACTCTCCACAAGCCCCTAGCCCAATCTCAATTTCTGAAATGATACCATCCTCAAAATATTCATCAAATTCTACTCGGAAGCTTCTCATGTAGTCAAAGTATACCTAAATCAATAAGGGATGAAACAGATAAACACATAAACACAACGGATTGTGATCTTCCCATTAAGAATTAGTGGATTGCGTAATTAGAGAAGTGGGTAGAATACCTCGACCCCTGTCCGTCCTTGAAGAACCCTTTCTTTATCAATGCCCCATGAAAGGCACTCCGTGTTACGCCTGCCAGCCCTGTCGGTGAAGTAGATATCTGGATTGCTTCTTCCGATCTCTGTTACCCAATGTGGGAGAGGAATAGACACATCATCTCCAACATTGCCTCCACACTCATGGAATGACATGACCACCTAAGTAAGTATTTTGACAAGAAATTAAAAGAAACACCATGAAAGAAAGGGTAAAATTGGAGAGGATAAATGAATAGATCCTGTATTAGCACGGTACTGAAATCTGAAATGCGCATAAACACCAAAACATGATTAACAACAAAGGGTGACATGCATGACAATATAATGTGGAGTGGAGGAATAACCTGCAGCTTGAGCTTGAGCTCCCTGATCATATGGAAGAGTCGCTTGTAACCGGTCCAATTGTACTCCTGCGGCCTGTGGGCCTCGACATTCCCCCACCAGCAATCGACCATGACCCCATCGACGCCGGCAGCCTTGAGTACCCGAAGCTGGCCCACCAAGACGTCGGCGTCGACCACCTCGCCATTACCATTGACCACTCCAAGCTACAGACAGCAACATACATACATAAGAGCGAGCGGCGTGGTGCGAGGAAGAGAATGGAAGGAGAGATGTACCTACCGGGAGCATGACATAGACGGGGACGTATGGCGTTCCGGCGAAGTCGCGCTCCGGTGGGCGCGGGGGCAGCAGATCGGGCACCTGCAGTGAAGCCAGCTAGGTTGAATGCCCGTACGTAACGTACTAGTAGTAGCTGATAGAAGAAGAAGAAGAAGAAGAAGAGGTACCTCTTGGGGGTCCATGGACGGGAGGGAGAGGAGCGGGTCGGGGAGGGCGTGCGGCGGCGAGATGATCCTGATGGAGGAGGAGGAGCGGAGGGAGGAGATGGGGCGGGCGGCGACGGGGGAGATGGAGATGCCGCGGAGGGGAGGCGCCGGCGAGGAGGGGAGCGGCGGCGCGGCGATGGAGGGGCGGCCTGGCTGGAGGAGGAAGAAGAGCGCAGGAGAAGAAATCATGATTATTATGATTAGCCCAAGCGAGGGGAGGCGCTCGATCGTTGGAACTCGTAAATATAACGATTAGACAGAGAGAGAGAGAGTTGGGAGTGTGCGCGCGCGTTTCCAGGGAAGGGAAGCCTACGGAGGCCACGAGAGAAGGACTGGACGTTTCCCAACCACCTTTCCCCTTTGCCTCGCGCCCTTGCCCTTGCCCGTGCGTCAATGAATTTGCCACTTTTCTCTTTTCGGTCTCATGTGCAAACCGACGGTCACCAAACTTTCAATTTTAATTTCTAAATAAATCATTTCTAATAAACGATCTTTATATATTGTGTGCTTAATTTGGACGGTGGTAGCCCTTTAATTTCGGCCTGTCTTTTTACTTGCAAGCTGTAATGCTCCGTCTTTTTTTATGTACCTATTTAATTCAAAATTACCATAATATGAAATACCCCGTCTCTATAATTTCAGCGTTATATGTCCTTCCAGACAAACATATGCTTCTCCGTAAGTTGGATACGGAAGCCTGATTTAAAATAATAATGAATATATATCTACTCTCCGTGAGGCGAAAAGGGCTCATAAATGAGTTATGAGGGGTGCTTTTGTCATCATCACTTGAAAACATATCTCCTACAGTACCGGATGCGACCTATTTATGACGTCAAAAATAAATAAAATAATGAAAGGAACAGGGTAAATAACTCTCCGGTACTTGGCTTCCAGCTCACTGAGCTCAGGCTCAGCTGCCTGCCAGCCAGCTTTAAACATAGCAGAGCAGAGCGGACAAGGAGAAGAGAAGAGTGGGAGGGAGGGGAACAGACAGGAACACATCTGCTGCTGCATTCGTTCGATTCCATACCTGAAGCTGCTGCTGCGTGGGTGGCGGCTGGGAAACGGAGGAGGAGGAGGAGGGGAAGGTGGTGCCGTCGGGGAGGACGACCCAGCCGGCCTCGCGGGCGAGCGCCGCGATGACCTCGTTGATGTCGGCGCGCACTCGCAGGTTGTAGTTGCCGTGCCGCCGGAGCCCCGCCAGGATCCGCGCCGTGATCGCCCGCCGCTGCCGCTCCCGCAGCTTCGTCCGCTCCTTCTCCTCCCGCGCCCGCCCCCGCCGCCCCAACCCCACCTGCTGCTGCTGCTGAAGCGGGGGCCGAGTCTCCTCCTCCCCCTCGTCCTCCTCCTCCAAGTAGTACTCCTCTTCTTCCTCCTTCACCCCATCCTCCTCCATCGCCTGCTGCTGCTGCTGCATCGGGATCTCGCTCGCGCGTGTGGGTGTGTGTGTGGATCCAGATGCCTAGCTAGCTAGGGTTCGACTCGCGCGTGCGACCGTCATATGGCTGGCACGCTCGCGCGTGGGAGCCACACGTGCCTCCCCTCCCCTCCCCGTGGGAGGAAATGCCGAAATGGATAGACGGCCAGGATACGATGAGGAGGAGCCTTTTCCTCCTGCATCCATCCTCACACCACCATTCCTTCATTATTCGCACGCACGCACACGGGCGGCCAGACTAACCAATACACAAACCGCTTCATTACTCAATAATAATCATTGTACATGTTGTAATTCCTAATCGTATACGGAGAATTCAGTATTGTTTTGCTCAATCAAAGAGTAGGCACATCAAGCTGGCCGTAAATACAACACGATCCAATAGGTACATGCCATCCCAAACTGACTCATTACGTATATAGCTCTAAGCCCTGTTTAGTTTATACCAAACTTCCCCCAAACTCCCAACTTTCCATAACATTTAAAACTTTCCTACTCATATAAACTCCCAACTTTTTTTTTAAACTACAAACTTTCCCTAAACTTCTCCTCAATTTCAGAAACTAAACACAGTTCGATGGCAAATTTCTCGACAAACATGCCTAAAAATGCATCATTATTGCCTTGTGCACGAAATTTCCTACTACCATATTATAATCTTATTAGGCAAAAAATGGCACAATTGTAAGCCTTATATTAACCTTATAAGTATAAAATAACACAAAAATGCTTAAATTGCCCTTCGAGAAAAGAACACACACAACACCAAATTTCACGAGTAGGAAACTCAAGCCTAACAAATTGACTAATTTGACTATTAGTCCTCTGTTTAAAATTTTTAGTCAAAGCCTTTTTTAATAAAAGTATTATACTCGAAGGACAAAAAAAAATCATGACTTTTAGCCTTCGGATTACGTGAGTTATAGTTTTCGGTGAAAATGAATGAGTATTAACATTTTGGATATTTAGCTTTACCCTATACTTCACAATTATTAGCCTTGGGCCATTCTAAAATTCGTGAATAGTAAGTTTTGGGAAAGAAATGATTTTTTGCCTTCGGCCTATAATTTTCTCATTTGTAGCCTTTTGGTCGAAATTCATGAGTACTAGCCTTTGAAAAAAAAAGTATGAATATTTTTCAGTCCAAAATTTCACAAGTATTTGCCCGGGGATCATTTGGAACAAATTCATGGATATTAACCTTAGGTTTTTTTTTTACCTTCGCCTATACTTACATAAGTTATAGCTTTCGTCCAAAATTACCTTTGGAAACACATGATTATTTTTCTTCGACCCAAAATTTTGTGACTAATCGCATTGGGTTTGTTTCAAGAAAATTCATGAATATTATCTGTAGTACCTTTTTTTGTGATTTTTGGCTTCGACCGATAATTTCTTGAGTTATAGCCTCTAGCCAAAATTCATTAGTATGAACTTTGGAATAAAATACATGAATATTTTCTATGGCCTAAAATTTCATTAGTATTTTGTATTGGGATTGTTGTGCACAAAATTCGTGAATATTAACCTTGGAAACATTTTTTTGTTGTGTTTTAGCCTTTGGCCTATAATTATGTGTTATACCCTTGTGCCGAAATTCATGAATATTAACCTCTTGAAAAAAAAGCATGAATATTTTTTGTGGTCCAAATTTTCATGGGTATTAGCCTTGGGATTATTAGGCAGAAAAGTCGTGAATATTAACCATAGGACAAGAAACTCATGATTTTTCCCCCAAAATTTCATAACTATTAGCCTTGGGTCCGTTCGGAAGAAAATTATTAAATAGTAATCATAGGACGAAAACTTTTGTGATTTTTAGCCTTGGGCCTGACATTTTGGAAAAGAATGCATGAATGTTTATGTCCAGCCCAAAACTTTATGACTGTAATTAGCTTTGAACCTGTTCAGAACAATATTCCTAAATATTAACCTGTCTCAAAAGTCAAACTTTCATTAGTACAACATTGAACCCAATTACGTGATTAACCTTGGGTTAAAAATGCTTGAATATTCGCATATGGTCAAAAGTTTCATGGGTATTAACTTTGGGCGCCAAAACACAAAGATATTAGCCTTCTAATACATGGATTTTAATCATTCAGTCAAAACACATGTAATAATTCTTCGCTTTGGGCTCGTGTTAAGGAGTGATAATTCTTGACGATAAACTAATTGTTGCCCAAAATCCAAACAAAAAACTTCCCTTCCATCAAGTGTAAAACAAGACTGCTTCAGGAAAAGAGCATGTATGTAGCATAGTATATTATTATGGAATCCTCTAATTTTGCAACCAAATTGTTGCCCAAAATCCAAACAAAAAATTTCCCTTCCATCAAGTGTAAAACAAGACTGCTTCAGGAAAAGAGCATGTAAGTAGCATAGTATGTTATTATGGAATCCTCTAATTTTGCAATCGAATTGTTGCCCAAAATCCAAACAAAAAACTTCCCTTCCATCAAAGTGTAAAACAATACTGCCTCAGGAAAAGAGCATGTAAGTAGCATAGTATATTATATGGAATCCTCTAAGTTTGCAACTGACTAACATCCCAGTTATACATTTGTTAGGAACTGCAGTTTGGTTTATATTCCATCAAGTATTCAGACAGTTCCCCCTTATCTGTGAGGTACAGTGTATATACAGTGTAAGTTCTAAAGAAACATTTACATATCACAGTCTACGGACGGATTGATTAGAAGGAATATATGGCCCTTCCTGATCATTGCTATTGACTGACAATCGTACACATGTGCAGGAGCGGAATCAATCAAATTTACAATCTGGCTTCCTTACCAGAACAAATCATCTACACCAACTGAAGTTGACGGGGACGAATCTTCGTCCTCCTCCTCCTCCATCTCTGGCTCAGGCTCCATGCCAAACTCTGGAGACTCAATGTCAGCAAGGTTCTTCAGGTCAACCACAGAGAGCTCATCAAGCTGCTTCACCACAAGGTCCGCGGCATTAAGCTCGTAGATCGGGTGCTTGCTTGCAACAGCCACACACTTCATTCTGGCATCATGTGCAGCCTCCACTGCTGAATTGGAGTTACCAAAAACGATGCACCTCTCAGGGATGAAACTCAGGAGCTGCGCTGCATAGAGAAACATTTCAGGGTCAGGCTTCCCCCGGTACACATCCTCTGCTGCCACAACTGCATCAAAGAAGCTTCGCACGCCAACAGCGTCAATTGCTTCTTCGATAACCTTCCTTGGCCGCGTGGTGGCCACGGCAAGAGGGATCTTATAGTTGGCAAGCGTGCTCATAAACTCCCTCGAACCATTCCTCATTTGATAAAAGGCAGTTCCACGTAGGTTGCAGCGTATCTCCTCTTTCCGTGAGGACAATCTCCTTAACTCAGATGGGTCCCGAGACCAGCAGAGAACCTCAGATATCGCTTGCTCGCTTTTCATTCCTTCAATCCTCTTCAATACAAACGCCAGGGGTGGAGACTTGCCCTCTTCTTGCGCGAGGGTAAACCATGCCTGCCTTTCCAATTCAGCGTCATCCTCAACAATCACGCCTTCCCACTCAAAGATCACTCCGAGCCAACCACAGCCCATGCGCTCAAGCCGGAGCAGCGGGTTGTGCAGCTTGGGATCATCGGCCCTGTTCCGTGGAGGCCACGTCGTTTTGGGATTGGTGATCCCAATATCGCCCATGTCAGCGCCTTCCCCCGGGATCCCCCGGTACTCCCTGTGAGGGCTGGCCTCCTTGGTGACCCCCATGGCGAGCGCCTTGACGGTCCAGTCCGCGAGGCGAGGTTGATGCTGCCTGGGCGCCCTGGCCACAAGGCGGCGACCGGCGAAGTGAGTGGGCAGGGGGCGGCAGGAGACGACATGGAGAGTCCGGCGGAGGTGGTGGTTTGCCTTGGACCTTTGGTCGAACAGGTGGTGGGCAACGAGGGAGGTGCTGGCGCTGACCGTATCAACCACCATCATGGCTGGATCCGACGCCTCGCCCCCACCTAGCGCTCAAGAATTAACCTCGGTCCGGGAACCAAAATTGTTGGAGAGGCCTAGCCAATCAATCAATCGATCAATCAATGAATCGAAGGGGTGGTTTCCTTGATCCAAGCTGCAAGAAATTAAATCGCACGTTGAGAAGATTGCACGATAACGCAAAGAATCAAAAGGCCCTAGGGATCGTCCTAATCACGGAAAGAAATCGGAAAGGTTGAATCGAATTTGATTCGACGGGCGTCTGGAACAGTAGAGGTCCGATTGGAGGGGGAGAGAAGGAGAGGATAAGGTACCTGAGGAGGGAGGCGGCGGCGACTGGTCGGGATCGGAGTCGAACGGCGACCGGAGGAGGAGGAGGAGATTTCTTCGGGAAGCCGCCTACCGTGCCCCGCCTCTCGTGTCTAGCTTCTTCTCGCTCCGCCCTTCCTAATTTCTTTCCTTTGTTTTTGTAGAAATAAATAAATGAAATAAAAATTTTGTGCTATTATTTTTATCAGCGACCGCTCGCTCGATCGTTGGAGACGAGCCGTCGTGGAAGGCGAAACGAATCTGGCCCCGCTGCGTGACGCGTGGCGCAACCTGAGGCGTCCGATGGGGATTCCGCGGAACGTGAGGCGGAGGTTGCATTGGAATCACTCCATCCTACGCAACTCTCCTCGCCTCCTCCATCTTATCTGCCTGTGCTTTTCTTTTTTCCTTTTCTTCTGTGTGTTCCTTCATTGTTTATCTGCTACACATACACTACACTTATTACTTAGTCCATTGATATTACATAAAAATAATAATATTAATTGTTATTTAACTTCTACCCCTCCGTTTAAAAAGAGCATTGTTCCATCCGTTTCGTATTAAAGTTTGACCAATTTTATAGAATAATATAGCAACACTTATAGCACTTATTTAGTTTAATTACATCTAACATTGAGCATATTTTGGTAGTTTATATGTTTTGTGTTGAGCAACACTTATTGCTTTTTTTTCCCTGTTAGTTCGAGAGCATATGCATGAAGTCAGTAATTAAGTTCCCTGCAAAAGAAGAGAGAGAGAGAAATCAGTAATTAAGTGGTTAAGAAAAAGAAATGAAAATTAAGGAAGCCGCCTCGCGTTGCTACTAGTTGCAAACGTGTGGTAAATATTAAAGTCAGAGAGTGGAAACTGCAGAAACAAAGGCAGGAAAGGCCGTCAGTGTCGTCGATTCGTCGGTACTGGCAGATTCAGACGACCACATGCATGTAATTAAGGACGAACTATATTTACTAATAATTTGATTATCTACCTATAGGGGTATAGTACATGGTTGCCGGTCACCTCTAAAGAATTCAACTGTGTGGGATGAAGGCAGCATATGCAGGAATCACGTCCTAGCAATGACTAGATTGGAGTAAGTTTTGTTTTTTAAAAGCGTACTCGATCGATCAAATAATAAAATAATTAGTATTAGTAAGAGCAAGTTTAATAGTATAGCCAACTACTAGCTCCAATTCATTTTTAGCCAATCTAATAGCTCATTCATACAGAAGTTTCATACTACACTATTAATACATGGTCCCACCTATCATACACACACTGTGTCTTGGAGTTCGTGCTATAGCTGCCTATAAATCTGTAGCCCGCTACTGTTCTCTTTCCTTATTTATCTCGTTAAAATATATTTGCAGCTGGCTTATAATCTGCTATTGTACCTGCTGTAAAAAAGGGCTGGGCCGCTTTAATTTGTTTCGTTTGGGCCGGGGCCATGCGCCCACGAGCCCACGAGGCAGGCAGGCAATGTCACCAGCCGGAGGTGATCGGGATCGATCGCTGGCCTTGACTCCTCGTGATCGATCACCTCAACCGCCCGCTAAAACTCAAGTCTTTTCCCTGCCTGGAGCACCGGCTCCACGGCGCTCATGCGGCCATCGATCCTAGCTTATCTAGATGGAGTAATTAGTTTGAACTGCAGTTAAGCTCACTATTTGCGGTTATTATTATCTCATCGATAGCGGTTTGATAATTTTCATATGGTAGCGGTTTTAATTGTGGCCCTTATGAAACAATACCACAGAGCTACTTCTGCTGCTGTGGGATTTGTGCAATATAGAGATGCGTGGCCAAAATATACTTGCATATTGCATCCACCGCTCGTAGATGATCTAAACGATGATTTGTTTGACACAATACTAGCTCCTTCAACGCCTGATGATGGCCATAAACATGCTCTTCATGCCTTCCATTTACTAGTAACACGAACCATAGCTTTGTAAAGTCCTACTAGGCAGCATATCTGAAACGACTACCGAGTCGCTGTCTGCACGAGTAGTCACAGCCATCTAATTTGGTACAAAAACCTGGTCCACGCACCATATCACTGTCAATCCGATAAACACGAGTAATTTTGAGGCGCAAACGACTCAATGATCATTCAGTAAAACAAGAAAAAGAAATAAAACCATCACTTGCTGAAATTTAAAACAACACTTGGTTCAAACAAGGACTAGAAACAACGGGATTTCATGTACTATCTTGTATCCGAATTCCTCTTCAATCAAAAGGATGCAGCATCAGAGAACAGTGCCAACAGTCAAAACAGGGCATGAAGAACTGAGAACATATCTCGGGTGCATACTTGAAAGTTTTAGTGATGCTATAGGAAACTCAGTGCAGTGTGTTCAGCATTTATTTCTAAACAAGTAAAACAGGGTGAAACTCAATGACAGACCGTCTAGGATCTCATTAACCACCTTCAGTCCACTATATCTTCAGACTTCTTAGGCTTTGACAAGAGATACCACCCCAGGCCACTCAAAGCAGCAACAGTGCCTGCCAGGACAGCATAGTTCCTGTTTTTGTCAGTTGACACACCAGCAGATCTTGACTCCGTTGAGCCGCTTCCAGTCTTCACAGCGTTAGCCGCAGCACCTGCGGTTGAAGCTTGCTCTCCTGGGTTGGGGCCCTGAAAGTAGCTCACATCTATTGTAAGCGCAAGAACTAGAACAGTTTCATTTCCCTCGCCCACTCAAAGCAGATACTAGCTTGTATTAAGTTCAAAACATGAATATCCAACGAAAACAAATTTTATAAATGTATGACAACATATAAAAGAATGCATAATCTCTTGTGCATGACAAAAAAAAAAAGCTGAGAGGACTTATGAGAGTGAGCCATTAAAGGCACTGCCCAATCAAGTTTTAAGAGAGGCAATATGTTTGCATACCTTGTGGGCCAACTTCTCCAGCTTCTCGTGTTCCATTTTCTGCAGTAAGTCACCATGCATGTTGTTAGCATAGCGTCAAGATACATTCTAAAACAGAAGTTCGCAACGATTAAGAAAGCGGGTAATTTCGGAAAAGGTTTCTATTTGAAAGAAACAATGATTGATTCTAAAAGAACATCTACATCTGTCTGCAGAGTTACAAAATTCCGAGCATCAAATGTACTTTTAGATATACATTTGCGGTCCTTAAAGGCAATCAAAGAACAAAAGGAACTAAAAAAAGGCCATGCCTTAAAAAGAAGAAACTAATATCACAAAGCATAAGCATCAACAGTCAGTCCTGAGATAAGACTGTATTCACACTTCCACAGAAAGCCAAGCAAAATATGGGATGCCAGCAACGATCCAATTGAAACAGCAGTAGTACAAATACATAATGGAGAAAACAAATCAGTGCCAGCAGTACGTTTGTGAGGATCACTAGAATAACATCAGGCCAGCTACTGCAGTGCTTCAAAAGAGTATAATTGAGCAACCGGCATAGAAGATCACAGATATAGATAATTAAAACAAGAACAGCTTGACTATTGTACAAAATGTTGAATGAGTAATATTTGAACGATCTTTTTTATAAAACCAGGAGAACAACCCTGCTCTGCTTCTCATGAAGAAAAAAAAAACCCACATAAAACTGACCTTAAACCAATTGTTTTAAGCTATTTGTTAAGTTCATTTCTCAAAATATTTAATTTGTCCCTATAATCAAGTAGATAATCGGTGGCAACAATCTACTCAATAATGTAAATCAAACAGGGTATGTTCAAGTAGCAAGCAAGAATCTGTCTCAATTAGGCCAAAAAAAATGCAAGAATAATCTAACAGGAAAGAATTTTGATGCAACATTGCAACCGCAATAGCATATGTGAAGCAAGGCACAGGGTGAACATATATCAGTCATAAATTGCTGTGCTAATGGATGAGGGACGCAGGCAGGACGACAGCCAACTCAACTGTATTCCAGATCAGTAAACAGGCAGACGTATAATATATTCCTAGGCGTGCACTGCAACAATGCAGGCCGAAAATATTTGGGGATCCCAGAGCTGAGTGCGGTGCGGGCAGGGGGACTCGTACAGGAAAGAAAGAGAGACCGCGTCGCGACTCTCTCTCTCTCAAGTCCCAGATTTGCGGAACTAGGTGAAATCCACACACCGCTCAACCCGAGCCCACAGATCACAGCGCATACGCATCTCAGACAGGAATCGCGCGCCCGCACCCGAGAGGGAGAGAGATGGAAGGAAGATACCTTGATGTAGACGTTCTCGGCGGCCTTCTCCTCCTCGCCGAGCACCTTGCCGCCGGAGGAAAAGAGCCTGCGCTGCACGAACCTCGCCGCCGCCCTGGATGGAGCCCTAGCCGCCGCCTCCATCGCCGCGAGAAACCCTAGAACACGAGACGAGAGGATCTTCGCTTCGTTGGCTCCGTGAAACTGTCTCTCTCTCCCAACTCCCCCACTGATGATGATGATGACTCGATTCTATTCCACCGCTGCTATGACTCCCTGTGCTACTTTGTAATTTGGCCCTTTCAAATATGCTTATTTGAAAACATTCTACGTAGTCCTCCCCTCAGGGATGGTTAACGAGTATTAGAGGTTTGTGTGGGACTTGGATGAATAATACTCCGGATCAGATCAAATCCGACGGCCAGAAACGCATCGGAGCGCTGAAACCCTAGCCTCCCCACCTCCCAAGTCATATACCTGCAGCCTCAGCCTGCTCCTCCTCGTCGCCGCCATCCTTGCCTTCGCCTGCGCCTTCTTCCGCCGCCGCATCGCGTCGTCGAAATGGTACGCCTCGTTTGTCTCTCCCACCATTTTTGCTCGATCGCCGGCTGCGTGCTGACCCTCTCGCTTGCTTGCTGTCTCAGGCCCCGAAGAAGGACAAGGCCCCGCCGCCGTCGTCCAAGCCCGCCAAGTCCGGCGGTGGCAAGCAGAAGAAGAAGGTCATCTCCATTCCTCCTCCTGTTCGGTTTTATTCGGATCTGGCTTGTTCGGTTTTCTCATGGTCATGGATTTGCCTCCGTTTGGTTTGCAGAAGTGGAGCAAGGGAAAGCAAAAGGAGAAGGTGAACAACTCGGTGCTGTTCGACCAGGCCACCTACGACAAGCTGCTCTCCGAGGTGCCCAAGTACAAGCAGATCACCCCCTCCGTCCTCTCCGAGCGCCTCAGGGTAATTCATTGATAAATTTAGATTACCACCAACAATACTGTGCCATGCTGGTTGCCTAGCTCACATTCTCAATTTCTTCTTTGTTTATGCGCGCCAATTCAGATTTTCACTATATTTTCACAGTCATGTAGCCTAGCCCACTTGATAGAATTCAGGAAGATAAGGACCTTGTGGTTAATTTTAGGCTCCTGTGCTAAATTTGTGGGTTATGATATTGATATTCCATCCATGAGTTAAATGCAGAATCACCACTGTTTGGGGTATTCGGTGTCATGGTTGGCATTTTTGTGTGGTTGAGTGATGCCAATGAGCAAAGGAGTAATGATTTGTTAGGCCTCTGTGCATGTTTGTTTGGTTTCCATGCGCCAAACTATATAGTTGATTTGTGAATTTTTATTAGTACCTGAAACTACTGTTATTAGTATGGCAAGTTTGATCTTGCTCTTTTCCCCTTGCATGTGCAACATATAGCATATTCTCTTTTGGCAATGTAACTCTTAACGTCATCATTGTTGTTTTAGCCTTCTGTGTAATTTATACCTAGATGTTGTACAGCTAGGTAATTTTAATCATCTTGCTCAGTATGGGTAACAAGATTTTATATATTTACCTGCAGATTAATGGGTCCCTGGCTAGGAGGGCTATGAAGGATCTGATGGATAGGGGGCTTATCAGGATGGTGTCGGTTCATTGCAGCCAACAGATTTACACCAGGGCAACGAACACATGATGTTGTCTTATCCATTTTCTAGTCTTATAGACCTGATGTTGCCGTTCTGTTAAGTTTATTCAGTGATACATATGTGGGTGTTCATTTGCCCCAGTAATGTTGAATGTTTTGAGATTTTTGGCACATTGTTAAGGTGATGTTATCTCGGTATCTATCTTGATTATTGCCCAATTAAATTGCACCTTATACGGTGCTACTGCTGTGTCAGTTTGTCTGGTGTTTTCGGTTCCATTATGCCAAGAATTATTTCTGCGTCAACTCAGACGCATTGTGATCTCAGTGGGCTCGGCCGTGTTAAGCCTCTTCCAAAGTCAGCTGAGTTGTGCCTGCCCTGGATCATCAGAAGCTAGTAAACATGTCATTTTACGTCTTGATTTGGTGGAGCATGATAGCGTATTACTAGTTTTCGCTAGTACTGTTATCAGTTTAGAAGCCATTTGTTTGGCGATGAAGCTATTAATAGCTTTTAGCTTGTTGTGTGCTGTTTATCGCGAGATGTTGCACACGAAAATCGTCTTGCAAAGCATCAGGAACCTGGTTTCAAGGGGGCTGACAAGGTAGATGTGAAGTCGATTCGATATTGCATTCTTTGTCTCCATTTTTAGACTTGATGTTGCCATTTTGTAAACTGTGGTACAAATAGATTAGACTAGTTCGACGCTAAACTCTACTTGTGAGATATTTTTATTAAACATCCAGTATTTACTCAAGTGAAGGCTTTGCGATGCCTGGCACATGCATGATCCTTAACTTCCAAGTCAGATTGTATTATGCCAGCTCCATTCTGAAAATAATTGAATGCAGGATATGCAATTTTGATGCTAGATGCATCCAAGGAGCAAGCTGTCAAAAGCCTTGAGTGTTGCCATTTCGATCGCACAAAAGACAGACGGCAGCATTGGTTCCTCCAATTCCTCCTGGCCAAGAGAAAAGCTTCTTATAAATTGGGTTGCTCATCATCTCCATGGCACAAGCACAAGTGCACAACCCAAGCTGCTTATTAGCAAGATCATTTAGCCTCCAAAGCTTAATCAAGATTCAGGCCATCTGACCTGATACAATAATGGCATCCTCCATCTTGCTCCTGGTGGTGCTTGCAGTAGTGTCAGCTCCAGTGGCGCTGGTCATGGCCGGCGACCCAGACATCCTGACGGACTACGTCATCCCGGCCGGCAGCAACGCCGAGAACATCACCGGCGACTTCTTCACGTTCACCGGCTTCCGCAACCCGCTGAGCATGAACATGAGCATGCCGATGCCCAACGCCAACTTCACGGTGACCAAGGCCACCATGGCCGAGTTCCCGGCGCTCAACGGCCAGAGCGTCTCCTACGCCGTCCTCATGTATCCCCCGGCCACCCTCAACCCGCCGCACACCCACCCGCGCTCTGCCGAGCTCCTGCTCCTCGTCGACGGCGCGCTCTCCGTCGGCTTCGTCGACACGACCAACAAGCTCTACACCCAGGACCTTGCCGCCGGCGACATGTTCGTCTTCCCCAAGGGGATGGTGCACTTCCAGTTCAACTCCGGGAACCAGCCGGCCATGGCGCTCTCGGCGTTCGGAAGCGCCGCCGCGGGGCTCGTGTCGGTGCCGGTCACCGTGTTCGGCACAAACATCGACGACGCCGTGCTCGCCAAGTCGTTCAAGACCGACGTGCCTACGATCCAGAAGCTCAAGGCAGGCCTAACTCCTCCCAAGAAAGCCTAAGCCCTCCCCGTTGGTGTTAATTATTCTTGTTTTTCATCCTGCTGCTGCTGCTGCTTGAAATAAGAGACCTTCCAGGCTACCAACTACTGAAGAAGGTAAATTATGATTTGTGTGGTGAATAATTCTGAATTGTGGTTGTATTGTCTTGTCTGAAGAGCTTTGAACCATGTATCTATCAGTATTAATTAAGGCGTTGTGGGAATATATATAGACCAGTTCAGTTGTAAGTGTTGAGAGTTTCTCTGCTGTAACGGCTTTCCACAATAATGATACATCTCTTAATACTGTGTGTTTCCACTTACTACCTGTTACTGGCAATAGTAAATTTGTGTTGCAATCTTACTCACCTTCTTATATGCTAAATCTGCATATATCCACATATATACTCAGTCAGACAGTCACCCTCTTATATGCCAGTCTGCATATATCCACAAGACAGAAATATTGATGATGGTCAGATGGATAACATGGATCTCAATATAAACAACTGCAATATGCATCACCAACTAAAACTAAGAATTTAACATCTGTTATGTTTCTCCTGAATCCTAACATATAAGCCCTCAAGAGTCAAGAGCACCATTCTAGCAACCCATATTCAGAGCAGTTCTGTTAAATTACAGTGGGCTCTCAAGTTGAATTCTCTTATAGTATCAAACAAAGTTAATTTATACTAGTAATATACATCATTGCATTGTTACATCTGTCTGAACAATGCTCAACACCGAGTGTACCTACCAACGACGTCCATTTCCATTATCAAAGCTTATCCATTGTTTGTCTCAGTTGTAGCATGCCTTTTCCCGTTTGTGGTTTCTACAGTTCACTGATTGCATTTTACCTGTTCATCTCACATGCTTTGAATTTCCACTCTACTACAGTAGCTAAAAAGGGAAACTTCCACCATCCTCACTGCCAAACAGTAGCTAAAAAGGGAAACTTCCACCATCCTCACTGCCAATTGGTCCATGTATTTACCATTATGACAAACAACTTCAAATCTTCTTTTGAAACCGACGGGAGGAGCACTACTGGATATATTAAGGAGGAGCACAGAAGCCTACCAGAAGGCAGTACAGACACAAACAACTTCAAATCAAAACACTGAGGACAAGCACGCAAAAAACAACAAGTCTTGGTGTGTAAGAGTTAATAGACCTGCATTGTTTGATAATTCAGTTGAACTAGAAAGGCAACTGGACCGCACAGCTGAGCTGAGTTATCAATGGAAGATATGTCATTCCTGACGAAGCAGTAGTGAATTGGCAATGAGATATTCTTGCAGTGCAGCTGTAGGTGGGTAGGACTTTGATGCCTTGGGATGACATTTGCTTTCTCCCTTGGTTTCTCATCATGCATCTTCCTTGCTATTATTCATAGTAAACAACCAGGGGAATGCAGAATACGTCCAAGATAACTGATGGAGTTAACAATCTGACTTCCTAATTTAACAAGCTAAGTAGCATGGCATCAGATACGTATTCATTCTCGGAGGCCAGAAATCTAATCTGTTCTGTTCTGTTCTGGACGGGCATAAGTTTTAACAGGAACCTCTAGCTGGCTAGTTTCTTTATCTTGATGCACCGATCTTTCGGTCGTCCAACAACGGAAGATGAATGATTAATTTACGCATAGTATATGTCAATTTCAACCTCGATTTCTCCGGCTTATCGTCAGACGCTTCTTCTGCATAAATAGCCAAATCCTACTGCTCACTGTCTCCATAACACAAGTAGATTGAAGACTAGACCACATCAGTCAAATTAAACTTCGTCTTAACTCATTACTTACTGACAGTTTAGCAGCTGATCGAACGATTAAAATAGATTCAATGGCGTTGAGCTACTACTCTTTGCTACTATTGCTGCTTGCAGTTTGGGCCCCAGCACTGACCCTAGTCATGGCCGGCGACCCCGACATCCTCACCGACTATGTCATCCCGGCGAACGGCAACCCCATGAACATCACCGGCGACTTCTTCACGTTCACCGGCTTCCGCAAGGTGTTCAACACGAGCAGCGCGCCGGAACCGAACAGCTTCACCGTGACCAAGGCCACCATGGCCGAGTTCCCGGCGCTCAACGGCCAGAGCGTCTCCTACGCCACGCTCGTCTTCCCCCCGAGCACCGTCAACCCGCCGCACACCCACCCGCGCTCCGCCGAGCTCCTGCTCGTCGTCGACGGCGCGCTCTCCGTCGGCTTCATCGACACGACCAACAAGCTCTACACCCAGGACCTGGCCGCCGGCGACATGTTCGTCTTCCCCAAGGGGATGGTGCACTTCCAATTCAACTCCGGGAACCAGCCGGCCATGGCGCTCTCGGCGTTCGGCAGCGCCGCCCCGGGGGTCGTGCCGGTGCCGGTCACAGTGTTCGGCACCGGCATCGACGACGCCGTGCTCGCCAAATCGTTCAAGACCGACGTGCCCACGATCCTGAAGCTCAAGGCGAACCTGACTCCGCCCAACAAGTCCTAATTAGCTACTCTTCCTTCTCTCGCCATTGTCGTATGTCGTCCTGTTGGCTGTTACTAGTTGAATAACACCAAGCAATGCAGACATGCAGTGCAACGCAAAAGCGTGACAGATGAAAATGCTGCAAGCTGTAGTGTGGCCGTACGTGGGAATAATCCTCGACCTCGAGTCGAGTGTGCTAGTATATATTTATGTATGTTTTGACTTGAGTTGTGATCATTGAAAACTTAATTCGATTGAGATATGTCAAAATTGAATTTCTGTTTTTCCCTTTCTTTTTTGAGTCGGCGATTGTTCTATTCTTGTTTCAAGTAGGCATGACCAGCTAGCGCACACTTTTTTCTTTTAGTATCACTTTCCTACGAAACTTTCCACTTAAAACCATGTGACTTTCAACATATATAAATCATACAAAACTTTCAACTGTCGCCACGAACTTTCATTTAAATACATTCATCTCAAACTACAGATTGTATAGTTTAAATCCCTAACAACGATGTCCTGTTGGAGTTCTTAACGTTGTAGTGATGTGATTAAGTTGGCGCTAGTTCTACGATAACTTCATCATATAATATATTTTTGTGATTCTCTATCTTAAATCTATAGTTTCATGATAAATTAATTTGATGTTAAATAAATATATATATATAGTTGTGTGATAGTATTTGTTGTTTTGTGATTTTTTTTAAGAAAAGAATGACTACCTAGTAGTTGTTGCGCACATGCACTTTTTTTTTTTGAAAATAGATTAAAATCCGGCGTCTATATCTCAATGGATATACACAGCCATGCACTTGGTAGCTGCTTAATTACCTCTAATAATTTAATTATTTGCGTTTGGAAACCGATGGATGATCATTCTTCTTGCATGGTGCAATATGCTAATGGAAAAGGCTAAGGTGTAGTGCACACAAGAGAATTAATAAGACCACTAAACCCAAATGCCTTGGAAACTCGATCGATTGTTTTATGTATAGTACACAAATGCAAATGCATATTCTATACAGCAGGAAAGCTAATCAGACAGCAATTAAGACCAAATGTTGTAGTTGTTTCCAAAGCGAGCAAATATATGGCGGCACAAGGCGCCGGCTAATATACTACACATGGCAGCTTGATCAAACTGGTCCAGTAATTAGTATTTCAACAATGTTTGTACACTGGGGGTCTGGACTGTTAGCTCTGTTCCGAATGACGACGTACGCACGCACGTATGCATATGCTCTCATATATGAATGTAGTAATTAATTTATTTGTGAAACGACCTAGGAAACGAAGGAATCAACTTTACAGTCTGATCTTTTCGCGTAAACCTTAACGTTTATTTGTGATAAAAAAAATAAAAACTTTATGCATGTGTGTTCCTAGTGATTTAAAAGTTAATGTTGAAAAAATAAAGTATAAAAAATATTGAAATTATCTTCAAAATTAAAAATTAAAATTTAACTTTGTTGATTGTGGCTAATTAATAAGCTGATGAAGAGCAACGATGAAGCTGTTTACATACATGACAAGCCATGCAGCATGGTGACAGCTTTTCCTAAGCCGAGCCGGCGATTCTACGCACATAAATACCACCGTACGTCTCGCTCGTTCATCAATTTGCGGCTGCCTCCACCTCGATCGATCCATCGCACACTAACTAACAGAGCTAAGATACGACGATGATGATGAGTAGCCGCAGCAGCGTCAGCCTCGGCGTGCTGCTCCTGCTGGCCGTGATCCTCTCCGCCGGCGCCGCCGACCCGGACATCCTCACCGACTTCGTCGTGCCCAGCGACACCGACCCATCCGGGATCGACGGCGCCTTCTTCACCTACAAGAACCTCGTCACCGGCAACTCCGGCGACCCGGCCAAGCTCACCGTCACCAAGGCCACTCACGCCGAGTTCCCGGCGCTGCTTGGCCAGTCCGTGTCCTACGCCGCCCTCGTCTTCGGCGCCGGCACCGTCAACCCGCCGCACATCCACCCCAGGGCGTCGGAGCTGCTGGTGGTCGTGCAGGGCCCGCTGCTGGTGGGGCTCGTCGACGCCGCCCGCAACGGCACCGTGTACACGCAGACGCTGCAGACCGGCGACATGTTCGTGTTCCCCAAGGGCATGGTGCACTTCCAGTTCAACAATGGCACCGACGTCGTCGCCCGCGCCTTCTCCGCCTTCGGCAGCGCCACCCCCGGCACCATCTCCCTCCCCGCCGCGCTCTTCGGCAGCGGCATCGACGACACCATCCTCGACAAGTCCATGCACACCGACCAGGCCACCGTCGACCAGCTCAAGCAAGACCAGGCGCCGCCTTCGCCGAGGCCCTCGCCGGGGTCCTCCTCCTCCGCCGCCGCGGCTTTGCTGCCGTCGCGCTGGGCCATCACCCTGCTGCTTTGCTTCGCAGCCTCCTACTACTTTTACTTCTAGTGAGTTGTGAGCGAACCTGAACCTGGAGCTCATGGCTGTTGTGTGTTTTCATCAAACCATCGTCACCTTCGATCTGTTGGTTGCAAATAAAATGAAATGAATGTTTAATTTTGGCATGTTTTCTGAAATCCGAATCATGCCTTAATTCCTGCTGTAATGTTTATGCAATATTGTAATGTAAGTGCTCTCCAAAATAAACGATCGAGTACTGCTTAATTTCCTTCTGATCAGTGCAGATTCTTCGCTCTTCAAGTCATATCATCAAAAGTCTATTTCAACTTTCCAGGACATGAGTAGTAGACACTCACATAACGAAGGAATTTGTCTGCCTTGAAATTCATCAAACAAAACGACAGAGGCGTTCCAATCTGCAGCCTGTACCACAAGAGCTGTGTAGCCAATCACCACTTGACAACACACGAATCACACGTAGTAACTGAGATGGCCCGGTTATAAACTTACAATTTGAATTCAGATCACAGCATGGTAGCAACCACAAACAACAATGAGGGGCAAACTTCGAAGGGGACAAAAATTAAGGCCGGGCCATATAACCTTGACTTTGTAGTCAATTATGTCATCAAAATAAGCTGGAGTACTCTCCAGCGTAACCAAGGTTAACATACAACAGGATAAACAGAAAGTTCGGC